ATCATACACTTTGTGACTGTTGAATATAACTTTGGTTGTGTGACAGGATCAGGAATTTGAGCAGAGACAACAGAGTCAACCTGGGTGGCATCACAGATTTTATATTGATCTTCCAAGAATATGAGAAGATGCATGTGTGGCAAACCCCGCTTTTGGTATTCCACAGTGTAAACAGATCCCGAAGTCTTTCCAAAGATCCCATCTTTGACTTCTTTCAACAGTGCCTTCTTTTTCTGATAGAAGACACGTGCAACAATGTCAGGACGGTCTGCAGCAGTCTGTTTTCTTGCAGGCATATCGGGGTCATCATCTACTTCACCGGCATTGTGGTATTCCAGCAAAGCCTCTTGAATTTCAGGCCAGTTGGTGTTTGCTGTCATTGTAAGGAAAATATCGGGTTTACGGCAATGGCAACATATAGCCATGGAGTCCTGGAAAAGCTGGTACATGTGCCGTGTACTGCCAGAATGAGAAGATGGTAGGACAATGTTCTGGCCCTGTTGACCCAAATCTATTTCCCCATCATTCTGATCCATAGCATCTTTGACGCTTTGGTAAAGATCTGCCCTTATGTCTTTTTGATGATGACGGACCCACTTCAATTCACTTTCTTCTGTGGAAGCCCATGCATCAACGCAATACTCCTGAAGTAGTTTTCCACCATAGAAGAGATTAGATTGATCGGTTCTTCGGGGATGGAGACGGTATGCATAATAACACCGCTGGGAGACATATTCACTGTGTATATTTCCATCAGCATTTTGAATGGACCCTATTGTCCTATGCCACCCTTGTTCTCCAAAGGGAAATAGGAGGACATAATGCAGAGGTGAATAAAGGGGGTGCAAATGGCTAATATGCTTGAGACCACCACCATAATCAAATTGCTTCAGCCGCAAAACAATATCACGGTGCTCATCAACATCTTGTTCTCCATCTCCAGGGATAACAGCAGCAACTTCATCTGCAGTAGGAAGAATTATAATGATGTTGGTCCAGAGTTTGATCAAGAGCTATATGGGCTCTTATGTTGGCACGTTCTGCTTCAGGCTTTTCCATGATGATCTGATAAGCTTGCTTGTACAAAGGGATGAATGGATTGAATTGCTCCAGGGTATCCTGGACCTCCAGCATGGTTGCTGGTGTAGTGCCATGCCCCCGATTATTCTCATTATGTAAAAAAAGGGCGGTCTGTGGGTCGTGAATGTAAAGCTGGCCAAAAGAGGGAGTTTCACCTTCAGGTGGATGGAATGCGCTGATGCTATGATGAAGGCCTCTATGGATACGGAAACTATAAGGTCCTGCAGCACTTGTGACAGCATGGTCTATCTTGACACCCAAAGATGTAAATGCAAAGGCATTATTGTATGAGCAAACTTTGTTGTGGAATTCACGTGCAGTAATGTCAACCCCACAGAACAGACGGTGTAGTGCAGCAGGTGCTTCCTGGAAGGGATCCAGCCTAACTTGACCTTGAAGGCAGCACACACCAAATTTTGGATGGATCCTGGAGGAACTTGTGAGTCTCTCGATATCCCAGTATAATGTTCCACAATTACGGCACTCTACTTCCATGTTGCGTAAAGTATGACGGTATAGAGGCTCTACATATGGTTGTTGGGCCTCCTGGCGTATCACCTGTGCTTGGCGGCGGTTGGCAATATTTTGTTCATTTGCAAGTCGTTGAGGCCTTGGCATCCTTGGTGCATTTCTGGCAGCTACCGGTTCATTTAAGTCCTCGCCTCGGTCTACAGCATCCCTGGCTGTAACGATAACTGTAACAACCAAGAGTTAGTTACTCTGGCGCACACAGGAACACACTATAAAGGTAGTGGATGGGGAGTGATTACCCCTTAGGCTGCAGAGAGTTTGTTGGTTAACAACAGGAGGACTCGCTGAGGAGTCTCCTGGATCTATTGGGGTATATATACTACTACAGGTTGTTTGTACATGTGTACTATACAGTTGATGAAGGCAGTGGCTGATGATGTCATAGGGTCTAGCCCGTATGGCCAGCTCCACTGCGTGAGAGAGTTAAGTCTAAAAGTAAAAGAAAGGCAACGCGGCGCGAGAAAGGGAAATGCCGCGTGGTACTTAAAGTATAAAGTTAAAGCGGAGAATAAAAAGGAAAGGAGATGTCCAGAAATTGTGTTATCGTAACAATAACACAATTTTCGGACCTTTCCTTCTTTTTCATTCTCCGCTTTAACCTTGTACACTTTAGCTTTCACACAGGGTGCCACGCGGCACTTCCCCTTTTGTTCAAACTCCTCTTTCTCGCGCCGTGTTGCCTTCTTCTTATTTTAGATACAACTCTCTCACACAGTGGAGCTGGTCATGCGGGCTAGGCTCCATGACATCATCAGCCACTGACTTTATCAACTGTACAGTACATAAGTACAAACACTCTGTATTAGTATATATACCCCAATAAATCCAGGAGACTCCTTAGCGAGTCCTCCTGTTGTATACCAACAAACTCTCTGCAGCTTAAGGGGTAACCACTCCCTCAATATCTTCTTTATAGTGTGTTCTTGTGTGCACCAGAGTAACTAACTCTTGGTTGTTACACTGGCAGCCCTGTGAGCCTGATCTGTTAGCTCTTCTTCCCTCCTTTCAAGCTCTTCTTGAGCAGCTCTCTGCACCCTACGGACTTGCTCAGCTTGTTCCTCTTCATATTGCAGGTCAGCATGCTGAGCCTGCCGCCTAACTGCCTCCTGCCGTTGAACTTCTCTTTCCTGGCGAACATGATCCTCAGCCAACTGCTGTTCCTGCCTTTGGAGCCGTAATGCCTCCTGTTGCTGAATTGCCTGATCCTCGACCTGCTCCTGCCCTCTTAGTCTATTACGCCGTTGATTAACCCGTTCTGCATGTCGGTTTTGAAACCCATCTAATAGCCTTTCATTGTAGTCAACACCATAAGTAGCAAGCAACTGGTTACCCTGCCGCATTTGAAAAAGGGGCTGCAATTGAGGGTGTGCAGGTCCAGCTAATGGCTGAGGCATATTATTATCATCCACAGGTCCTCCAAATTTTGGTTGCGCAATATTTCTATTTCTCAAATCTCTTTGATCCAAGAGGTGCTCTCGTCGTACACTTGGTGATGTCATCTGTTGATGACATTGTATGCGATCTCTATCGCGATGTTCACCATGTTCTCGTTCAGGAGTCTGTGGAATATGTCTACAAATCACATCAATATATCAGTTAATGGTTAATGACACATTAACAATGCTACACATACTGCATATTTGAATTGCTCATATTCATATTTATGTATTTGCTATGTGCACTGATTTGTTGATAATTTGGGCTTCTGTAATCAATGTGTCAGTTTTAATTGAATCAACACCATAAACTGTTATAAACTCACATTGTGTAAGCTGTGTTTTTATGTGTGGGGAAGGGTCTTTGATTTTATTTTTATGCACACCACAGTGTGGTCAATAATGGCTGTTAATTTTTGTAATGCAAAATGTGCAAATTCTCGACAACAATTTGTTTTGTGTGTAGGGCCAGACCACTTCCCCACATAGTAGGAAAAGAGGTTTGTTTGGTTGAGTTGTGTCACGTCGTGCCACAGGCGTGAGTTTTGGTGTCCACTATATCGTGTTTTGTAGTAAAAATGATTAAGCGCAAGAATTTTTAATGTGGCTACGATTTTCACTACAATTGTTGAATGTTCTTATAACCGTGAGAATTTTCAATGTGGCTGCAATTTTCACTGCACTCGTTACTACTGCACTACCTTCCCTCTACTGCTAACCGAAAGCCACGCGAGCGAAACTAAGCGAGAAAATGTGCTCCCACGTGTGCCGCACGTGACTTTTGGGACCACCGTCCCCTTCGTTATAGATATCCCGAGGTGCCGTATGCATAACATGCGTCTCACGGGCGACAATCCACCTGGAGCCTCCGTAGTCGATGCCTAAGGTGCGCATTTCTATCACACATTTGTATTATCTCTTGAATATTTCATCTTTCGATAAGCATAATGTGATTATCTGCGCTGAGCTTCACGTGCTGGACCATTAGTTCAAAGAACTCACATCGTGCCCTTGCTCGGATGACTAGAACATTTCAGACATTGAATTTTTCCCTCTGCTCTTCTGATGAGGAGTTCTCACGTCCGAACTTTTCCTCACCTCCTGGACGGGACCCTTTCCCGAGAGCTTCTTCAACCGAGTATGTTATAACTGTATGGTGGCGGTGGGAACCTCGAGACCACAACAAAGGTATCCTTGGATGTAAAGGTTTGACTTTTGATGACGGGAGAAACACATCAACCCATATACAGAAATTCTGGCAGGCTCGTGCGGGATGTTGCCGTCATGCTCCTGAATAAAAGACTTGACCTCGACCTTTCCTTCATTCCTCTGCTGTCTCCTTCCTACTATGCCTCTTCCACCACACCACAATTCGAACTCAACGCGATACCAGCCCTATGTGAGTGCGCGTAGGCATAAAATAATGGTAATTTAACCCTGCACCGTAAATCCATCTTGTGGCTTTTTCACGGACAGTTGTTGCAGCATGCAAGGAATGCCACCGTTGATGGCGGTCAGGCGGCTGACGCCTACATACGTGGCGTTTTTGTGGTACGGCTATAGAGGCCGTGCTTTGGATGAGAGCGTACAGCGCTCTCGGGAGGCGTCGCTTTACGCGTCTGATCTCAGTATGTCGACTTTTACACGCGTCGTTTGCGTTGATGATCTTTTTGTTTTAAGGATCTCGCGTTTCAGTGGAAACGCAACCCAGCGGATTAGGTCGGCCACTTACACGTCGCCCTCCAGCATGGCCACTCTTCTGCACACACCTAAAATTCAACATCGTTGACAATACTATATATATATATATATATCAAAATGCTACGATAGCGGGACATGATCTCATCTATACGTATCTCCACTTTATTTACTAGAAACATATCATATTAGCATCAGTACTAGTATAACAAGCCCGTATGCGATGTGAAGGGTAGCACTGAGCCGCTGGTGACCGTTGTATTTACTCGCATAATGCGTGGAATGAGATTGCAAGGTTTCGCCGTTTCAAGGAACAACGGCGCGTTTAGGTATTTGAAAGAGCCCTTTGAAAAGTGAAGAATGGAGAGACACCATTTGAGTGTACTCTTCCTGTGATAGCAGTGAGATCGTGTACGAAAACGGGCAAATGCCAATTCCAGGATTCGCACCTTCACCACTGAGGGACAGGCTTGTGCAAGTTTATCGCATATATCGCAAAGTGCCTTCTTGAGCTCACGAGATGCTGTACATAAATGTTCAAATATCGCGCTGTTCGCGTGAAATGGCTATTGGTTGCTACTCACCATCATCGTCTACGCCCGAATCAAGAAGGGACACCCAGCACTTCCCAACACCATCCAAGATCGTGTATTTCCAGATGAACATCCGCACTGCGCATACCTCGATGACGACACCTAGTGCACGAAGCGAACTCAACTGGAGAGAAATGCATGGTGATGCGTGGGGAGTCGGAATGAGGGGGTGGACAAGTTGTGGGACGAGCGCCTAGAAGCGGTGATACTCGCATTAGAACAGCATCCCTAAACAACGACAAAGCGCGAAAAAGCAATCGCCCACTTTCAGGTACCGTGTACTGCCGATCCCAAGAGCTTTTATCACGCCCGGCAACGCGTCCACCGACGCCTCGACCGCGTCCAAGTCCGTATACGCGTAGATCCACACGCTGCCTACGATCGCGTCACCCAAGAGCGCGCAGAGCTGGTTGAATCGCTGTTGTGAGTCTGGAGAGGTCGTTAAATTAACTAATGAAAGTATCGTTGGGATCGCGGTGCGGAGGAGATTTGGAGTCTCGGGGTGACGGAGGTGATTGAGTGTGCCCATCAAGGACTGGAGATAGTATGGCTAATTGATCAGGGAATGTAAATAGAGAAGAAACATACAGTCAAGAGCAGCCCATCCACGCCGGTGCGTCTTAGCAAAGCTACTGGCACGCGCTTCAACATATCCTGTACTAACATAACACCCCTTAGCTTGTACTCCGCCTCGTAGTCATCCACGAGTGCCATGACTGGCGGGATTATGAGGTGCCAGAGCCGCTCGTAGACATCGCCCTATCATTGACTGCTGAGTTCACATTATAGACAGAGAAGACATTAATGTACCTGCGTATGCCTAACGCACCACGATGCGACGTTGAATATCCCAGGGTATGATTTCCATGTCTGGCCCTCGTAATAGTCCTGAGAGGCCATTGGCCCACCTGCCGCGCGAGGCAACTTTCGACCCGTTGATTCATTGAGGTGAGGATGTGGGTTAGATTGGAAGATAGGTCTAATGTGATCTTTGAGTATGTATTCGAGGAGATGTAGGTCGGGACTCGAGAACGGTTCAAGGACAGCTAGTAGTGAAATAAATCAATCAGATTGACATGATATAAGTCACGAAAAGAGAAGAAAGGTGCACACATATAGCGAGGTTATGAGAACGTTCCGACACCCAACTTCCGGGCCCGGTAAATGCAGCAACTGTAGATACGAGGTTTGCCTTGTTCTGCAAAGACAACTGTAGGTGCTCCTCTCTTGCTACGAGGTCCTTGAGACGCGTTAGAGAGTTTTCGGTAGTTATCTTCCAGGTATTCAGACGGGTGATTGTATCATCTTCTGTTATTCTGCCATAGTGCGAATATTCTTGAGGTATGCTGAGAGATAGGATGGTGGTGCTGATTGCAGACATGGAAGAGTGATTAGTTGCAAAGTTCCGCCACCATGTCTTGCAAACATACTACCATTACTGTTACCCCATCCTAAGCTTAAGCACCACTCACTGGCAGTACTCAGCAAACTTGCAATAAAAAAACATTGTATTCGCTTTATTTCAGACCTGAATAAAAAATGAACGGATCTCTGATCAGTTCGTACGCCCCCAATGACCCTCGCTTGCCCAATCCTGAATCCCCGTCTCCGCTGCAACAGACCCATTCACGATAACCCATCCCACTGCCGTCCAGACATCCCTGCAAGCTGGCGCCTCCTTCGCCAAGTTCGATCCCTCTGGAAAATATGTTGTCGCAGCCGGCAAGGGCGATGGCTCAGCGGCAGTCTGGGATCTGAGCACGCGTGCTGCTGTGCGCTGGCTGGAGGGACACGTCAAGAGTGTCACCAGCGTCGAGTAAGTCCTTTTCCTCATAGATGGGCTAAATTTATTGCGTGTGGTGTATCGAGAGCTTATGGGTTCTGACAGCTGGTCGCGCAACTCACGGTATGTCCTGACGTCCTCTAAAGACTGGAACATCAGCGTGTGGGACCTCGCCTCCGACTTGGACTCTCCCCAGCGGCGCGACGTTATCCGTTTTGACGCGCCCGTTCAATCTGCGTCTTTTCATCCTCGAAACTGGTATATCCATTCATTTATCCCAATCCCAACGCCAGCAACCGGCCTAACTAATCACTGTCAGCCGCATACTCCTCGTCCTTCTGGCCACGGGCGAAGCCTACATCGTCGACCAGCGCAAAAAATACAGAGGGCGTGTGGAGCTGCTGGAGGTATTCGACGATAGTGATGACGAGGCCCAGATGGGAAGAGCACGGTGCGTTGGGTACATCGGTTTTCATGTCCTTATCATGCTCACTATGTTGGTCCTGTGTCGTGTGGAATAGATCTGCGATGACAGTGGCTCAGTTTGAACCGTCCGGGAAGCACGCATTCATCGGTACCTCGTCTGGTTCTATACTCGTGTTCAACGCCAGGACCAAAACTGTTAGTTCTATCCTTCAACATATTCCCATTTTTCTGCAGTTAGATCCTATTCTAAATCATTCATTTTACATCCTGAAACCGCTTTTTCCATTTGACGTTTCCTTCCCTAGATGGTAGCGCGCCATAAAATCACGGGCGCAGGTGCTATGAAAGGGCTTGATTTCACCAAAAATGGACGGTGAGTGGCCACATCCTTGTAACGTTTAACTGGCCAGCCAACCAACCCAACACACCCCACTTAGCCGCTTTGTAACAAATTCTTCAGACCGAACTATCCGTCAATTCCAAATGCCCACCTACCCACCTCCCAATGCCGAACGAGAATTTATCGAACAAGAGCTTGATCCCACGCATCGGTTCAATGACCCCATCAATAAAATAGCATGGCACGCTGTATCCTACAGCCCGGATGGAGAATGGCTTTCTGGTGGTACGTACATTGTTTCCTTCAGTGGGTTTTCTCGGGTTGACGTGTTTTGGGTTTTGAATTAGGCGCGGCGGATCCTGCGGCTCACAAGATTTACATATGGGATATCTCGAATGACGGACAATTTGCAAGTGCGTTGGATGGAGGGAGGGAACCTCTTGTACACGTACACGTGAGTACAAACTCCTTTTCCCTCCCCTTGCATATTTTCCCCCCTGGCCCGGCTGGAAGAACCTCATCGTTTAATTCGCAAATTTGCATATTCAAACCATACAGTGGCATCCGCGCAAATCATCCATCGCATCGACTACGAACCAAGGCAACATACTGATCTGGCACTGTCCCACCCCAGAGCGGTGGGGCGCTTTCGCGGGGGGTTTCGAAGAGGTGGATGAGAATGTTGTGTATGAGGAGAAGGAGGACGAATTTGATATCGTGAGTGGACTGACACCTTTTGTTTCCTGGGTATTTGCGTTGGAATGCGTTGGAGGAACTGGCGAGGTATGGCGTTGGGTATTGTGATTTTACTTGTTCTGATATGACGATTACCTCTGTCCATGGGGCATATGATGCATCAACACAGATCCTATCGTGAATCCGGCCGAACACAAGAACTAACCGTCTCTCATACAGGAAGACGAAAGTGAGCTCGCGATGCGGAAGAAGAAGCAAGAAGACGAAGAGGTGGATGTAATGGGTGGTGTGATGGAGGAGGAAGATGCGAACGTGATATCGATGGACGTGGACGACGAGGACGTGGAGTGGGCGGACGACGAGCCGGATGACGATTTGAAGGGGTGGAAGATGCCGATTGTGATGGAGGATGAATTTGAGGATGGGCTTTGAGTGTCAGTCTTTGTGAGCATATTAGGCCATGTTGCGAAATTGAAGAGGATGCTGACAGCGCAGTTTGGAGGTTCACTCAATTATGGATGACAAATGGGATATCTTTTAGTTAGGTGACTAGTTAGTACACAGCATTACAAGGAAAACATCAGACATAACATGTTCGTCGATGGACTCTGGTCCAGGCACGTTTTCCCCATCTTGTCCCCGGTCCGCCTGTTATTTCATCATTGAAACTCCCATCTGCAACCTATGATTATAACCAGCCTTTTGTGGCTATTACTATATTTCACATGGTATTTACATATATTTGGTATATAAGAAGCTTTGTGTTTCCTGTTTTATGGCATTTGTGTGCCAAAGTATCCTTCTCCCACTTGTTCCCATGCTCTGAAGGTGTGAATCTCCAACACAAACAAATCAACATGTTGCATCATTATCTTATCTTGTTGTTGCTACCTCATTACTGCTTGCTTATATCATTGTCTTCTTGCATTGTAATCATTGTTGTTGCTGTCACCGTTGTCATTTGGTGTCAGAACTGTGACCTTATGGAGTGTCGGAATTATGGAGTACGGGGATGGAGCAGGGGATAACGGAGTATGAGATGGGGAATTGGCTTAGCTCGTGCACTAGGCCCTTCCGCGGACCTTGGTCCCTAACTCGACGGAATGGATGGAGGAGAATAGAAGATGAAAAGGGAACAGAGTAAAGATCCTTCCAAGAAGGATTGGAGGACTTAGAAAGGGACTTGTAAAAAGTTGAGGGAATCTAGTTGATATTTGAACTGCAGGAACGGAGTACAGGAGCTACAACTTATATACTGTTGGAGGAGTAGGGGCTCATAAGGAGTAAGGAGTAATGTAGGTATGGAGTTCCATGCGGACAATTATCTAGCGAGAGAGAAACGTACGTGCAAGGAGTGTATCATAAGGTCTAAACTACAGAGTCCATGAGGAATACAAGAACATGCATAGGAAAGTGTATGGTGGACTAGAAGTCCCGTTGTCGATGATGAGAACTGCTGTTAGAAAACCACACACAAAACAAACTAACACACAATCCTCCCAGATTCCACGAAACTTGTTTATGGGCTTTGCCTCCTAGAACAGTGGAGTGGTCTGGTTGTTCGTGGGGTGGTACATAAAAAGATCCTTCAAAGTAAAACCCAGAGGTGTATGAGTGTGGGTTTTGAGGAGGAGGGATAGTTGAATTGATAGAAGATAGGGGCTTTGTGACGAGTATAGACGAGCACTACCTTGCTAATCGTAGCACAAGGTAGGTTTGAGAACAACAATATGACGAGGTTCCCAGTGATAGCAGGCTCCTGACGCACAAACTGTAGTGCTCAGAAGGACTCTAATCGAAAGGGATGACAATGACTTCAAAAGTGGGAAGTGACGATGACAGCAGTTGACAGTGGTAGAAGTGGGAAGTGTTGTGACCACACTGGATCACAAGTAGCAGAGTAGTGAACTTGAGAGTAGAGAAGAAGTCTGGATTGGAGTTCTTTTTTTTTTTTTACAAGGTAAAATACAGGGGTTTATATAGTAAAAGAAAAGTAGGCTATGCACAGTATAGCTGTGCAAAAAGAATGAGAAAGAATATGAAGGAAGGAATGTACGCTGACGAATCCTGCGTAGGTAGTACAGGATAAGATTGTCAAAAAAAGAAAAGAAAGGGATAGAACAATAAATGCTGTGAGTAATGTCACAGGTTTGTACAGCCATAAAGTAAAGTCCAATAGCAAAAAGAGAGCAGGAAAATCATGATGTCATGGGAAGATGCAGTAAAAAAAGGGCAAGGCAAAACACTATCAGTATCAACACAGTTCCTTTATTGTCAGTCAGGCATTCTAAAAAAATATGTGTCCATAAAAATGATTCAAAAATCAAAAATAATTGCACTGTAAATGAATGTTCTGCTGAAGAAAAAGAAACTGGAGCCACCGGTCCACCACCTAGTCCAAATCTGATAGTTCCATGGCCTTACCAATGGACTGGTTGTGTTGGACCACCTGATCAAACGAGGGAGGGAGAGAAGTAGTTCCAATTTGGAACAAGTGAGTCCCAGGCAGCGTGTGGTAGGTGTAGCTGTAGCAAAGACAATGGACAAAAGATAAGTGTACCCAAGTGAATGGGACAGCGATGAACATGGGCGACGCAAGGGGATGAACCTTCTCCAGCTCAAAAACTACCCACCCACGCTCCAACCAGGCAAGACGAGCGACCGATGTTTTGATAGTATATGATGGCAGATCGACGTCATGAAGATGGACCTGTTGCCCTATTTGGACCGGCCGCCGGGGCTTTGCTGATATCAGCAGTGGCACGTGGTAGTCAACGGATCGGCGACGGAAGCGGATAGGAAGTGGTGACATCAGAAATGGTGGGGGTGCAAATAAGATGAGGAGGAGGAGGGTGGAGGTGACAAACAAGTGGATTAGAATGGGGATCCAGAAACGACCGTCAGGTGAGAATAAAAAGGAGAGGAAGGGGCCCATGGTGGGGCTAGGCAAAGGAAGGGGAGTAAGGGAAACGACAAAAGCGAGGGCGCAATGCAATGTGTAGCCAGTGGTGACGCGAAAATTTGCCGAAATGCCGAAATGCGGAAAGTACCGAATGGAAAAGCAAAGGTGAGCGTGACTGGATTGCCTAATAGAGGTGGTGCTGATCAGCCACAAGTTCAAAAAGGGCAATATTAATTACTATTCCACGTGGCACTGTGCCTGTGTGGCGCAAAGGCGAGTCTTTTTGAATATTCACTTCGTTATTGACACCTGTCCATGCTACCAATCAACTTTGGTGCATGACACCGTGTAGGAGTATCAGAATGAGAGTCCGGAGTACCATGTAGGGGTGGGGCACAGGGCTATGCCAACTGGCAGGCCATGAGGAACGTAATCCCGAGAATACTGAAGATTCGGGAGGTTTGGACTTGAGGAAATACATATGTACAAACAAACTATAGCATTATATATACCCTAATAGATGAAGGAGACTCCTCAGCGAATCCTCCTGTTGATTGCGCTCAACTAACTCAGTCTTATCCTAAGGGGTATATCTACTCCTCCATCTACCCTCTCTGCTTGTCCCCATTGCGTGCCAAAGTCTACAAACTTTGGTTGTAATACCATTGGTATTGTCAAGGTCAAAGCCTAGGCCTTGTTAGAGAACATTGTGCAATCGACTGTTAATATCTAAGGGCTGGTAGCTTAGTTGATTAGAGCACCACCATATATAGCAGAGGTCCTGGGTTCAATCTCTAGCTAGTCCATTTTGCTTTTCTGTACTCTCTGAGCCCACTGTGGATTATTATATTATCAATATCTCTATTACCATCATTATGGAAGCTGCTGTTGCATTTGCAGTTGTCCTCAACATCCATGTCTTTCCTTGTACTTCATGATTCTCGGATTGCCTTACACAAAACTTTTGGGGATCATATGTGCGTATATGCATATTTAATCAAACTGTTTTTTGACTTATGTTTTTGATTGTCCAGAAAGCAGAATCACTTTACATAAATATTCTAGTTAGCCTTCTGCTGTTGTATTTGTACCAGCTAAATCTGAGTTCTACATTCTCAGTGTCGAGATTTGGTGCAATCACTTTCTGTAATATAATCTCAGTTATTACGGCACAGGAGAATTATCAGTATCAGGTGGCTCTCAACCTCACCTTTCCACCATTGTCTTCCCATTATCCATTGTTGCTGTTGATGATGAAGACTGTTTGCTAGAAAACCACACACAAACAAACTAACAAAACAATCCTCCCAGATTCCACATAAATTGTTTATGGGCTTTGCCTCCTAGAACGGTGGGTGATCTGGTTGTTTGTGGGGTGGTATGTATAATGATCCTACAAAGTGAAACCCAGAAATGTGTGGGTGTGGGTTTGGAGGAGGAGGGATAGATGGAATTTGGAAGATAGGGGCTTTGTACTGGAACAATGAAGATAACAAGATTCCCATGATAGCAGGCTCCTGATGCACAAACTGTAGTACTCAGAAGGACTCTAATCAAAAGGGATGACAGTGACTTCTGTAATGGCAAGTGACAATGACAGCAATTAACAGTAGTAGTAGATGGAAGTGTTGTGACCACACTGGATCACAAGTAGCGGTGAGTAGTGGACTTGAGATTAGAGGACAAGTCTGGATTGGATTTCTTGTTTTTTTTATAAGGTATAATACAGGGGTTTATATAGTAAAAGAAAGGAAGGCTATGCACAGTATAGCTGTGCAAAAAGAATAAGAAAGAACATGAAAGAAGGAATATACACTGATGAATCCTGTGTAGATAGTACAGGATGAGATCGTCACAATAAGGAAAAGAAAGGATAGAACAACAAATGCTGTGTAGGTAATATCACAGGTATGTATAGCCATAAAATAAAGTCCAATAGCAGAAAGAGAGTAAGAAAATTATGGTGTCATGGGAAGATGCAGTGAAAAAGGCAAGGCAAAAATAATATTAGTATTAACACAGTTCCCTTGTTGTCAGTCAGGCATTCTAAAAAAATATGTGTTGTTAAAAATGATTCAAAAATCAAGAATAATTGCACTACAAATGAATGTTCTGCTGGGGAAAAAAGGAACTGGAGCCACCAGTTCACCACTTAGTCCAAATCCGATGGTTCCATGGCCTTACCAATGGTCTGGTTGTATTAGACCACCTGGTCAAACGAGGGAGGGAAAGGAGTAGTTCCAATCTGGAACAGATGTGTCCCAGGTAGCGTGTGGTAAGTGTAGCTGTAGCAAAGACAATGGACGAAGGATAAAAGTACCCAAGCAAATAAGATGGCAATGTACATGGATGACGCAAGAGGATAGACCTTTTCCAACTCAAAAACTACCCACCCACGTTCAAACCAGGCAAGATGAGAGACCAGTGTCAGGCAACAAATATGAAGCTATATAACAAAACTTAATGCCTGGTCAAGTCCTTGATAAAAGGCGTGTGAGGAATTGATTTTTCTTATTGCATTCCCGTCATGTCGTGGTTAACAGACTCGATCCCTGTCACTCCTCTTGCCCTTGGACTAGAGATCACAGCCGGTATCTTATTGCTTTTATCCTTTTTCTTCTTATTCTCTATTCACACTCACGTCCTATCGTACTTACAACGAAGGAGACTTGTTGTAGACCCTTGAGAAGATATCCAAATGACATAGCAATGATCCAGTGCTATGTCTGGGAATACTTCGGAGGGATATTGATAAGCGAAGAAGGTTGTGAGTCAGCGCCTTCTCATGGGCTTACTGATACAGCCAATCGCACACCCCTTACCAATACTTTTTCTCATACAATTAGTAAATACGATAGATTGGACCACTTTCTCCTTCTATTCCTATTGGTTAGTCAGTTGATCAGACCACTTTCTTAATTCTTCCCTGTCTCGGTCTGACCCTTGCCGTTGTCATGCACCAAAGTTGATTGGTAGCATGGACAGGTGTCAATAACGAAGCGAATATTCAAAAAGACTCGCCTTTGCGCCACACAGGCACAGTGCCACGTGGAATAGTAATTAATATTGCCCTTTTTGAACTTGTGGCTGATCAGCACCACCTCTATTAGGCAATCCAGTCACGCTCACCTTTGCTTTTCCATTCGGTACTTTCCGCATTTCGGCATTTCGGCAAATTTTCGCGTCACCACTGGCTACACATTGCATTGCGCCCTCGCTTTTGTCGTTTCCCTTACTCCCCTTCCTTTGCCTAGCCCCACCATGGGCCCCTTCCTCTCCTTTTTATTCTCACCTGACGGTCGTTTCTGGATCCCCATTCTAATCCACTTGTTTGTCACCTCCACCCTCCTCCTCCTCATCTTATTTGCACCCCCACCATTTCTGATGTCACCACTTCCTATCCGCTTCCGTCGCCGATCCGTTGACTACCACGTGCCACTGCTGATATCAGCAAAGCCCCGGCGGCCGGTCCAAATAGGGCAACAGGTCCATCTTCATGACGTCGATCTGCCATCATATACTATCAAAACATCGGTCGCTCGTCTTGCCTGGTTGGAGCGTGGGTGGGTAGTTTTTGAGCTGGAGAAGGTTCATCCCCTTGCGTCGCCCATGTTCATCGCTGTCCCATTCACTTGGGTACACTTATCTTTTGTCCATTGTCTTTGCTACAGCTACACCTACCACACGCTGCCTGGGACTCACTTGTTCCAAATTGGAACTACTCCTCTCCCTCCCTCGTTTGATCAGGTGGTCCAACACAACCAGTCCATTGGTAAGGCCATGGAACTGTCAGATTTGGACTAGGTGGTGGACCGGTGGCTCCAGTTTCTTTTTTTTCAGCAGAACATTCATTTACAGTGCAATTATTTTTGATTTTTGAATCATTTTTATGGACACATATTTTTTTAGAATGCCTGACTGACAATAAAGGAACTGTGTTGATACTGATAGTGTTTTGCCTTGCCCTTTTTTTACTGCATCTTCCCATGACATCATGATCTTCCTGCTCTCTTTTTGCTATTGGACTTTACTTTATGGCTGTACAAACCTGTGACATTACTCACAGCATTTATTGTTCTATCCCTTTCTTTTCTTTTTTTGACAATCTTATCCTGTACTACCTACGCAGGATTCGTCAGCGTACATTCCTTCCTTCATATTCTTTCTCATTCTTTTTGCACAGCTATACTGTGCATAGCCTACTTTTCTTTTACTATATAAACCCCTGTATTTTACCTTGTAAAAAAAAAAAACAAGAAATCCAATCCAGACTTCTTCTCTACTCTCAAGTTCACTACTCTACTACTTGTGATCCAGTGTGGTCACAACACTTCCCACTTCTACCACTGTTAACTGCTGTCATCGTCACTCGTCACTTTTTGAAAGTGATTGTCATCCCCTTCGATTAGAGTCCTTCTGAGCACTACAGTTTGTGTGTCAGGAGCCTGCTATCACTGGGAACCTCGTCATATTGTTGTTCTCAAACCTACCTTGTGCTACGATTAGCAAGGTAGTGCTCGTCTATACTCGTCACAAAGCCCCTATCCTTCTATAAATTCAACTATCCCTACTCCTCAAAACCCACACTCATACACCTCTGGGTTTTACTTTGAAGGATCTTTATACGTACCACCCCACGAACAACCAGACCACTCCACTGTTCTAGGAGGCAAAGCCCATAAACAAGTTCCGTGGAATCTGGGAGGATTGTGTGTTAGTTTGTTTTTGTGTGTGGTTTTCTAACTGCAGTTCTCATCATCGACACCGTTTGACCAATTTTAACACAGGTTTGGTTTGGGGTTCAGACAAAAGTGTCCAAGAACCAAACTGAACTGAACTTTACTACCCCTATGGGCCATTGAGCGTATCCTATGTGCCCCTTGGAGGCAAGGTCCCCATTGCTGTCACTCCTCAAAGTGATGGCCAGTGTGATGCAATGTTAAACTATAACAAAAACGATACCCGTCTCCAACTGCACTTGCAGGGAGTAAGAGGTACAGTGAGCTTGAGGTCGACAGATGCTAGCAAATATAGCAAGTAGAGGACTTGGGAGTAAACTCAAGGGTTTCTGTTGAGGAGTAAAGCGGGTAATTCAAGTAATAAAAAGCTAAAGAACTATACATGAATGTGTAGGGCTTATATAGCTAACTGTCTATCCCTCAGACTGAAAGAGGAATAAACAAAAAGTGGTCTGAGGAAGAAATCAGCCAATAAGAGAAAGAATAACTATTGTACGACTTTTAAGGATTAATCAGTAGGTGAGAGAGTGTACTAATAATAAGTATTTTTACGCGTGTTCAGGAACCATATCCTCGTGATGAGGTACGATCCTGACTAAAGTGTTTATGAATATCTCCAGGCACTGATGGGGCTTAGAGCTGGTTGGTGAGATGTCTACCACCAGTGCTTACCCATTGTGTTGGCTGGCTGGGAGTGTTACCCAGTCTCTGATCTGCGATATAAAGTGGTAACAATAATTGAGAAAGCCTGTGAGGGCTATGAGAAGCAAAATAGCAAATGATACCTCTAGCCCTAGAGCCAGAGGTGTGATGGGAAAAGTGTCTGAAAACCAAGACATGGAATGAAAGGATAAGAAAATAAGAAAATATAAATGGTCCTTACAGCCAGCAGCCCCCAGCCATGTACAATGGACATCCCCAGCCCAGGAGTAGAGTCCCCCCTTTCCTTGGAGGAAAGGATAGCAAGGATGGAGCAAAGGCAGGGCATGATCGGGGATGTGTATGAGAGGATTAGCAAGCTGGAGGTTGAGAGCCAAGGAGAGGGACTACCATTTGAAGGACTTGTAATATAATTTTCATTTGCATATACTTGGTTTATATGAATTAGAGCTCTCTAAATTGCAATGTCAGTGTGTGATAAGAATGATATTTGAGTGATTGATAAATCAAGTCTAAAAAATCCGGGCAACCTATCAACATGGCCCAGGAGCCATCTGTGAGATCTACCTCAGTATTTTCCCAACTTGTCAGAGTCACTTCACTGGACTATTACCACTCCAGGCTACCCAAATCTGCGCCATGCACTATGAGATACCGATAGTGCTGTGTCACCAGTCCGCTACAACATGTCCGCTTGTTTTACTTGTTTCATTTCCCTATACAAAAATCACGGAAAAGCTGGTCCAGAACATCCTCATTATCAATCGCACCCGTCACTTTCCCGATCGCCTTGGCCGCTTGACGGACCTCCTCAGCCGCGATATCGACATATTTGCTCTCGGCTGTTCGAGGAGTAGAGGGGTGTACTGGTGAGCAAAGCAGAATACCAAAACAAAACAAAAAAGGGAGGGAGGAGGGGATGCTAGGGGCTAGAAGCAACGGGCAAAAAACTCACGGAAAGATGTGAACGCGTGCAAGTGGTCGATGGCAGTCTGGAGATGGTGTCGATGGCGTGCGTGCGTGATGAGCGGGACTGTCGAGCCGTCCTGGTCTTGTGAGAAATCGTACCTGTGTTCGTGTACGAGCGAAGTCAGTGTCAAAAAACAAATAATCTAAAAGATACACGACAAAAAACACGCTCCCGAGGTCGTCGACAGTGTCAAGGGGAAGGGGAAGGAGGAAAGCCAAACCCTCACCTTTCCCGCAAAACCTCCGTAAACCCCTCCAAAAACGTCCCCATCCCATCCCCCGTCCGCAGACTCACCGCCCACGCCCTATTCCCCAGCGCCCCCACCTCCTCTCCCTTCCCCTCCCCATCCTCGCCGCTATTGCCACCCACCACCCTAGTCCCCTCCACCGCAGCCTGCACCCCAGACATATCAGGAGGAGATTTGACCATGTCCATTTTGTTGAGCAGGAAGTAGGTTGAGGGCGTGATGAGGGGGGCGACGGAGGGGGGTATCTGGATGCGTGGCCCTTCTGGAGTTTGGACGAGGGCGTCTGGGAGGGAGAGCACACAGAGGGAGATGTTGGAGCCTTTCACGCTGTCATAGCAAGAGGATAATTATCAGCATTCAATTCATCATCTATCATCCCCCGTACTAACGTGTCCTGAGCGCGTCCTATCCCGATATTTTCAACCAGGTCATCGGCTTTGCGCAGGCCTGCTGTGTCCGCGACGATGACGGGAAGTCCACCGAGATCAAGGGAGAGCTCGACGACGTCGCGCGTCGTCCCAGGGACGTCTGTCACTATCGACGCTTCCCTCTTCGCTGTAGTCGTCAAGCAAAAGCAAAAATAGTCAGTATTCAGTCTAGATTAGCGCAAATAGAAGAATGGAGACCTAGATAGTTGAGCAAACTGCTCTTGCCTACGTTGGGAGGGCCGAATATGGCGAGTCGGATGCCAGAACGGAGGATCTCGCCGCGGGGGTTGTTGAGGTGATCGCTGATTCTGTCACATAGCCCTCGTGCCAGCTCTTGTGCTGAAACGCGTATCGACATCGTAAGAACGCGAATAATAGATGACGAGTTGGACATACTATCCTGAAAGAGCTTCTCCTCGTCGCCCTCATGAAACTCTTCCGAGAAATCGACGATAGCCTCGAGCAACACGAGACACTCCAAGATGTCGCTCCTCAGCTCGTCGAACTCCTGTTTCGCTGCTCCCTGCGAGAAAGCAAGAAACCAAGTAAACAAGTAACAAATCAAAACCGCGCGAGGACCTAGATGCAGTTGTGTTCTGAGAAAGATGATGCGGAAGTGAAGAGACGTACGCCTGCGTTTTGGAGGGCCATGCGGCGCTGGAGCTCCGTCTCGGCGTTGATGAGGTCTTTGAGTCCTTCGACCTGGGTGAGATCTAAACGCCCACCTTCAAATGCGCGCCTTGTGAACTCTCCTGGCTCTGCGGGGCGACAGCCTGGGATGTGGGCGAGGGCAGAGAGAACGGACGATATGACGGCGCGTCCGGAGTGGATGTGAAGCTCGAGGACGTCTTCTGTGGTGAATGAACTCGGGGCTGTGATCGTAATATAAAGTACCCTAGAATGTCAGAACTGAACTGTGAAGGTTGCACAAGGCATTGCGCACCTTTGAAAAAGACGACAAGGCCATCGTCGAGCTTGTCTTTAGTAGTGGGGTGCACGATGTCACGACGCTCCATCCTCCAAGGCGTTGGTTCGCGTTGACGATCGGAGGTAGGGTCTGCCCTCCTCGTCGCAGGTCGCGTCATTCCGCTCCAAGCTTGTAGGGCATCTGGGCCAGATATTCTGACCACTGCGACACCTGCTTTTCCAAGAGGGGTCGAGAGGGCATATACAGTCCTGCGCTGAGACTCTGACTGTGGGATCTCAGCGTTATTCCAAACCTGGTTACTTTCTTTCTGCTTCCCCCTTCTCTTCGCTCGCTCCTTGCCTTTCCCTACTGCCTCCTCCCCCTCCCCCTTCTCCTTTCCCTTTTCCTTGACTCTCCCTGGGTTGTCATGTGTGGTCGAGTAGTGCCTACAATGGTGACGAAGGCTGTGGTCACTGACGATCGAGGGGCGGTGCAGCGAATCAAAGCGGGAATATAGCGCGTCGACAGAAATTCTGGATAGAACGCGCCTTCCTTGGACATGCACATGTCTCTCCAATGTGCAGCCGTGTCTCGTCCAACCTCCCATCACCGTCACCATCCTCGCCGTCCTCGCCATCGTCGTCGTCGTCGTCGCACTCATGCCCTTTCCTCGTCGTCGTTTCGTTGCTGCCCCCGTGACTCGACACTCGACGGTGGCCCGTTATGGAGAGTGCCGGTCGTCTGCTCTTTGATTTCTCACGCCTTCTCCAGCCCTCGCACCTCGTCGATTGTTAGTCGCCAGTTTCAAGACACCGCCCATACGACCCCTTCACAGCAAGACCACGGTAGATACCCTTGCCATCCTTACTTCCCCACCTCCACCCCCCCCAATCTAAACCATCATGGGTCAAACACGTACGTTGCCTTCTAACCTCACCTCACCTCACCTCGCGTTAATGCCAGGACGCCTTGTCGACGATGGTACACAGCGTCCCAGTTCATGGAGGACATGCAAAAGCGCTCCAACTGTACGTTCACCCCCCACTCTCTCCTCGCTTCATCTCACCGCACTCACCCCCCTTATCCTTATCTCACAGTCACAGCCAGTGAACTCGAGCGTCTCAAAAAGCGGTTCATGAAACTAGACAGGCTAGTCCCCCCCTCTCCTCTCAGCCCCCACCCGTACTCATCCCACCTCGATTGACAACAGCGACGGTTCAGGCTCGATAGACAGAGAAGAGTTTCTCCAGATACCCCAGATAGCCACAAATCCACTAGCATCGCGCATGATCGCCATTTTCGACGAGGAGTGCGTTCCCTTTCCCTTTCCTCTCCTCGCTCCACCTCCCATTCACTACTGACCGCCCTGTCCTGTAGCGGTGGAGGCACCGTCGACTTCCAGGAATTCGTAGGCGGTCTTAGCGCATTCAGCAGTCGCGGAGGACGCGAGGAGAAATTACGGTGTACGTCTCCAACCCTTTTCCATCAGCCAAGTCCAACATATCAACTCACAACACAACCCCCGTTCACAGTCGCTTTCAAAGTGTACGACGTAGATCGTGATAACTACATATCGAACGGGGAGCTGTTCCTCGTGCTCAAGATGATGGTGGGCAACAACCTCAAGGTGAGCATATGTTTTTGGCGTCCTTTCGTCCGAGCCACCTCTCACTCACTCACTACCCTCCCTCTTCCACCCAGGACCAACAACTCCAGCAGATCGTCGACAAGACGATAATGGAGGGCGACCATGACGGAGACGGCAAGCTCAGCTTTGAAGAGTTTGCACAGATGGTATCAAACACGGTACGCTTTCCTTTTCACCCTCCCCCCCTCCCCATTCCATGCCACCTCATCCCACGCTGCGATCATCGCCTCTCACTCACTCTTCGCCACCACAGGACATTGTAAAACAAATGACGTTAGAAGATCTTTTTTGATCAGATCTCAGGAATATATAATAATACGTTCTCCCTCCTTCTCTCATTCTCGTCTTCTACTTCTACTTCCTTCTCTCTTCTCCTTCGCTGTTTCCCTTGTCTTCCCTCGCGCCGTTCCCGGCTCCAGTCCTTACCTCACCCGATACCCACCCGCTTGCCCCATCCTCCACACGTTGCCATCATCCGCCCGCCAACGTCACCTAACCCCCTCACCCCCCCAGCTCTCTCCGCATCACGTCTTCACGCCCCCGGCCACGCCAGTGACGCCGCCACCGCTCGAAACCCCATCTTCCCATCTTCCCAGCTCGTACCCGAGTGACTGTGAACCGCCCTCCCTCGTCTCTCGTCTCACCGTCTGTCACCCTTCAACGCTCCGACCCCCAGGTCCCAGGTATATAGCTGCGAGTGTAATAAGCAAAGAAAAGAAAAAAAGATGTTTTGTAGGTATAGGTGTACGTCGGGTGTATGATCCTGAATCCTTGATCCTTGAAGAGGGATGCGTGCGTTGCGAGGCGAGTCTGAAGGAAGCATGGATGAATGAGGAATGTGGAATGAAGAACGAGGCATTAATGAAGGACCGATTTTCTTGGCTTGGCTTTATCACGAATCCATTCATGATTCGGAGACCCGAGCTTGGTTGGCTGCTTCATTCATACTCTTTCTCTTCATTCTCTCAGTTCTCGTTCTCGTTCAGACCTGCCAAGCCAGCGTATACGGTATATGATGCACATATGGAATGGCTTGAATGGCTTCAAATGCGAAAAGAGTAGAGTAAAGCTAGGAAGAACAACATGAGATAAGAGAGGATGTGCAGAACGCGAACAAGTACACTATTAATGGGATGATGGCGATAGCTGGAGGGAGTGTGATGAAGAAATGTCCACCACATCAGTCCACTCTGCCCTGTCTGTCTTTCGCGACCTCGCATAATGCAACTGCAAAACAAAGCACTATATGCCTGACTGTTTGGCGTCCTAGGGGGACGATATCGGCGCCACGATCTGACACCGCCACATGACAAAACCGGAAAGCACCGAATAAATTCCTCGGCATCTCCCATTTCCCCACCCGACCATCCGGACTGCGCACATCACTCCATCTAGGGAAAAACCGATCTCGATCGACCCTATTCCTCCGGATCTCGTGATGGCAGCACTTTCGTTGGGGAGGGGTCGAGGTGGCGCGTTGACATATTAAACATAGGAGGGAGGTGCGCACCGGGGTCATGGTTTTTGCAAAGCATGTAAGATGTGTGCAAATGGAAGAGTGTTATTATAGAGTACAGTAATGGATGGGGCGTTTTTTCTGGTCTTTTTCTTTTTGGCTGTGCGAGGACGGGACGGTAGGATATGATTTGGGAGAGGCGCAGTTACTGAGAGCTCGAAACGCGGGTGGCGTCCGAGTCCTGTGCGGGGGCCGAAAAGCTGACCTGGATAATGCGATGGGCTCGGTGGAACGAGGCGAGGAAAGGAACGGATGTGCGTTGAAGATGGCTAAAAATGGCTAAGATGGGAGGGAGATGCGAGATGAGAAGTGTCGTCGTCGTGTATGTATGTATAAAAAAAAAAAAAAAAAAAAAAAAAAAAAAAAAAAAAAAAAAAAAAAAAAAAGAGTCCATAAATTACAAGTTTCCTTCTAGGTCACAGCTGCAGCTCGCCCGAGCACAACCACAACCCCTCTCCCCACAAACGACTCGTCCTCACCGTTCGAATGGGGACGACGCGTGAACATGAACGGATGCAGGCTGCTGATGATGCGCATCCCATCGCTGAGCATGATGATGTCCCCCAAACGGCGAATGCGCAGCAGGACAGCCAGCATGCGCAAAGAACGAACCGGCACTCTGCGCCGGGCTAAAGCTATTGTTAGCAGCCTGGACTTGGGCGATGTAAAACGGGTCTGTGCTCGTGAACGACGAGTCGCCGGCAAAGGAGGACGAGTAGGGGGAGGAGACGGATATGGGGAGGGGTTGGTAGGACATGGAGTAGGTGGAGAGGGAGGGCGATTTGGGGGAGGGGGGCATGAGTATGTCTTCCACCATACGCTCCTCGTCCATCTCGTCGAGGTCGCATCGGCCCTCGTCGACGCTCGTGCGGCGGGAACGAGAGCGGCCGGCGACGATGCTAGAGCTGCGTCTGCGGGCTGCTGAGTCAGCGAATGCGGAGGCGGGCCAGCTGAATGAAGAGGAGGGGGTGCGACCTGTGGGGGTGTTGCAGGGCTGTGCAAAGACGGGGTCGCGTCGTGGGGTGTTTACGGTGTGGATGTGGGGGGAGGCGGAGGAAAGCTGGTGTGCGAAGAGGGTCTGAGCGAGCTGTGCCTTTTGAAGAGTACGGGTGAGAGGACATGAAGAGATGGAGAGATTGTGAGTGTGGAGACATACCTGTAACGCAGCGAGGTCTATTGCCTCTTGGCCGATATGACTTCCGGAGAGGGAAGCGACGAGGTCATCTACGGAGAGACTCATAGGTAGATTGTATATTGGAGGGTGAGGGGAAGACAAGAAGACAAGAAGGCGGGCGGGGGTGTTATATATGATAAGAAGAGGAATCGAAAGAGGCTGTATAAATCCATCAGAGAAACACGTGCACGAAAAGAGGACCCAAGGACGTCTCTCTCTTCTCTCTCTTCCCCCTCGAAACTTGCCGGTCCGTGCCGCGGTCACCGGCTCTTCGCAGGGGGGCGTGCTGGATGGCATGACAATGATGGCATGGCATGGCAGAGCACAGGCAGCTGTGCATGTTATTTTCTGAGAGGCTGGAAGGGTTCTCCCGGAGGAGGGGAAGATAGCGGAGAGGGGGTGTAGGTGAGGAGGGGACACGATGCTGGCATGGGCAAATCAGTCGGACCGGCACTGGGAGGGTCGACTCGGTTCGCGATCTGAGATGAAGATCAACAGCAGCAATGCTAAATTGCAATGCGGAGTCAATTCCGAGCCAACTCGGTTCGGCTTAGTCTCCCTTCAGTGTCCTCGTCGACTGGCTAAACTGTCCATCCCACTCACAGGCCCACCCACCGGCATCATCCGTGCGCTCTATAATTGCTTCATCCATTGCCATCATCGCGCCCTCCTTCGCTCCCGCCCAAGCACCCTCTCCTCCGTATGGTCCTTCTGACAGAATCGTGCACTTCAAGTCACTCTCTGCATCACTCACCTCTTTTCTTAACAGCGCCAACAAGCACTGGCCCAAGCTCTTCCTTCTCACCGCCTAACCTAAACACAAAATGACACCACGGAATTCAGAAACCTTGAACACAGACGCAGCAGAGAAAACACGGAAAGTCCGGTCCCAGGGTACGGATATGTCCCTCCGTCGCGGTTATTTTTGAGCGTCTGACGTTGTCGCTACCCCTCCTATTCTATTCCGAGTATTCTCATCCCATTGACATGTTGGCTACTATGCCATGATCGTCTATCGTCTATCGTCGTCCCGCGAGGACCCAGGCACGGCCCGTCCCCCTCCCTGCCCTTCTTCCTTTACCGCGCTCAACCCCCCCAAGTCGTCCAATTATACATGCCGATAGCATCATCGTATGGCTCTGGCTCTGGCTCTGGCTCTTGTTTCCACCGCGCTCAACCTCCCAAATTATCTAATTATACACAGATGGCATCATTGTTGAGCTCTGGCTCTGGCTCTCGTTCTCGGATCCTCCGCATCCAGCCCCCTCTCCCCTGGCGGGTGCGGGCCCATTGGGGGGGAACCCCGTTTCTGAATACCGGCATCCAAAGGTGCCCGAGCAAGTGTTAAAAGCGGAGAGCGACGGCTGTCGCATACGTGAACACATCCATCCCATGTCCTTATCCTATCCTGTCCCGTATTCCGTATTCTACAGTGTATAGCCCAGCAGGACGGAGAAACGGGGGCGTTTTTGCGAGCTTGAGCATGAGGTTGAGCGCTGAGCATTAAGAGAGAGCGTACTGTAATTATCAGATACTAGCGAATACGCATATGTAGAGTACTGTTGAAGTGGGGGATGACATATGCTGTAGTTGGTATGCTATGGTGGAGACGTGATGCATGATAGGGTATACTATAGTAAAGCTCATTAGTCGTGTGAAGTACGTCGATCATGATACAACGAAATAGAGATGGAGATGGCCCCTTGAAACCCAAAGAAAGAATACATATCGTCATCAGTCCATCCATCCATCCGTCCGGTATGTGTATATTCACTCAGATAACCAGGGTATCAAGTGACTGACGACCCACCGTCCAGCGGTCGGCGCAGGCTCAGGCAGGGCTAGTCCCGTCGAGGATCGTCGGGTGCAGCAGCGTCAGGCTGAGCCGTATGAGCCGTATGAGCCGTATGAGCCCCCGGTGCGCGGGAGGAAAGAAAAGGGAAGCGCGAGAAGACGATGGAGGCGAGCTCGATGTCATTCGTGTGTGTGTCTGAGCGCTCAGAGAGGAAGCGTTGGCGCATGTTGATGAGGAGGCGGTTCCCGAGGAGGGAGGGGAGGGCGGCTGACCAGCTGGGAGGCGTTGGATGCGGTGTGTGATGTGGAGGGTGGTTAAGTGGATGGTTAGGATGAGGAGTATAGGAAGGGGTGGGCGAGACGTACGGCATGACGACGTTGAGATACGTGGGGAACCGGGCCCATATGATGGTGGCAATGAGAAGTTGGGCGAATATGCTGGGAGGGATTGGCGTTGACAACGGTCGGATGACGAGTCAAGAACGAGGAACGAGGAATAAGAAGAACTCACGCTAAAAAGTACAGCAAGCTGGATACCAAAAAAAAAATTGTGAGATCGTGAGATTGTCCGGGGTTATCGTATGCTTCACATCGAGTCACTCACCTTTCTCTGGCGAGGGCAGTGAAGATGGTGCCCCGCGCATACAGAGTGCGCGCGGCTTTGAAGAGGACGAACCCTAACAGCAGGGGCTCTACCACGAGTACGGGGGTCCAGAAGAGGGCGGAGAGAGGGAGGACGCCTGAGTAGTAACACCCAGTTGCAGTGGACACGACGGGAAGCACTGTTTATCAGCAATAATTAATTCGATATCCACAGTCGTAGTGATTGTGAACCGCGATGTGCATGGATGAAGGAAAGGATAGGGACGTACTTTCGATGCGGGATATCGTGATGCCAACGAGAGTGGCCATGATGGCGACCTCGACGCCGCTCATGACGGCAAGGAGCACCAGCATTTTGGAGCTCCTTTCGTATATTGCCCATACCTCAAAGCCTTTGTCAGGACGAAAATCGCAGCCAAGAGGAATTGAACATACCCGTGCTTGTAGGATTACTGAACATGTACATCAAGCTTAGATATATTCTGAAATTTTGATATAAAAATTCGCTCACATTGGACGGTGACGGTGGTAATAAGGGTTCTGCTTATTTCAAGTTATTGGTCATGATGAGAAGCAAGCGTACTCACACAATGTCGTCAAACATGAGATAGATCACACATCTAGGTTCGAACGGAAAGCATTAAAGTTCTGCCACTATATCAGAATTGACGACAGATCTAACATCTGCGGGGATCAGTATCTGTAAAATGGTGTAAAACAAGCGCTTACTTTAGAAGAGACGACGCCGCTGGGGGTTAATGGGACTGCGACAAGCAGGCCATAAGTCGTGTTAAGAGATGGGCAGATGGACACATACTTATATCAAAGGTGAGCCAGATGAGCGCGAACCAGCCGTTCTGCGGAGACGATAGATAGATTAGCGTTAGATATATTTTTACCACTACCAGGGACTTACAAAAATATACAAGTAATGAATCCAAGTACGCTTTCTGGACCACATAACGCCATACTGAAGTTGAGGTTATATTAAGAATCTACGTTGAGTTTGTATTAGTTATATACCTCAGTGTGTATCATTATGACTAGCGGAGAAAATCGTTAGCGCTATCAGATCAGCCATACTCATGCGAAAGAGACATACAGCGCTCGTATATCAAAAGACCCAGTGCACCTGCTCGTGACTGCTTTCCAATATCCACTATCATCGTCGAAAGTGGTACGAGAGGAAGATATCATAAATTGGAGTCAGCAAAAGCCGAACACGGTGAATACGACGGCTTACAAGCTCGGAGAACATTTAAGGGTAGAGAGGAGGACTCTGTCTGGGACATTGTTGATCAAGGACGTGGAGGAATCAAACCATTCGCTTTCCCAGATGACAGACTTCGAATGATGCTAGTAGGTGGAGAAGGAAAGGGATATCAGCAAGATCTGCGGCTACAGTATATTTTTATACAAGTACGAGCGCCATAGTGGGGCTGACTCGGAAAAGGTGCATGATCATGTTTATGCAAACTAACAGTCGAAGTTACCGATACTGACGCATCATTGACATGTGCAGCGGATGCAAATAGACACCGTGACCGCCGGCACGAAATCCATAAGTCTTCAGCGTTTCCTTTAGGGACAACTTGCCCACGATGATGTTTGATCTTTAAGCTGGTTTTTCAACGTCAGAGACGCCCTTTAGGAATATCTTGCCAGAAAAAGGTTCACTGGCAACATGTTGAAATACCGCATCAAGTTAAAGTGGAGTTAGCGATCTTATTCGAGGAGTATTTTCACAATGTAGACAGTGCTTCGTGTGAATGTGCATGCAACATTTGGTGTTCGCGAGGACGTTAACAATTTCCTCGCTGAAGTACACCTTCTAATCCCGCCCTATAATATTGTAAGTAGTAGTGAGACGACTCCCTTCTGGCTGAGCGGTACGTAGAAGTTATACCTAGAAACTGTAATATAGTCAATAAATCTCTTCGCCGACCTCGGTTCACTTACCAAAAAAACTCATCCGTGTTGTTCACGTTCTTGGAAAATCAACCTAATCACCCAATACACAATCAAGGCTATCCAAAGGTAGCTTGGCTGACAGCTTAATCTTACCCATTCACCTACCACCTTGGAGACGGCCAAAGCAAATTCGCAACATCAGCCAAATTCAACTGAAACTGTTGAACACGTTGATAGTGATGGTCTACTCACCAGTTCAGGCCAGTTCATCCCACGATGACTTTAACTGCCCTCCAGCAACTACACAGGGTTCAGGACCAGAACCACAATTTACCATCACCCCCTTGGGAGCGATGATGTAGATGGAGGTGGAAAGTGGAAACAGATGCTGCCCAGGAGGTCGCCAAAGACATAAAGGAAAACATTGCAAAAAATACAGGCAGTAGAGAACTGAGTTACTGAGGCATTAGAGGTCAAACTATACATTTTGGTGTTGCTCTTATGATGTTGGCATCAGCATCAGCATATAACGGCAAGTGTCTTATGCAGTATGGAACTTGAAGGCAAGGTGGTAGTTCGGAAGGCTCCGCTAACCCTGAGTACTTCAGAGTTGTGGTCACTTGGCCTTAGTCATCGTCATGATCGAGTTGCTCCTCTTGATGATCGACTCGTTCTAGTTATGCCATTCCCGACGTCATCATCCAGATCGTCATCTATGATCATTCGAGCCTTAGGAGAGGACGCGTTTCATATATAAATCCTTTGGATCCTCTTCGTCAATTCCTCAAACGCTCCCTCTCATATATCATCGTCCAAAATATTCATCATTCAGCCATGTCCGCAAAAGATATTGTCACCGCTTACGATGTTGCAGTCCCCGAAAAACAAACGCAAGACCAGCCAGGTCTAGATAAGTACATGAAACGTGAGTTTATACAACAAACTTGCACGTGGCTTTTTGTGAGATTATATCCCAGCCGGAGTGGAGTTTATCAGGCAAGAAGTTTGGGACAATGATGGAAAGCCCCACTTGAAAGATTATGTCGGTAGCGGCAAGTGAGTTCGTCATGTTTTTTGCTTCATGTATGCGCTTACATTTACTATTCAGATTGCAAGGCAAATACGCTATCATTACTGGCGGTGATAGTGGCATTGGTCGTGCCACTGCAATAATGTTTGCGCGCGAGGGTGCCAAGGGCATAACTATTTCTCATCTCCCGGAAGAAGAGGAAGATGCAAAGCACGCAGCGAATGCGATGAGAAAGGACGGGGGTGGCATTGAGATCAATGTCGTCTCGCTAAACTTGCAGCATGAGGCTGATTGCAAGAAGCTGGTGGATTCGCACATGCAGAAATTCGGCACTCTGAATATTCTGGTCAACAACGCCTCCAAGCAAATGTAATTTTTGTTTCCTCGGTCTGGAATGCAGAATATGGCTGACATTATCTTTTCAGCATATGCCCGAATTTCGTCGACATCGACCTCAAGAATGTACGGAGTACTTTCGAATCCAATATCATCCAGATGTTCGCAGTTACGAAATTTGCTCTACCACACCTGAAACGGGGTTCGGCTATCATCAATACGACTTCAGTGGTTGCCTACGCGGGGGCTCCTAATCTTGGTAAGTTTTTTTTTGGCATTTGTCGTGGTGCTAACTCCATTACTAGTCGATTATAGTACCACAAAAGGTGCCATTCTCACCTTTACGCGATCTCTCGCTATGCACCTCGCGCCTCAAGGCATTCGCGTGAACGCTGTTGCTCCTGGGCCTGTGATGACCCCTTTGCAGCCAGCAAGTCGCTCTGCCGAAGAGATGGAGGAATTTGGTGTCGGTGTTGCCCTTCATGGGCGTGCAGCTCAACCTGCTGAGCTTGGACCGGCCTTTGTCTTCCTTGCGTCCGCGGACTCCAATGTCATGACTGGAGCCTGTATGCATGTCAATAGTAAGTGATCATCTAATGCGGTGATAGACGACTATTCAACTTGACCTCCAGATGGAATGCATGTTGGCGGTTCCTAGAATCACATTCGAAGGACTTTGACCATACGCAATGCTGTATTAATAGTTGTGCAATCGTAAATGTATTGTAGCTTTGTAATGATAAGTGTGCTAATGTTACCACTCATACTAGAATGTGCAGAATATCTGATGTACTAGGCGGACAGTGATTGAAAGCAAACGGTCCATGTCTATTTTGATGTTACCGTCAATAACATTTCCAGAATATACATCCACAATCCGAGCATACACGTCGTTATCGACAAGTTGGACAATCGATGTCAAAGGATATACGTACTTTGCATTACACCAACCCGACGTCTGGGGTTAGCCTGAGCTGCTTTTCGTGTCCACGAAACCACAAGTATTATGCGATGATATTGTCAAACCGTTGTTCGCAACCGGTGCAGATCGCTACAGTACTTATATGCATTAGCACGTTCGCAGGTTACGAAAGTGATAAACAAAGACGGACCATAACCGCATCTTATTGGTCAGCTAAGCGATGTTCCCAAAACAAACAAACTCTCTAGCTTATACTGCTACCGTTCAGCTGGACCTGGGCGAGTCAGATTCATCATGATACTGTCGATACTGTAGGACTCGAATCTCACGAAGGAAACAGGAGAGGGACCCTAAACAGTTTCACATGGGCCACGATGGTATCCCACACAAGAATACCTTTTGACGCTGGCTCTCCAACTTTTATTTGACGTTACGAATTTTGAACCCGAATAACTCTGCTGAAAGGCTACAGAAGTCGGTCACGCATCGCATTCCCGCAGTGACCATATGCACCCATTCATTCCATGACCGCTCATGTGAACTGGTACCTTGTATTGCCCCTCAATAATTTGATGGATATCCTTCGATGCATCACTCGTAAATGTGGAAGATGTGGTCTATTTTTCGATGACACTATCATGCTTCTCTGTCAGATTCTATAAAAGCGAGACTCTGAGCTGAGACCAGTCTTAATTGAAGTCGTGGTGCATCTCACTCTGTTCACTAGGATGTCGTCGATCCTCGCTGCTGCACTCCTTGGCATCGCTGCCGTTCAAGCAACTCCGTATCATGTCGCAAGGCAAAGCATCACTGCTTTGACCACTTCACAGATCGACGTGTTCACACCGTATACCTGGTACGCAAGCACCGGCTATTGCACTGCGGCTACCACCCTCGCATGGAATTGCGGCGGTACGTGTCGAGTTGCAAACCAAGATGTTTTCTCTGAGAACTGACCCTGTAATCGATAGCAAACTGTGACGCCAATCCCGACTTCAAACCCGTTGCATCTGGTGGAAATGGTGATTCTGTGCAGTACTGTGAGTGGTTGGGCTATACTCCAAGGATCTGCATGTTGACTTTTGGCTCGTAGGGTTTGTGGGTTACGACCCAAACCTTGACACTGTCATTGTCTCTCACCAAGGTACTAATACGTCCGAGATGTAAGTTTGGAAGTAACTTTTCCTTGCATATGGTTTTGCTAACGTGTGCAACAGCCTGCCTCTCGTCACAGATGGAGATTTCTTCCTGACGAACTTGGATACTACACTTTTCCCTGGTATCAGTTCAGATATCGAGGTTCACGATGGCTTTAAAAATGAACAGGCCAGGTAACCGTACTACTACCACGGTACTCTTTATTCTGCATCTGACGCGATTCGCATCAATAGTACTGCTACTGATGTACTAGCTGCCGTCGAAAGCGCCATGTCAACGTATAGCACTACTACCGTTACCATTGTCGGCCACTCTTTGGGTAAGCACATTATGTCTTTTCATGATTCGTGGAGATATACAACTTCTTATCTTCAGGTGCTGCCATCTCTCTCCTTGACTCTGTGTATCTCCCACTGTGGCTCCCTTCTGGAACCACATTCCAAACCTTTGGATACGGACTTCCTCGAGTATGTTTCAGTTCCTTGCAATAAAAAAGCTGTTTTTTCTGATCAATATCCTACAGGTTGGAAACCAAGCATTCGCAAACTACGTTGATGCAAACCTTCACCTCACCCACGTTAACAACGAAGAAGACCCAATCCCGATTTGCCCGGGTATGTTCTTGGGCTTTGTTCACCCAGCGGGTGAGGTCCATATTGAGGACTCTGGTGAATGGGCTGCTTGTCCCGGTTAGTTCGATACCTTTCTTTTCGTTTGGTTGACACGGCGTGCTCATGTTTGATTTGGTGGGTGTGTCACAGGCCAAGATAACCCAAGCACACAGTGCATCGTTGGGGACGTTCCTTATATCTGGGATGGAGATGAGACGGATCACGATGGACCTTATAATGGCGTCGAGATGGGCTGCTGAGGGATTTGAATTGTGTTTCGTTTTGACTTTGAGATACCACACTCTATCTGATCTTTGAGTACATTTGGAATCTATGCGTCATGATGCAAATTTTCGAGGAATTACTGCTTTATTTCTAGAGGCCAATGATTTATTGTTAGGGGATAACAATATGATTTGAAATATCTACAAATGGCACCTCGCGTCCCACAAGGTAGTGCTGTAGAGGATATCATGGGTGATCAGCATATTTCAGATTCTCGGAAGGCTGTAACATGGTTACTTCGGATTCTCGCATTTTCAATAAGCTCAGACCAGTTGAGGATGTGTTTTACATAGTTGCCCTTTGCCAGGCCATCGAGACAAGAACATGCGGTTTTTGCTCCAGTGCTAGTTCGAGATCCAAAAAGTAAATAACTATTTTATCTGTTATAAGAAACGTTTCAGTTAAACAGTTGCGCAACAACATATGGAGGAAGATATAACGAAAATGGTTCAGTTGCTGAGATGATATACTATATTTGAAGTCAATGTAATTTTGACATCTGTTATCGGGAGATCATTTTTCCTAAATGCATGTCCACCTTGTGTCGTTTCACCCAACGGGATCTAAACGATGGACGTCGTCGGTGCCTGGATGGGAACAGGGATAGTCGAATTCAACTCGGAGGAACCACGGCGCAAAACAACCGAAGCTACCAGGACAGGGGCCGGTTCTGTTATCCCTGACAGTGAGGTTCCTCCCTGTTCATTGTGGTCAGCAGACCGAGCTAGCTCCCGACCTATGGATCCAACGGTCTCTCCATTTGGAGAGAGAGTGAACGAACCACCACTCAGTTCACCTGCGTGACTGCGCCAAGGCTGCCCAATAGACAGGCTGGATGAGAAAGTTGGCAAGGACAGTCGTCGAACATGCGACGATTGAGTGATGGACCCGACGACTTGGCTGGATGTGATATAAGATATGAAGCGGAGAGAACCAACAGGGGTCTCAGACACAACGGGTGGACGCGAAGCATGTCTGCGTAGTACGTGATGTGCCGGAAGAGACGGTTTTCTGGAGGTAGAGATGTGTGAGTACTTCAAATAGACAAATTATGATGTGATATTTTACGAACCTAGCGTCTGAAGATTCTTGAACAGGTGGACGGAAACCCATGCATCGAATAACCCAAAGGCAAGAAAGGCGATAACTTTGTCTAGCATCCTTTGTAAATCCGAGAAACGCAAAGAATGTCAGGGCATAGAATACGGGGAACCAGCGGTTGGATTCAAGCCAGAAATCTGTTATGGAACTAGATGCCCACTCGGATACAGGATATTGTAAAATTTGAGACAAATTAGAATGCACAGAGTTCCATGAGTAAGGTGTTATTTCCGACGGCTGGAGGATGGCAATATAGATGGTGGTGGTTAAACCAACCGAGACAGAACATATGATGCCAATACCACTAAATGCCAAAAGTCGCCAATAGTGACTGACTTTGAGGTGCTGATCAGATTGCATAACTTCCCTTTTGTAAGCTTTCCGTTTTAAAGTAGCATGGATGGCAAAACCTATCGCTAACCGTCAGTACCCATAATACAAATGGCAGCCTCGAGATACAAACCAGCATATAAAGCAGTCACTAATGCGAAGACGGCTGACCATATGATAACAAGTGGGAATGCGGGTGGTGTGATGAGTGTGGCAGGGAAGCAACCCATGTTCTCGACAATGATAAACCTTTCAAACTCGACAATATACTCTATTTGAGAAGAATTGGTTAGTGAGTTAGCGATAAAGGATAGTTTTAGCATACGGAAGAGTAAAAGTAGTAGAGGGAGGCCAATGCCTAAGGACAGCTCTATGATTATGTCGCGTCGGATCTGATATCCATGAGTTATAATTATCATCAAAGAGCTAATATGATTACCTGGTGACTACTTTGGTTTACAGCCGTCATGTTGATAATCCGATACAAGCGACGACTGATGAATAGTAGACCCATTTGGTTTCCAGCTGTACTAGCAGTGAGTAGGCGAGACGCTATAATAGCGATAACTAATAAGAACAATGTATGAAAAATGGTTGCGCACTGACAAATGTCACACCAAACTGGTGCCCAGTTCTCTACATTGTCATCCCACACGACAGAATTCACGCTGTAAACGAGACAGCAGATGCTGGTCCAGACAATGTATAAACATAAACTGATGTTCTTGGCTGATGGACAGATGATTACTTAAACCTGCAGAGAATTCTGAGTAAATGTACCTCGAAAATGCATTGGCAGTAGGATAATCATTGATATAGATCCCAGGAATCCAAACACAGAAAAGGCATGATTTGTGCTGGAAGCCTTGCTGGACATTAATAGAGATTATGGAAGGGAGTTTTCTTGTTGATACTGTCGCCACTTGAGGCCTTTAAATGAATTCTGTGAATCTTCTGTAAGATGGTACATCGAAGGATGGCGACGTCTTGATATCGATTCATGTTCGCCCTCGGGTATCGAAATCTTTGCAAAGGAGAAACGATCAGATTATGATATTCTTGCATATATAAATAATAGTACAAACCCCCTAAAATTTGATGACCGTAAGAGGAAGCAAGAGCTAGGAGAGTGATAGCGGGTTAGTGCTTCTTAGCTTAGCCAAGTGACCACAACTCATCATTCGTGTTTTAATTTTCAGTTTACAAGAAAAGCACGTTCGGACTCATGCATGTGCCCAGATACCATAGAAAGAAACGATAAGACTACACATTCTTATTACATGTCACCGAGCCAACTGGACCTGGACTGGGTGATTTTCTAACGGTTCTGTGGATTGTTGGATTGAGCGGAAGCAATATCGTTCGATTTTCTCTCAGCATATTGTGGTCGATACTAAAAAAAGTCTGAACGTCAGACATGCGTACTGCAGTATATTCATTGAAACAACTGTACTTGATATCATTTCATAATTGCTGTAGCACGCTCATTTGAAGCTGCAGGGTGAAGTTGGACGTTGACCTTCGCAGGACCTAAATCAGCAAAATGTCAGCGAAGAACCAAGACAGTTGATAATCACGACCTGTGCGCTGTGTCTGGCCATGATATATAACAATAGAGCGTCGGCTGGTATAATCTCCACTAGGACCTCGGTAGAGAAGGAAACGACGGCCCTCCTCGGAATCTTTTGGACTGCCTAGAGGAGACTAGAACAGGTCACTGAGATCTCAGGTCGATCAAGCCCGAGTGAAGCACATTCAATCTGCATATCAGTAGCCTTGCAATGTCACTGATAAGTGGTAGCACTCAGAACATCGCATACGCTTACTCTTTCTCCTTGAATCGCATGCACGGGAGTAAATCTGCGAAATAGCCAGTAACAGGGGTTATACACGAATCGGACACTGTACAAATAACGGTTCATTATCCTGGTGACGCATAAATGATGCGGGAGCCCTGTATACAGTAGCAATCAAGCTTACAGTAAACACAACATCTTAAGGAAATAAACCATTACATATGTCACTCGAATGACTGTATACACGGTAGCGGGAAAAGTAGCGAGAGTGACATTTGCGTGTAGATATAAACAATAGCAAATAGTTAGTCCTTCTTGGGACTTGTGTGGTTTTACGATCATCCCCCATTCGGATGGTACTTCCCTTGGTTCCTCAGTTTATGTATTCTACTACTGTCATAGCCTAGCTATATGCTCCAGGAAACGCCCATATTACGTCGGTCAAGTGTGAACAATCAGTTACTGGTCCAAATTTTAGGACACTGTGGGATACCTGGTTTTGCACCGAAAGAATCACTACGTGCCGAGATATCCGACGTCTCTCTGGTTCAACGGCGTGTAGTTATGGCGAATAACTTGAAGGAGTATAAGTAGACAGCCAATGGATGTGGGTCCCATCAGGGGAACTTCACACCGACAATGGTGAGTTTACAGCATGAACCCTGCCAACGAGTCGAGATAGTGACAACGCTTTTGATGTTGATTCGGTATCAAGCCTTGCTTTTCCCTTCCAGCTTCTGATTCTGCAGAGCATCACTGAAAAGAAAATCTATATTCCCACAGTAACTATGTGTCAATCTATTCAATCCTATCCACCATAATCATAATGGCTGTTCATGTGAGCTAGTAGCAGTGTATACTTCCCCGTGAACTGATGGATGTATGTGACACAGCTCTAGGCGATCACTTTCGAAGATGAATAGGTTGGAGGTCGGCGACCTATTTTCGTGACGTAGCTACTAGTTCTCGTCAGATATAAAGGCGAGACATCTGAGTCAAAATCCACCATCTTTTGTTGGAATTCCTGGTGCATTCCACTCTAGTTCACTAGGATGTCGTCTATATTTCTATTTGTTGCAGTCCTCCTTGGCGCTAGCGCCGTTCAGGCATCCCCCATTCATTTCGCAAGACAAAGCATCACGACCTTGACGGCTTCACAAATTAGCACGTTCACTCCATATACCTTTTTCGCAAGTGCTGGCTATTGCACACCAGCTACCACTTTGGCATGGGATTGTGGAGGTAAGTATCGAGTTAGGTGATATCTTCCTCCCCCACGAGCCCTGACTTGTATTCTGTGGTGACAGCGAACTGTCAAGCAAATCCTGGTTTCATGCCCGTCGCTTCTGGTGGTAATGGTGACTCTGTACAGTTTTGTAAGCTCACAGACTTGATCTCGATAATTTTTACTTAGCTTGATTATCAGGGTTCGTGGGCTATGATCCAACTCTCAATACTGTCATCGTCTCTCATCAGGGTACAGTTCCCACTGAAATGTAAGTGTAGAAGCATAGTTGATTTGTGTATCACCCTTCTCATGCACAGGACAGCCTGCCTCTCGTCACTGATGGAGATTTCTTCCTATCGAATTTGGATTCCACACTTTTCCCTGGTATCAGCTCAGATATCCAGGTCCATAGTGGCTTCAAAGATGCCCAAGCCAGGTAAGCATCTGATCATCACTTTCCACGCCTTCTCTGACATGATCCACATCAACAGCACTGCTACTGATGTACTAGCTGCTGTTCAAAGCGCCATGTCAAACCATAGCGCCAACAGTGTAACGCTAGTAGGCCACTCCTTGGGTGAGTACTTTTGTTGTATCTCTAAGATTCGCCTGTATCAATAAGGCCCCTTCTCCCCAGGTGCCGCTATTACCCTTCTTGATTCAGTTTATCTCCCACTTCACCTTCCTGCGGGCACTCAATTCAAGACCGTCGGTTATGGGCTACCTCGAGTATGTCTCAGCCCCCTTTCTTCTATCTGAAATCAAGGAACCTTCTCTGATCGGTATCCACAGGTCGGAAATCAAGCGTTCGCAAACTACGTTGATGCGAACCTCCAACTCACACACGTAACCAACGAGAAAGACCCTATCCCGACTCTCCCTGGAATGTTTTTGGGCTTCGTCCACCCATCGGGTGAGGACCACATTGAAAACTCTACCCAATGGGATGCTTGTCCCGGTTCGTCTATATCTCCTCTATTCTTTCAACCAATGTGCTCACGACTGTGCGTTACAGGGCAAGATAACCCCAGCACGCTGTGCTCAGTCGGCGCTGTTCCTACCGTCTTAGAGGGCGATTTGACTAATCATGACGGACCTTATGGGCCTGTCACGATGGGCTGTTCAAGCTGAGGTTTTTACTTAGGGTGTTTTTTTGGGGATACATAATTTATATCTCTTGGGCATATATCATGGTTCGGAATACTAATGGGTATGTTATACTATTGGGTTTTTGGCTCGCTGAAACGGTGTTGTGAGTAAGTGCTATGGCTGTGATGAGATGCTCGAGATCTACAGTCCTCGTGGTTGAGTCGGCTGATGGTTCGCAGAGATCCCAGCGGTACAACTTTCAACTTTCAACGTTCCAGCCTTCAGAATGGTCGCACGTGTGTAGGGACTGCTGCCTGTGCATCCGGGAGCGGAAGTGCTTTCGGATTCCCACGTGTCTGTGGGTCATACTTATCATGATCGCCGAGTGAGAGTCATAGCCAGGATCTGTACGCTGTATCAGTATCCCTCTCTTATTTATCCATTGCGCAACAAAGCAAGTTCTTTCGCGATGGCCGCAGCAGTCGAACCCCTCTTCCGCATCGCCCCCACCACACAAGGTTATGACTGGGGAAAACTAGGCAATTCCTCCAAAGTTGCCCAATATGCTTCCGGGGCTGGGATACCTGATTTTACATTGAAGGAATCAGCACCGTATGCCGAGGTAAGTGATGTGCTTGATCAACAAAAATCGTTTTCTGATGGGTGACCAAGTATAGTTATGGATGGGCACTCACCCCAAATCGCCGTCTCGAGTAGCTGAATCGGGCGAGATATTGGCGGCGTACTTGGCTGCTCACCCAGAGCTCATCGGCGATCGAGTATCGAAGCAGTTCGGTATTAAGGACGGCAATTTACCCTTCCTGTTCAAAGTCTTGGCTATCAGAAAAGCGTTGAGCATACAAACCCATCCGGACAAGAAGACTGCAGAACAGTTACACGCAGAACAGCCCAATGTTTATACAGGTACTAACAGTTGATCTTGCACATCCATACGTTCTGAATCGACTCCTTCAGATCCGAACCATAAGCCCGAGATGGCCATAGCTCTTACCCCATTCCAGGCATTGTGTGGTTTCTTGCCCGTCGAACAGATCGCCGCGTATTTGGTGTCGACCCCCGAGTTTGCTTCTCTCATCCCGAATGCCATCGTCAACCAGTTTCTCGCCTCCTCTTCGACGCTTGACAGCAAAGGCCCTCTCAGGGATTTATTCTCAGCATTCATGTCTGCCGATGTCAACCAGGTCAAGGAAGAAATAATTAAGCTGGTTACACGTTACCAAGCCGGCGAGGAGAAAGAAACCGAGAAGGGCGTTAAAGAGCTGGTTTTGATATTGAATGAGCAGTATCCAGGCGACATCGGGATTTTCTGTGCCTTCTTGCTCAACTATGTGACTTTAAGCCCTGGCGAGGCCATGTTCCTTGGCGCAGGGGAACCTCATGCCTATGTGTCTGGTGGTAGGTGTCTTTTTTCCCCAGCTTTATATTGATCCGAGAATACTAAAATGGAAAGTTTCCCAGATATAATGGAATGCATGGCGAACTCGGATAATGTTATTCGAGCTGGTCTTACTCCTAAGCCAAAGGATATACCTAACCTTGTGTCAGGTCTGACCTACAACGCATCGCCTCCCACGAAACATATGGTACAACCCGCGAAATACGGAGGTGCTACCTTGCTGTACGACCCACCTATCCCCGAGTTTTCTGTCCTCCGGTTGAATTTACAAGACGGGAAGGAGGAAACTCACGCAGCTATAGACGGACCATCTGTTGCTATAGTGACAGAAGGTGAAGGAACAGTGAGTTGGGAAGGAGGGAAATCACTGCAGCTCTCCACGGGTAACGTTTTCTTTTTGGCGGCGGGTGTGGAGGTGTCGTTCGCGAGTAAGGGCACACTCAATCTTTATCGTGCCTTTGTGGATGTGAAAAACTAGAGGACCTTTTTTTATTTTTTATTATTCGTGTTGCGAAGTAGTAAAGTAGAAAGTCTTGTACGTTGTACAGTAGATGGATGTATGTTGCAGTACGTTGCAGTACCAGTGATCGACTTCCGGTCCGAGTCCGAGATGGTTTCCCCGCACTGGAGCCTGAGAAATCAAGAATCTTGTGGGCCACATCCCCCGAGCGCTCAAGATCTCCATTACAACCTTTAGCAACACCAGCGTGAAACAAAGGGCACCCTTTAGTATTGCGTTGCTAGGATGACGCCCTCAACGCCCACGCGTGCTCCTGACTCGCCACGGTCATCTCAGTCCCCTCCTCCATCTGGGGTACAGGGAGACTTGGAGCTTGAATTACTCGGGTTGGCCAATGCTTTGTATAACCTTGGAACGACCGTTATCAATGATTCTACGAAAGAGAGAGATAAAATAGGAGGGGCAAAGCAAGTTGGGCTTCGGGTGTATGTTCTGATCCATCTGTTTCAGCAGCGCTGTTCTGACCTTGTCCTTTGAATGAACTCTAGCAACGAAGTCATTAGCCACCTTTCAACCATTGATGATATGGCACAACACATCAATACGATGATCCCGTTTCAAGTTCTGACTGATATAGATAATGCACGGAATCCAATGCATCTCACAAAGGAAAGACTAGAAAGAGCGGCTACGGAAAATCAATTCATGAATGGTAAAATCGCTGCGATTGACGTGAGTGAGATCTCTCTTCGTATGATTCAACTGATCCTATAACGGCATCCTAGTCATATCGCAAGGCTCTGGACGAGGCTTTGGCGCAGAGCTTCCCTGAAGTACAAGAGCACCTCCAGTCAAGGCAACTACCATCTGCCAACCTTGCAGCACAACCAGGAACTTCATCTCTCGATGGCTCCTCTTTGGAAGCAGTCCATCGCGACAGCTAATCATATCAGCCTAATAACCAGCGCTCAAACTGGTACGTGTATTGAATTTATCGCTTTGACGTTGGGATCATCAGTTGACAAACCTGGGCCTCTTTTTGACTGGATCAGGTTGACAAGGGGATTTTTCGCGAACGTTTGATATAGTCAGCATCAGGTCTGCGGCCACCTAAATGGAGATATACGTCGTATCCACATCGATTCAGCTGAAATACGACTGTTATTTGGCTCGCAATTGGCATATGCTCGCGTTCACCTATGTCGATGGCGGTGATTGATCCCAAGTCGAAGAAGCTTAACATGGCGGCGGTTGGTTCGCAGGTGAGGGAGCGTTGTATATTGACGGAGATTATCAGATATGTAAGTGCATTGTCGGAAACACTGGTTTGTGGATGTGAGCGCCAGGGAGCCCTTCGTGAGACTTGCGGCGTGTAATAGTCATAATTTATATTGCACCTCTCCGTGTTTTTACCATATCTCTTGTAATTGCATCTTTTCGATCCGAACAAGTGTCCGCCCCAATGATAGATGATTTATTTCAATCGTAACTAGGATTTTCTGCTACCGTCAATTTGTGCTGTAGAACCGGTGGTTGCTGTACCACTCATAATATAAAAGCGGGCCCGACAGCCGGAATGAAGCGAATTTTTATAAGAAAGCTCAGGCGGGCTTTGTTTGCGGCTTCCTGTTAAGTTACAAGCTTGCTACTATCCTTGAACGGCTTCACAGTCGCTCATTCATAATCCTGTACAAAACCGATATCGATATTCACAAGAAACGTGTATTCTGACCTGTTTCTCTATTCTCCTCGTCTGCGACAGGCTACGATCAATCCAACTACGGTCTCTTGTTGCTCCACGTTGGATTCGGCTCCCTTGTACCCTTTCACTCGAAAGTCTGAGTAGCATCTGTGCTGGAACACATGTCTCAGCTCTTGAAAACCTATACCAACTTAACGCCCAATTCTCCGAGGTCATCTGTATCCGATGCACTACGTGCTATCGCAGACGGTAGGTCACGATCTACAGAGCCCCACCCTTGCATTCTCACGAAATATATACCACCACAGCCCCTCCAACCCTCGATACTACGTCAAGTTCGACGTTAATACAAGCATTGCTAGACGACATCAAGAAATGTGTCGTCGACAATGCTACAGGCAGACTATCAAAGGATGGTGTGTTCATTTTTGCCTTCTTCTCACGAGATATGTGCCGATGGACTGGCATTTTTGTATTCTTTCTATAGATGCTGCCCCTGCCCTTCTCGCGGTCAAGATGATGGGCAGAACCCCTGCTGGATCACGAGTAATCTCACTCCCACAGAACCTCTCTGCTCTCCTCGCCATTGCCACAACCCTCCGAAGTAACCCGAATTCGTCAAATGAAGCACTCAAATGTATCGCAAATACGTTGCTTCTAAGCGAAAGTTCCCGAGTTACTTGGATTAGTAAGGATATTGGTGGGGGAGAAGCTTCTGTTGAAATGCTCGAAGTAGATGCTTTCTGTTATCTGATATCCTGCCCTTACTAATTTCCCTGTTCCCTGAATGTAGAGGTCTTCAGGAGCTGAGGAATTATTCCTCGCATCTCGCATTTTGTTCCTATGCACGGCATCAGCCTCGTCGTCTGCGAAGTTCATTCAAGATCTAGTTGAGACCAAGCGGCCCGGAAATGGAACAATTATCGACATTATAGGAACCAAAATCGATGTACTTTTGAACAGTATTTTATTTGGAGCGAAGATGTCTCGCGAAGCAATGACTGATTTGTTGAAGTTCACCTTCAACTTATTGGTTCACTACCCCAAGGTCTGCCCTGCTATATCTGCGAACGTCAATGACATACTGACTTCTTATATGATAGACTGTAGAGTGTGAGTCGCAAAATCCGACAAGTGACACCGATTCTCAAAAAGTTATGGGTGATTTCTGGAGTCAAAAATTGGATGGGTGCGTAGATTATGTTTTTGCCATAAAGGATCTTTCATCGACGTATCGTACGCAGGGTCCTTCCTCCTCTTCTTCGGGTTTTCAATTCTCTTCCACTCACTTCTCCAAACCCTCTTACTTCGCCGTTGACCCACGCTATTCATTCTCTTATCACTATACCCCTCTCGCCGTCTCTTCGCAATGTCTGGTTCGGAAAATACTCGTCCAATTCTCAGTCTTCAACCAATTCAAAGTCTTCTCCGTCTACCTCTAGTAATTCATCTCCCGTCGGATCCAACAAGTTCCAGTTACCAGGCACTTCAAATAGATGCGAGTCGCCTACCAAGGAAACGAAAGTCGGTGCTTTAGATAGGGCACTCTCCTCTGTACTGGCTGCAGGACGCCGATCTCTGTCACGATCATCGTCTCCTATGCCATCCTCGCCAGCCATGGATACCGTCTTGCATGCATATGACCTCCTGGATGTTTCCTTGAACTACTTCCTGCCAGGCAACGTTGATACCGATCACGCATCGGTACGGGAGCTGTGTAAGAAGGAGGGGGAGAATTCACTGGACGACCTAATGAGTCCTCTTGTGCTTCTCCTAACTCGCTTCTGTTTGGCAGACGAGGGTGTTAGGACGAGACTCAGAGAATGGCTGGTTCCTTCGGATCTGGACCGGACACGCCCACTCGAAGGCCGCTCCGATATGCTTGGGCGATGTCTCCGTCTCCTAGGAAGTGTCTATCACGCACGCTTGAAGGATGCTGTGGGAGAAATGTTGTTCGCTATGTGTGATTCGGATGGCAAGTCATTCCTTGTTCATGCAGTTGGACTACTCATCTCATGTTCTTCTTGTTGGCCTTGCAGCAACTACGCTTTCCTCCCACTTTGGTTATGGGAATGTAGCGGGATTCTTGTTCCACAAGGGTATCGTCAATGCGCCTCAAGGTAGTTCTTCGAGTACGACGAATATGGCGTCGGGTGGAGCCGCCATAAATCCCATCACGGGTACTGTTGAGCGACAGTCAACACCGATCCAAATGACAGAAGAAGAAAAAGAACGTGAAGTCGAGAAGCTGTTTACTCTATTTGATCGACTCGAAAAAACAGGAGCCATGCCAGCCAGTCAAAATCCGATACGCAAGGCAATTCATGAAGGAAAGTTGGGCTGAATGATGTGTGATGTGAATGGACATTCTACCGTTTCTGTTTTTCTCTTACTATATATATTTCTCGGATATCGATACCATTTTCTCTCGTACTCTACAATCAATAGCATAATAGTGTTCTCCCATTACTTCAATCGTTCTATGTCGTCGTCACTTACACCTACAATGGTTATACTCTCGGGCTCAAGAATATGACAAAGATAATGATAGCACGTCGATACACTAACATGAACTCAGGCAAGAGGTACTGTAAGGACAACACTAGATACGGACATATATGTACCCGGTGATGCGTAGTAATAGCGTCAAACTGACAGCCCATCAAAACGTTATCTTTTGACCCTCGAACGAGGTTATACCTCCTGTACGAGGTCCACCGCGACCCCGTCCACCACCACGACCGCCCCTATCAAAACCACGTCCACCGCCTCGACCACCACCACCACCGCGACCACCCCATCCACGATCACCGAACCCACCGCCACCACCACCACGACCTCCGCCACGGCCTCCACCGAACTGGAAATGTTCTGATAAGTAAAATGTCATATACTCGAGCCTAAGATAACTTACTCCACCACGGCCTCCGCCTCTTCCGCCACGACCACCTCCTCCACCACTATCGTCTCTCGGCTGAGAGAAGTCTAGTCGTAAATTACGACCATCCAGATCATAGCCTTGTAGTGTCTCGAAGGCTTTCTTGGCAGTCTCGATATCGCTGAACTCAACATAGGCGAAGCCCTTGGGCCGTCCCGATTCGCGGTCCGTAGGTACACGTACGCTCTTCACATCACCTTGCTCTCCAAAGGTTTCCCAAAGTGCATCCTCGCCAACGTTGAAGCTGAGGTTACCAACGAAAAGTACGGATGATGGTGCACTGGGCGCATCGCCAAAGGTTTTGGCACGCTTTTCACGGCTGGCCGATTTGTCAGGGGGGTAGCTTTTGTCGACTTTGACAGGTCGACCGTCGATTTCTTTGCCGTCCATAGCAAGAGCAGCGTCCACGGCTTCCGTCGTGGCAAAGTGAACATAACCGAAGCCTCGAGACTTGCCGGTATTACGATCCATTTGAACTGTTGCAGAAACAACCTCACCGCACGAAGCAAACTCCTGACCCAGCCAGTCGTTGTCAACATTCCATGAGAGTTTACCAACGAAAACACTTTTTGTTTCCTCAGACGACTCTGCTGGGACAGCAGCAGCACTGCCATTTGCCAGCTTGGCCTTTTTGGGAGGCGTGGCGTCATCATCGTCAGCCTTACGTTTGTTACCTACATTGTTGTGTGAATGGAGGTATTCAGCAGTTAATGATTATCACTTACCTGCGGCAGCCTTGACAGCAGGTGCATCAGCCATCTTGGCATCACCATCTGAGTCGTCAGACGAGTCATCGCTAGATGAATCTTCAGCAGTAGGTTTTTTGGGTGCTGGTTCAGCTTCGTCTGAAGAGTCTTCAGACGAGGAGTCGGATGAAGCCTTCTTCGCAGCTTTTTTTGGTGGTGCTGCCGCTTTGGTGACTTCTTCATCAGAGCTATCGTCATCCGATGAACTCTCATCCTTTTGCACTGGCTTCTTTTTTGGTGATGGTGCCTTCTTGGCGGGGGTGGGTTTTGCAGCAACTTCTTCGTCCGAGGAACTGTCGTCTGACGAGGATGCGGCGGCTTTGGCTTGAGGTTTTATTTGAGCAGCCTTTGGTTTTTCATCGGATGATGATTCATCTTCTGAATCAGAGGAAGAAGAGGAAGAAGAAGGTTTTTGAGCGACAGGTTTCTCATCATCAGAGGAACTATCATCACTTTCGTCAGAAGAAGCTGCTTTCTAGAAGAAAAGAAATCGAATGTCAGTCGAGTAGCTTGAGAGATGAAATGATTCCTTACCTTGGCCTTGGTAGGTTGTTCGTCTTCGGAATCCGAGTCTGAAGACTCATCGCTAGAGTCCTTTTTGGTTACCTTGGCTTTTGCCTTTGGTCACAAGGGGTAATACCGTTGTCAATGCATGGGAAGATAAATAGTATAAACTACACACCTTGCCGTTTGCCTTGGTAGATTTCTTCTTTTTCTCGTCCTCGGAGGACTCTGAATCGGACTCATCTTTTTTGGTAATTTTAAGAGGTTGCTTTCCTTTCGAGAGTTTCTATTGAGATAAGATGAGCATGTATCCAAGATAACGCTATGAAAATAGGACACACAGCAGCCTTTGCTAAAATCTCCTTAGAAGATATGGGCACAGGCTTTGCGGGGGATTTCTTGTCCTTTGCAGGGGACTTCTTCTCCGGTGCTGCTACCTTTTTCTCCTTTGTGGATTTTTTGTCTACCTTCTTGTCTGATTTTGCCATGGTGAAGTACTTGGGTGCAAGGAGAACAGCGAGCCTTGAATCGAAATTTTTGGGAAGGTCCGGCACTTTCATGCTTTAGGGCAAGTAAATGAGCCAAGCCCTAACCTTAGGTTCGTTCTCCCTTGGGCTTGCTCACTGACAATCCTGACCTTACTCATACGCAAGGTCTTTATTGTTGCTACATTCTGCAAATCGTTATTTAACCAGATGGAAGAAGACTTTGATGTTATAGTCTTTGGTACTGGTCTGACGGAGTCCATCGTCGCCGCGTGAGCTCTGCTGACTCGATCTCCTCAACAGCGTGCTGAAATCATCTTCAGTGCTATCGCTAAAGCAGGATTTAAGGTCGCACACGTCGACCCCAACCCATACTATGGTGCCGATGAAGCAAGTCTATCGCTCAGCGAGCTTGCACAATGGGTAGACAATCGCAGCTCTGCAGCAGCTTCCAGTGAATCAGGTCCATCCACAACCCGGAACTCCAGATTCGCGTCTGCATCTCGTACCGCTTCGATACCGCCCCGCCCAAATCAGTATTCTGTATCTCTATCGCCTACCGTGATACCATCGGTTGGCCCTCTGATCTCTAGTCTCATATCTTCAGGTGTCGCACGCTATGGAGGATTCAGTCTTCTTGAACGCGTCGCTATATATGACGGTCAGCAGCTCAAGGCTGTGCCAGGAAGCAAAGAGGATGTTTTCAAGGATAAATCTATCAATCTAATCGACAAACGAAGATTAATGAGGTTCTTGATGTTTACTATGGGAGATTTCGAAGAAAGCAAGGAACTTGCTGGGAACGAGAATGAACCATTCCTTGGTTTTCTGAAGACAACTTTCTCTTTGAGTCAAGAATCGGCGCGTGCAGTTAGCTACGCTTTGGCCTTTTGTATCTCTGAAGAAGGTACAGTTCAGTCTTCTCGTGTCTGATCGGATCTGACGTATTATTTTGCTGTAGACCCCACTCTTCCGGCTTTACACCGGATTCGTAGTTATCTCAAGTCATCTGGCCGTTATGGTTCTTCTCCCTTCCTGGTTGGTCACTACGGTGGTCTTGGAGAGATGGCTCAAGGCTTCTGTCGCATGTCTGCCGTGCATGGAGGCGTATACATCCTTGGAAGATCAGTTACTCGTATTTCACACGAGCCTCAAGAATCTCCTTCTGACCAGAGCGCCTCGCCTCGCCACCGCTATACCGTCGAGCTCGATGATCTTCCAGAGCCTCTTCACTGTGATTGTATCATTTCTTCGTCAGAGCATGTTCCTGGTGAACTACGGAGCGAGGCGGAATTTACGTTTCCGCCTACTAGTACTGCCGGTTCGAAAGGCATCAAGTCAATAGCTAGATGCATTGCTATCATCGACAAACCTATAGTTATGGAACCCAAACCTCCTTCGCCCGAGTCGCCAACGCCTACTGGCGATGAACCTGATTCCGATGTTGTACCACCCTCGGATGGGAAAAAGGAAGTGGGATCTTTAATTTTAATTTTCCCCCCGGGATCCACAGAGGATGGCTCGTCGTTTACGTCAGTACATGTGCTCGTGACAGGACCAGGTTCAATGTCTGCGCCCGCTGGAAAGTGTGAGTCAGATTTCGCATGACGGGGGGACATTGCCTTACGAACTTTAATTGCCAGGGATCGTTCATATCTCAATGCCTCTTTTCAGCGAGACAGAGGAGTTACCAGAACGTCTTCTTGAGCCTTACGTAAAGGCCATACTTTCCCTGACATCCGAGCCTTCCCATCAACCTATCTTCGTCGCTTACTACGCCCAATACGACTCTGTGTTTGACGATCGTGGTGCCGCTTCCCATAGTAAGCCGTCGACGGTTCTGGTCACGCCCCCTTTGTGCAACCATATTGCGAACTCGTCGGATACTGCAGCACGCACTGCTGAAGCCGTATTTTGGAAAGCTATTGAAACCCTGAAAGCAGTCAAGCAGATGTCTTCGAGTTCTACGCTGGACAGTGAAGCTACCTTCCCTGAAGTCGAGAACTTCTGGCCTCCATTGGACGTCTCGGGCGATGAAGAAGGTGCAGAAGAGTGGTAGTCAGATAGTGAGTGCGTAGACTTCCGAGCACGAACGGAAGTCACCACTTCATCAATAATTATAATTGTAATCAATGTCACGATGTACTAGAATGACCATTAATGTTAGCAATTGGATTGTATGTTGTTTGGCTGTAGCCTTTGAAATAAACAATTACAAATACAACGAAGGCTTTGGGTTATCACTTCGTTACTCGAATATCAGACGCGTTCAATATGCACCCCTCTTTACGTTTGTTTTCTGCCAAGGCCCACCAGCCATTGATACGCTTCGTTGGAAAACGAAGTTGGCCTTCTGGTACGTGGCTTTCACCAATACAAAGTCTTGTTTTGGTCTGAGACGTCATTTTAGCTGTTGAGCCTTCTCACCCTCATCCGGCGGCTCCACCCGACTATTCAAAGTCATTCTCAGAGTTGTCTGAGAACCACCAGGCGCCCGCTACAAATCACGTAGCAAGCGAAAGTTCAAATACAGCAGCGCAGGTGTACCAAGAATTCTGGGAAGCGCCTTCTAGATTCTGGCAACCGAGATCTAGAGAACTTGAAGACGCAGAGATTGATGCTGTATTGGTATGTTCGCGAATTATTGCAGAAGAACTTTATCCAATATATCTGGTACACAGAGTGGGGGTGCATCTCTACAATGAGCCTACACAAATCTTGATGGAAGAGCCTTTAGTGCCTTTCTTATACATGTTATTTATACCATCAACACCATTTTCCTGGACAGTCAATCTGCACATGCATTATATCATTGCTCCACGATTGTCGATTTCGCTAATCTTTCTCCGCATATGCCAGTAAGTGAACCTCTACTTCTGCTTCGCCCATAACACGCCATAATCCTCTGGTTTTGATATCCTCTTCATCACCATTCGAAACAATACCAACTTCTATTTCTCCTGGCTTGTAATCTGTTGCGTGCACTGTCGACATTGCTTCGATTGCAAGCTGTGGGCGGGGCATCAGTATCTCCACGATTCAGTTTGACTTAGTCGTAACCAACCTCTATGACCTCAGCTCGGCTGAGAGATTTACCAGCTTTGGCAGCATCGTCAGCGCCTTTACCACCATCTAGCTTCTTCCATTTCTTTTCAAGGTGATTCATAGCTTCTTGTTGCTTCTGTCCAGCGGCAGTTGCATGGAAGCCTACAAAATAGCCCGCAGGATCGAGCTTAAAACACTGAGGACCAAATTCAGGATCGATTCCAATAAGAACCATCGCTGCGAAAGAAGTGAGATATACGACCAAATGTTAGACAGGAATTGATAATTACAGATACCAAGAGGTCGCATGGCGGCACGTTGTGTATAAACTTGATTGATATTTGCTAGTCTGCGGGCGAGTGCGTCGGGGGTGATTTCGTATCCATACTTGTATCTGAAGTCAGCAGCTTCTGAACGGGCGCGCTGCACTTGATATCGGGCATCGGCTACGTAACATGTGAATATAAACCCTGATAAATAGCTTGAGGAGGATACCAATCAGCCCAGTCATAACGCATCCTATAGTGGGCGTTATGCTGAAGAGGTGAGTAACTGTGGACGCGTCAAGAAGCTTGTCCTGTGCCCTCCCTTTTAGAACAATGGTCCAGCGATCAAGATGCGCAACGTACGGGTACTTTCTTTTGTGTTATTACAACGGAAGTGTCTTTCCCCCTCACTGCAATTGCGGTATGTCCTGAACCAGAGATCGCTTTAAAGGCATATTCTATCGCACCGATGGAAGGTGAGTAAACAACTGGCTTCAAATCATATCATCTACTAACCGACTTGATACAAGCGTCCTTCTGGAGAGAATACTGTGAGATAACTAGACAAAAGTCAGAAACAATCAGCAGTTTATCGTATATATGCAACGTACCGGTCATATGAGGTCCTTGACATGGTGGGCTACGAAGGTTGCTCTGCAAGGCAATGTCCAGCGGGACGCGCAAGTACTTGGGTGACGCGCAAGCAATATTCGAGTCACGTTTCTGTCACTTGTGACTTCGTGCTATCTTCGGGTGTCACGCCAATTTTATCGTGCCGTATTTCGTTGGGCATGAACGTCTCATTGATCTTTTCTCGAATAGTAGCAAGCACCCGTGAAGTCCTAGAATCATAACATCGAGCATAGCAGCGAAATCAAAAGATAATTTGGGGGAAAGCTTTGCGCGGAAGATCTAGCTGGGAAGCAATGAAGGAAACTGTATCTCTCCAAGCACCTAAAGTCATGTACGCTACATTTTATAGTGTTCTCATTATCTGCTTACAGTATACTAGAAAGAAGCTCCAGTTCAGTCTTCTAAATGCCCAGGATACAGTGAAAATATCAGAATTTCAAGTCACTCATCGTGATCTTTACACCCCTACGGACCGGCTGCCAGTCAAAGACGGAGTTCTAGATCGACGATTGGTGCGTTTCCATTTTGTGTCTTAAGGATGTGCTAAATCAACCCGTTATATAGGGGACAACGGAGAAAAACACTTTCTGCGAAACATGTGGTCTCTCATCGGTCGACTGTGTGGGCCATTATGCATATATCAAACTTGTGGTCCCTGTATTTCATATCGGATACTTCAAACACACAATAGGTATCCTTCAGTGTGTCTGCAAGGCAAGTTTACTCTCAAAAACACTGATGTTCATACCCTGAATATTTGGCATAGACTTGTGCTCGTGTACTTTTAGAAGAACCTGACCGACGTGTATATCTCAAGCGTTTTAGAAGACCCAATTTAGAGAATATTCAGCGCCAGTCTCTCTCCAAAGCTGTCAATACTATGTCAAGGAAATGTGTCTACTGTCCTTACTGCTCTGCCACAAATGGTGCTGTCAAGAAAGCAGGAGCATTAAAGATCATTCATGACAAGTTTCGGGCGAAGAAGACAGCAGAAGAGATGGAAAAGTGGAAGCGTACATTTGCTCCTGCTGTAGAAGCGCAAAAGGAACTAGGAATGTATCTCAACAAAGCCGTTCACGAAGATTTGAATCCATTAAAAGTTCTGGATCTTTTCAAAAGAATTTCCGACGAGGTGAATATATTTGTTATCATAATTCCCGTCATTCTCACAGTAAATTATTAGGACTGCGAACTGTTAGGTCTCCGTCCTGCTCATGGCCGACCAGAGGAGTACATTTGGCAGTATATCTCAGTTCCACCTGTTTGTATTAGGCCGTCCGTAGCCCAGGATGGTGCCTCCAACGAAGATGATCTCACTGTAAAACTCACTGAAATAGTGTTCACCAATGCTCTCATTAAACAGGGCCTATCAAAAGGTGCGCCGACCGCGCAATTTATGGTGAGCAGCTGATTGCACGAGCGCATCTTTGTATTTACCGTGACACCGTGACCTAGGAACACTGGGAATTCCTTCAACTCTCTGTCGCTATGTATATCAACTCTGAATTACCTGGTGTACCATCTCAACCAGGTCAAAAGCCTATGAGAGGTTTTGTTCAACGGCTAAAAGGGAAGCAGGGTCGATTTCGTGGTAACCTTTCAGGAAAGCGTGTCGATTTCTCCGGCCGTACCGTCATATCTCCCGATCCTAACCTACGTATCGACGAAGTAGCTGTTCCTGAAAGGGTAGCCAAAGTACTCACGTATCCGGAACGTGTGACGCCCCACAATATTGAGGGGCTTAAACAGGCTGTCAGGAATGGTTGTGACGTCCATCCAGGGGCAAATTATGTTACTGCTGGGAGCAGTGGGTTCAAGAAATTTTTGAAATTTGGTAACCGGAATGCTGTTGCGGATACTCTTCGAGTTGGTGACACTGTTGAACGACATATCATCAATGGCGATATTGTTCTTTTCAATCGACAACCCAGTTTGCACAAGGTATCATATATATGTCAATACCTGTTGAGTATTTATGCTCACCTCATACTATAGCTCTCTATTATGTGTCATAGGGTAAAGTCTTTGAATCTTGTTTCTTATAAGTCTCGGCTCAGTTCCTCTGTAGGCTAGGATTCGTCCTTGGCGATCATTCCGTTTGAACGAATGTGTCTGTGGTCCGTACAATGCTGATTTTGATGGTGACGAAATGAATTTGCGTGGGTTTAACGTGTTCATCCATCTATACTACTCCTTTGATTAACTTACTTTTTCAGACGTTCCCCAGACGGAGGAAGCAAGGACAGAAGCATTGGAACTGATGAGTGTCAAACACAATCTTGTCACTCCTCGAAATGGTGAACCTGTTATTGCTGCCATCCAAGACTTCATAACCGCATCCTACTTGATATCACGCAAAGACACGTTCTTTGATCGCCGCTCGTTCACGCAGATTTGCTGCTACTTCGCGGATGCTGATATGCAAATTGATATCCCACCTCCAGCAATCTGGAAACCCGTCAGGTTATGGACAGGAAAACAGATCTTCAACGTCCTAATGCGTCCTAACAAGGATTCGAAGGTCTTTGTCAACGTTGAATCCAAGTGCAACAAACCACAAGAGCCAAAGGCTGAGTTTTATCCTCGCATGAAGCCCGCTCCCGACCTGTCTCCCAATGATGGTTGGCTGGTTATTGTCAACAGTGAGATCATGTGTGGTGTCATGGATAAAGCTACAGTAGGAAGTGGCAAAAAGAAGTCCATTTTTGGTGTTATTATGAGAGACTATGGCCCTCATGAGGCAGCAGCAGCGATGAACCGTTTGGCAAAGCTCTGTGCTCGTTGGCTTGGTAAGCAACTTGATAAATTTCTAGATATGATACCTTATTTATCACTCTCTCAGCGAACTTTGGGTTCTCCCTGGGTATCAATGATGTCATTCCTGGACCAATCCTTGCAGCGAAAAAAGATGAGCTTGTTGAGAAGGCATATGCTGACTGTTTAGACCTAATCGCCCAAGCCAAGAAAGGAAAGTTGGAAAACAAGCCAGGTTGCAACCAGGAGCAAACACTAGAAGCACTCATATCCTCTGTTCTGTCTAAAGTCCGTGATGCTGTAGGAGAAATTTGTATGAAGGAACTTAGTCGACACAATGCACCACTTATCATGGCGACATGTGGTTCGAAAGGTACGTGGCACACACATTTTGCTTTTTTGACCAATCCAACAATTTTGCATTAGGTTCCGTCATCAACGTTTCTCAGATGGTGGCTTGTGTCGGCCAACAAATCATCGCTGGACATCGTGTTCCTGATGGTTTCCAAGATCGTTCCTTGCCACATTTTCCAAAGAAATCAAAAGAGCCACCTTCTAAAGGATTTGTTCGCAATAGTTTCTACAGTGGTCTAAGAGCAACAGAATTCCTGTTTCACGCTATCTCCGGTCGTGAAGGTCTTGTAGATACCGCTGTGAAGACTGCTGAAACGGGTTACATGCAACGGCGTCTCATGAAAGCTCTGGAAGACTTAACGACTCAATACGACCTTTCAGTAAGAAATTCCACTGGTGGTGTAGTACAGTTCACGTACGGTGACGATGGGCTTGACCCCGCCTGTCTCGAAGGTGACGCCCAGCCTATAGAGTTCGAAAGAGCATGGAGTCACGCTTTGGTGAGTATTATATCATACTTTTGCTGTATAATAGTCCTCAGTACTTGTTATAAAGTCCATCGGTAACAGAAGAGGACGAAGCCTTCTACCTTACGAAGTTCTCGAAATCGTGGATCAGGAACTCTCTACTAAGAGGTTTACCACTGAGTGCACAGCCGCTTATTTAGCTACTATTCGTGGGTACATAACGGATAATGTTGCGCACACGCTTGCGACAATGCGACAAAGTCGAGGAATGTTTGACGCATTGGAACGCGCAGCTGAATGGGATGCTGATACAGACTTATCTCTTGGAGCATCAGGTAAGATCCAAATCTGGTGATTTTGTATGGCTTAATCATCAGACCTTTGTGCAGATGCCGACAAAGCCATAGTTGACAACAAATCCAAGGTTACAGAAGATCAGCTTCGTTGTTTCTTGGAGTTGTGTTGGGTCAAATACGTAAAAGCCAGAATTGAGCCAGGTACTGTCCACTACTTCTGAAATGTTGTATGTAAGCTCATGCGTCCAATAAGGTTCCACTGTTGGTGCTGTGGGCGCTCAATCTATCGGTGAGCCTGGTACTCAGATGACATTGAAGACTTTCCATTTTGCTGGTGTCGCATCCATGAACGTGACTTTGGGAGTCCCACGTATTAAAGAAATCATCAATGCTGCCAAAGCGATTAGTACGCCGATTATCAGTTGTAAACTCGTGACCAGTGATAGCGAGGCTTCGGCTCGTATTGTCAAGGGTCGCCTTGAAAAGACCCATCTTGGTGATGTATGTCTCTAGAATGCTCGCCGTATCCATCTCTCACTGTCATCAAGGTTGCTTCTGTGCTTGAGGAAGCATGGGCACCAGAGTACACTTATATTGGTGTCATCGTGGACGTAGATGCTATTCAGAAACTCCAGGTTGGTCATTTTTTTGCAGACTATAACGGGTCTCATTCTGGTCTATAGCTCGAGTTGACTTTAGATGATATCAAATGGGGTATCGTTGCTGCCAAGAAACTAAAGATAAAGCAAGAGGTATGTCTTCTATATATTTGTATGAACGCTGCCAACGCCCTCAACAGTCTATAACTGTCCTTCCGCGGAAAAACCGCTTGCGTATTTACATCGACGGCCAAGATAAATATTATCGCCTCAGGGAACTCAAGAGGCTATTACCTGATGTCGTTGTTAAGGTACATTCGATCTTCCTAGGTTTCTTCAAAAGAGAACACTCAACCGGCTATTAGGGTGTGCCAACAATACAACGTGCTATCATCAACATCAAAGAGAAGGATGATGCCAAAGGAAAGAAGGGTGACAAGGAACTTTTAGTAGAAGGGTATGGACTACAAAAAGTTATGGTGACAGAAGGTGGGATACTTTCACTCATAAAAAAAATTATAAACTGAGCGTATCTTTAGGAATTGTTGGCGAACATACATCTTCTAATCACGTTATCGAAGTTGCGCAGGTGCTGGGCATTGAAGCGGCACGCCGAACCATCATCAATGAAATTCAATATACGATGCAAAGTCACGGTATGAGCATAGATCCACGTCATGTCATGTTACTCGGAGATGTCATGAGTTATAAGGTAACTTTTTATGAAAGCTTTTGCGCAGTCTGAATATTCACATTCCATTAGGGCGAAGTTTTAGGAATTACTCGCTTTGGTGTGGCAAAAATGAAAGATAGCGTCCTCATGTTGGCATCCTTCGAAAAAACTACAGATCATCTCTTTGATGCCGCAGCCTTTGGAAAAAACGACAGCATTGCAGGGGTTTCGGAGAGTATCATTATGGGTAATCCGGCTGCTAATTGTGGAACATCAATGTATGCGGTCGAACATATTTTTGACACCGTGTTGTTTTCTAACTGCTTCTACAGGCCTGCACTGTTCTCACCTGCTCCAATAATAACCAAACCGAGAAAGCTTCTCTTCGAGGGTGCCCTATGATGGTGTAGCATGTTCACGGCAATCACGAAATGTATCTACTAGTATTATCATTATCACTTCATTTTGAGGAATATTTAATCGCGACCCCTGTTGTAATAATACTATCCGCCACTTACCCGTGCCGCGTAGCCAGCCAAACTTCCTGAAGGGACGTGTTATACGAAGTGGTAGAATGAGTATAAGAAGAGAGTCACATGAATGTTTGAATATTCATTTGTATCAAACAACCATGTGGTGCCTGGGCTGTGTGCATCAGAAATGTTTTCCAGCTGCAATGGCAAACAAGGGCCGGGTGGTAAGCATAACAGATTGAAATATGGTCTATTGTGCTGCAATTAGCTGGAAGCGACGTAGTGTGAAGTCGAACACAGCGCCTCCTACAGAGTTCAAGCAAACGGAAAGCAAATTTACGTGCTTGTCCATTCTAGACTCCATACTCCTCGTAACCACACTTCATATACACGCCAGTGCATATCCAGGCTTTCTTTCAGCCTTGCTCGGAATAAACGTGCACTAGAAGCGTCCGAAGGCATCACAATGGAGCACTCGCGAAGGTAACGAACTTCCAGAGCAGACTGGGTATCGGGAACATCTGTGTCGACGCAAGCAAGCTCATGACCCATAGGGGCCTAGATATTCCACAATTAATGACGGGGAACTCATGGAGTCATCACATGAACTTACCCAGCGACTAGAGTCCATTGCATACTCAAAATCAGAGGCCTGCAGTATTTGCTCGGTATCTGCGTCAATTAACCATGCCATCTCTAGCATTTTCCAACCAGAACCCAGAGCAGAGAACATGTCTATCGAGATAAAGTCGCCCTCCTTGGAAACTAGTCAAGCTTAGCCGAGTATCCCACTGGAAAATGGCAGGAATAGCATACTGTTTGGGCTGCGAAAAGCGGTGTCGGTGCTACCATCGACGGCGTTAGAAAGAGGGTAAGCTAAATAATGCGCCTTTCTATCTTCTCCGAGTGCCCTGGCATTGCGCTCTTCGAGCATAAGCATATCAGCCGCGGAAACACAACTATGTTCTAGAGTGTCGGGTAATATGTGAATATTCGTTTCTACCAGGCAAACAGCCCCAGCACAAGGCGCCTGAGCGGTTATCTCTTGTATAGAACTGTCTGCTTGGTTGACATTACTGAACCCTTTCGAGTCATTTGAAATTAACAACTGGTCCAAATAGTGACCTGCTTGAACCTTAGAGTTTTAGATAAGTGAATATGTGGGTCCAGAACATCACGACAGTGAAACATACAATGTGACGCTTATTGCGTTCATCCCCTTCTACACCAACAGTAAACGGCTGTCCACCGCCGAGTTCGATGCCCTGATCAAACCATGTCTCCGGAATCCTGTTACTCAAGATTGTAAAATAGTTATCCGCCATCTTCACCTCTGCGTCTGAAGCGTTTAAATGATGTATGAGTGACAGAAAACTGGATGCTAGAGGTTTGTGTATCATGACACCATGACCCAGCCATGCGAAGGACGTATGGACGCCCACGTCCGTATGTATAACACGTAACTGGCTCGATAGGAGCTCGTGTGGAGGAAGGAGATGCAAATTTGTCGGGCCAGATGCCTCTCCTATGCGAGCGCGAAGAGCATGTATAACTTCCGGCAGGATCAGATAATCATCATCCTACGACGTCGTCAACCACAGCAAAACAAAGGAAGGCGGAAAGGAATAACTTGAATGAAACACAACTGCGACGAAGCTTGCTCGCACGCAAGAAACCGAGCCTGGAAGTAAAGATTTGACGGCGAATTGTAAATCCTCAGTTTGTGAACTGGACAACCAGCCTCAGCAAAGAGCTACACGAATAGTCTCAGCGAGAATCAGGTCAGGAGAAATTGGTATACGCAGACATCAGTGGAAAGCTTATGAGGACTATTGTTCCAGATGAAAACTTCGGCAATGACATCTTCGAGTAAAGACCCACAGAGCAAGGTAGCGATGTGAATAACGTTGGGAAGTCGGGACCAGTTCAGTATCACAGCTGTTACATCGGGCTCACGGTGACGGCCTGGCTGAGCGGAGACGAGGTCCAAGGAAATTCTTTTAGTGTTTTTGGTTGTCCCATCAGAACATTCAGTGCAATAGGTCACTGGGAAGACGCCAGAGGGCCTTGACGATGCAAAAGACTGAGGTTGAGAAGGGTGTAGTAAATCTGAGACTTCGGCATGCCAGTGGTTCCATGTATGGACCGATATCAATAATGAAATAGTTATAGGTGCCAGTAGCCAGATTGTTACATTCGAAAGCAGAGAACGAGAGGTACTGGCACTTGACCGCGGTGGAGATTCATTGGGTGTATGTTTTGTGGGGGTTTGACTCAGATGGACCATATCAAAGGCACAGATTACACGTTTACATCACTGGCATGATGTACATGCCAGTGTACATACAGGTGCTGTAAATTTGCAATTGGGGGTATACGCTACAATGGCACTACTCCTAGCTGCTATTGTGTCCATACTAAAAGGCCTTGCTGCCGGTAGTGCTATTATGTTTTATTAGAGCTACGCAACTCAATCCCACTATTGAAAACATTCTAAATCAGAATATCAGTAAAACTGTCCTCTACTGTAATCGCCGATGAACTGGGATATCTTGTAAGATTGCGATGTCAGCATGAGATATTACAATGTTTCTCGACCGTAATACCTTGAACAATACTGGTAGGCCGGCCGAAACGCCTTTTCAGTGCGTCCGTGAACGATCGGAACCTGCTAAGAGACTCCCAAATAATCTCACTGCCGTAGCCTCGTTGCGCAGTTGTATCATGTATATCGTGCCTGTGCGCATCCCTCGTGCATCGCTAAGCTCGATCGCCACCCCGGTTTTACCCACCCTTTCTACGCCATCAACCAGGACGATTGTAGAAATGATAACAGCCCTCTCTTTGTTATCAGTCTCTGCAACCAATTGCTTGACGTTGGAGGAATTTTGGCGGTATAACTTTAGGTTCGCGACCCCGAGAGGCTTCCATTGAGAATGGTTCTGTTGAATGAACACCTTGCAAGACATCTGTTCACAAATGCTCGATGGGCCGAGTCCTATTGAGGATGGCATCTCCTCCACTGGGGAATCCGGTGCCTGACGGAATGAACCAGAAGCATATGAATTTGTTCTCGAGCCTGGCATCTGCATTGATGGCAACACAGGACGAGAACCGGGAGACTCGCCCATGTAACCGCGAGAAGCCGTGCGCTGAGGATGGGACCGCATCATTGTTGACGGAGTTGACGGCATTGTAGAGGGTGGGGGCGGTTCGTATGCGCGAGCCATATACTCTTGTGATGCGAGAGAACGTGAAGAGCTCGATTTCCTGACAGCTCGTGGGAACGACGAAGGCTCTGATGGAGGGCGCATGTGAGGAGTGCTGTAAGATTGCCCCTGGTGGATTTGGTAAGGGGGTCCTTGTTGAGGCGGTCCTTGTTGAGGGTGGTAAGGTGGTCCCTGCTGAGGATGATAAGGTGGTCCTTGTTGAGGATGGTAAGGAGGTCCCTGTTGAGAGGGAGATGGTAGGATAAAGGGTTGGTGGTCTGGATGCATGTGTGGTTGTGGGGGGTAGTTCCTGGTATCCTGATTATAAGAAAAGTCCTGATTATGAAAAGTGTCCTGATTTTGAAAAGGAGGCCGCTGAGGCATGGGTGGATGCTGCATCTGTTGAAAGTCGTCTTGCGATTGACGTTGAAAAGAAGGTGTTGAAGAGGTGCGATGAATGGAAGGCGTCGAAGTTCGTTGTACAGAGTTCTGGGAGTGAGAAGACTGTCTTCCTGGTGGCGAACTTACTCTTTCGAGTGATATCCCTCGCGCTGGGTATTGGAAAGCTGCTTTGACTTCTTTGACCTCATTGACTCCCTTGGGCTCCTCGATCTGCTTTGGAGTCTCTTGTAAATTTAGACTATCCTCCAGATCAAAGGACGTGGGTATTATAGGAGGCAAACTTGGCAATGAGGGCAAAGGCGGTATTGCTCCCTTAGGGGTCGAAGATACTGGAAATCATTAACATCAACTTATGTGATTTCTTCTACCATGCTCAGACTTACCTGACTTTGCAAACTCGGTGCATGCTTTGATTTCTTTCATGATCTTGTTCCGGATTTGCTTTGATGCCACCTCCAAGATCAACGTCTCTTGCCTCATGATTAATACTTGAAGTACGTTATCTGACGGTACCCAAACCATTTAGAAAAACAACATGCACATTCGTTCAAAACACCTACCTTGACCGCTGACCTCTGAAACACGCAAAACCTTGCCTGCCAGAGGGGGATAACATAGCCGTATGTCGTGGTTGTCTCCTGGAGTGACCTCCCCAGGAGTCATCTTCTCACAAATGAGGAACAGATCTGACAAGACATAGACGTGACCCTGAGGATGAGTGGTCTCCACCCCAGTAGATCGAGGCGTAAAGCGTATAAAAACGTCAACTGATAATTTTACTTCACGCGTGTATGTGAGTGATGGGGGATTCATTTGCAGACGCAGTTGCTGTCAAAGATGTAATTCGTCAGAATCCGAAACAAGTTCGAGATGAAAGAAATAACCCTAGGCTCCATGGTAAACAGATCGAGGATATTTTCAGTGGACAAACGTGACTCCAACTCAGATACAGACGATGGCGGTTTTCTTGTCTGTTCTCGAATAACAGGCGCCGGACTTGCCTTCCGGTCCTGCCTGTGAGCCAGCCAAATTAGCTAGACGCTGGTATGATATCTTTTAGTGATACTCGCCCTCTCGCTGCATCATTTTCCTGGGCAGCGGGTCTGTCTAACTCGAGCTTGAGACGATCCAACTTGTCTGAGAGCTGGTGATCCATTATCTCGTTGGTCCGTTCAGCCAACGGCCCTTCACCGCCAGCTCTGTCGCGCTCATTTACGGCCAAGACCTTCGATGATGAAAGGCCGCCCAGACGTGCTTTCTCGTCTAGAGTGGCCAGTAGACGATCCATTTTGTCCAACGCGCTGCTGAGTAAGCGATGGTCACTCCTCCCAGGAGTAGTGCCCTCTAGCAGTCGTCCGTATAGTTCCTTGTAGTAATGCAATCTTGACATGGGGAGTAGGAATAGCGTGTCCAATGACCAGACCTCATGATCATTCAGATTCAGGAAGCGACCACTAGCCAGGTGGGGTGGGTGTGACTGGGAGAAATCCCGAAGAATGCCGCCTAGTTTCGAGTTGCTGCTTACAGGATCCCACTCGTCAAAACCAGGACAGAATTTGGTACAATATGAGGTATAAGGGGTGTCAAGGTCGTCGATCTTAATACAATTTAGTGTAAAACAGAGGGATTTATATCTATAGACTACTTACCCATCGGATCAACAAGTCTCCGAGAGCTCTGGGTGAGGAAGGATTTGCACCGATTGCTTTGAGTTTCTGGTAGCGATTTAGCCTGGCTATATTGCCCGCACTGAAAATCTTACCGTGGTGAATGCACGATTTGCCTTGTAGACACTCTCTACGCTGCGAAACATGGCGTCCAGCTCTGGAGGAGGGAGATTTGTGCGTGACCATGCTGCCGCAACTTTCTGTTGTGATGATATCAGGAATGAAGTGGCTAGACTAGAAGTGGGGTATATGTTACGTACTCGTACGATACCTGTGAGGAGATCGACATATATCGTTTCGGTCCTTAAAAGATCCTTGAGTGGGCTAAATTCCTCTGGTTTTTCGTCTGGCGAGAGGTTGTGGGTGTGACGGGCAGGACTGCTGGATGATGAGTGGGAAGCGGGGGGCATGTGGGTATCGATATGGGCCATTATCGTATGCGGCTGGCTTTATATACCAGATGCTGACAGCAATTTCTTACAATGTCCCGTTGCGACAAAGAAGTCTCTATAAATGTCTACGAATCAATCGAAATCATAGCACCGTCTCTCCAGACTCCCTCTTACCCATGTCTGCCGCACTCGTAGCCGTGTTTCGATCTCCGACGCATCAAACCGTGTGCCGCCTTGACCCGGAGTGTGAAGCGGCAGAACCCGGCTCGCGTATTCAAGCCAAGCCACACGTGCGTCGTAGACCTCCGTGACGTATAGCGCATCGCCGAGTCGATCATGGTAAGCTTACCATACCCAAAGCTCACCTGAACAAGTGCCTTTAATTTATCTGCAACGTTCCAAGGTTGCTTCCTTCACTTCCACCACCGTTCCAAGTAAGTGGCACACATGCATGCGTTCATTTACATAGAGCTCAAGAGTCAAATCACAGCTACTCTTCGTCTGGAACCCGAATCATCAAATGAGCAATGTCGGGCAACATCTCTTATCTGGTTCGTTATGTTTCCTAGTTCTCCCATGTAATAGTACTTACCTCAATGTATTGCTGTATGGTAGGGGCTTTATCGGGTTTCACTTCAGCTATTTTTCTTCAACCTTGCAAGTGCATTGCCTCCCATCATGGGTGGCACATATTCACAATATACCTGATATCATCTAGTTGATTTGCTCAAGACGCGCCTGCAGCAAGGTGACGGCGCGCTGACATCCCGGTTTGTCCTCTTCGTTCCTTCTCTGTCTTTGTATGACTCATCGTTCCTCGTCTCGATAGAAAGACAGGAATTATGCTGCGCACTGCACAGGATATCGCTGTTAGAGATGGTCTCGTAGGTTTGTGGCGAGGAACGAGTGCTACGCTTGTCAGGTAATTCGCACAATTATTCTTCTCAAGGTATTCTGTTCCTTCACGTGAACTCATCCAGAAACGTTCCTGGAGTCGCTCTGTATATGACGAGTCTCACCCAACTACGTACACTCATGGCTACTTCGCCATACTTTGCTGCAGTCCGTCAAGCACAAAACCCTGAACGCATCGGAAACTCTTCTGTCCTTCCAAAACTCTCAAGTCAGGGAAACCTCTTGGCAGGTGCTACCGCTCGAGTAGGCGTAGGCTTCCTGCTAAATCCATTTTCGGTGCTGAAGGCGCGATACGAAGTTAGTGAAATGATATTTTCCATGGCTTATATTGACCTCTGCTTTTTTGTTCGTGCAGAGTCAGATGTATGCGTACGAGAGTCTTTCTGGTTCTTTTTTGTCAATTGTTCGTCTCGGACCATCTGAGCTGTTACGAGGGTTTCTCGCTTCGTCATTACGCGACGCGCCATACGCAGGACTTTTTGTGGTGTTCTACGAAGGGATTAAACGCGAATCTTGTGAGATACCGTTCACGTGTTCATATGTTTTGGGGATATTCATCTGATTTGCGCCTTTTATCACAAATAGCATATTTACTTCCTACCGTTCATAATTCAGGGATACATTCTCTTTCTGCTGCGTCTGCCGGTGCTATTGCGACTATAATAACTCATCCCTTCGACGTCGTCAAGGTAGGCACTATAAAACGACCACCTCTCACTCGCTGATGATTGCTCTCAGACAAAGATGCAAGTACGTTCAGAAGACCACTACCGAGGTTTTACATCGACAATAATGACGATCTGGAAGGTGAGCCAGGTTCTTATTGTAAAAAAGCTTTGGGCTGATAGTTTTTCCAGCAACGAGGCGCATCTGGTTTCTTAGACGGTGTTTCGTTACGTATGACAAGAAAAGTTTTCAGTTCAGTCATTGGCTGGGTTGTATTTGAGGGCATCCTCTCGTTCATGCGAACGCTATAAATCAAAATTCCCAATGGACTTGTGTGACAACAATGACAATTACACGCTATGAATACTCCTTCTGGATAAATCTCGCAATAGTTTGTAGCTGTATATTCGAGGTTCCCTCGTAGATCGCTCCCTATGTAGACCATTATCAGTTCTCATATGCTTTCGTATAATACCTAGAGTACTTACGATCTTAGAATCTCTCCAGAACTTCTCAATACCTGTCTCTCTCGTGAATCCCACACCACCTGCCCACTCGATAGCCTGTCCCGAGACTCTTTGTGCGATCACGCTTGCCCAGTACTTCGCCATGGCGGCTTCTTTCGTGAAGCTCTTCCCTTCCTCCTTCCGTCTCGCAGCGTTGTACGTCAATAGACGGGCAGACTCTATCTCTATAGCTGCTTGAGCAATCTGGAAGGCCATACCCTGGAACGTGCCGACAGGTTGACCGAATTGACTACGGGTATAGGTATAGGGAACGGCTTTGTCAAATGCGCCCTGAGCAAGCCCAAGCATTTGTGCTGCAATGCCTATACGGCCTGTAAAGTAGAAGGAGCCCGCTCAGTGACAGTTCAGTGCATAACATTTTAGAACGCATACCTTCGTTCAAAATTTCGATCGCAATCTGTGAATAACCATTAATATACACGCGACGAGTATATATATAATAAACTTGCCTTGTAGCCATTACCTTCTCCACCAATGACGTTCGCTGCGGGAACCTTCAGATCGTCAAAGTTGAGGGTACACGTCGACGAAGCGCGGATTCCCAGCTTTTCTTCCTTCTTTGCAATCTCTATACCCATATCCTTCGTGGCTACGAAGCAGGTAATACCTTTATAACCTTTGCTGGGATCCACCTTTCCAGAAAAAAGCAAGTCAGCGAATGGTAGCGCTGAAAACGAGGGGAGGAGGCCTCACGTTGGCAAAGATCAAGAATATCTCTGCCTCGTATGAATTTGTGATCCACATCTTGGAGCCATTGATGATCCAGTGGTCACCATCTTTCTTTGCACGCGTTTGCAAGGCAAAGGCATCAGACCCTGAAGCGGGCTCAGACAAGCAGAAGGACCCGAGCTAAAGACACAATGTCAGTGCACACAACAACGAAGAACACAGACAGTAACGACCTTTGACTCTGAAAGCTGCGGGAGGAACTCGTCCTGCTGTTCCTTCGTGGCGTACTTGCGGAAGATGGTGTTGACGAGGGTGTTATGGACATCACACATGACGGACACGGAAGGGTCTATCTTTGCGAGTTCTTCGATGGCGATGATGGCGGAGGTGAAGGAGGACTCGGAACCTCCGTGGTCTGCGCTGGTCTCGATGCCCATGAGCTGTGTGGTGCGTGGTTAGAGGGTGAGAAGGTCGCGAGGTAGACGTAGGTACTGACACCTTGCTCGAACAATCCCTTGATGATGGCGGGATCCATACTCTCCTTTTCGTCCATCTCACGCACTTTGGGGCCAACGACCTCGGTTGCAAAGCGCTTGACTGGAGGAGGGGTTGAGTCTTTCGTCTGTGTTGAGACGAGAAAGCTGAACGTACCGGACTCTCTGAGCATCTGCTCCTCGTCTGTGAAGGTATCCAGCGAGTTCAGCGTCGACGATTCTGAACGGCAAGCATGGGACGAGGAGAAAGCTCTTGGGTAGCACATTAGTAAAAATCACAAGACACTATGTTTTTCTTCCATACCTGGCTGCAGATCTTACTGGCAACACACGGCTCCTTATGGACCTAGCGGCGAGGGATCGAGTAGCGGAAAACATAATGGTAGTTGTGGTAGATAAGATACGCAATGCGATAGCCCGAAATGAAAGGCAAAGTGGAGAATGGCAATGGTAGAGACCAAGCTTACTTGTTCTCTTTCGGAAGTTAAGTCGGAACTTGCTCGCACGGAACTTGACAATCACATGAACCTGACCACAGCCGATTCATATGCGAGACCTCTAGAATTCATGGTACCGCCTATCGCAGCTATCCGAGTCAAGCTTCAAGGACGTTGCATATAACAAATGACAGAACATATGTGTTGTACTACTCGAAAGTGACATAAAACTCAAAACATTAGCCATTAACAACGGTACTCAGACATAAAGTGCACTCAAGAATCAATCAGCATATCTCAAAGACGTGGCATATAACAAAATTATAAGGATCCAAAAGTTTTCAAAAAAAAAAAAAGGAAAGACATTATCGGGGAAAATGATTCGTAAAAAACAAGTCGTAAAATGCGTTTCCACTCGTAGACCCTACCTTACGCCCCATCTCCTCCGCTTTTTGCATGGTCTGGGGCAGCAGAATTCGGTGCTTCCCCGTTTGCACGCCCTCTCGTCAAACCTGCAGCGGCAAATCCTCTGGCAGCAAACCCGTGCCCACGACCACCTCGACCTCTGAATCCACCTCTATATCCACCCCGGTCTTGTCGATCTTCCTTGTCAATGGCTTGCTTGACCTCAGGAACGGCATCCTTCAGTTTCTTTACACGTGCAAGGTTAGTCGATTCAAAGGCTTGGGGAAAAAACTCACTTCAGCGTGCTTCTCTAGCCCTGCTTTCATAGCCTCTTCGTCCCCGAACTCAACATAGGCCACCCTTTGATTCCGATTTTGATACATTGGCTGAGGGATATTTACTCGAGTAATCTGATGGCATCCATCAGCACGAACGAAAGTGATAGGATCAATAACTGCGTAGCTTACCCCAGACTTTGCCTCTCCAAAGAACTCTCGTAGTTCTGTCTCATTGGCGAGAACTTGCATGCGTATAAACAGGGTCCAGGGATTTCTCGGTGGCCGCCTGGTCGTCGGAGTCCTCACACCAGCACTGCTCTCGGTGGCCGGCGATTTCAGGCCAGAGTTTGCATCTGCATCAGGCGTAGCAGCTTTCGCTGGCTCAGACGATGAAGGCGCAGGAGCTTTGCTGTTTGTCGCTGCCTTGTCTGATTTTGGACCTTGTTGCGGCTGTGTCTCCACACTCGGACGGACAGGACTTTCTTTCTTTTCCTCCGCACCCTGCTGGCTTTCCTTCTCCTTAGGCTTCTTTTCAACAGGCTCCTTCTCCTTTTTCTCCTTCTTGTCCTTTCTCTTTGGCTTTTCCTTCTCAGCCTTCTCCGACAAGGGTGCGGTGGGAGTACCATTCGTCTTTACGGAGGTTTGACCGGATGAAGGGGCTGTTTCCTTGGGGGTGACCTTGCCTGATGATGCGGGTGGAGGTGTGGAGCCAGACGATTTTACTTCCTTTGCAAGATGAGGTGGAAGGGGCTTCTCGGATGCAACAGGCGTCGATCCCTTCGTCGGCGGGTTTGTGGCGGGATTCGAGGGTAGAGAAGTGGTAGCGGATTTGGGTGTAGGAGCAGTGGTGCTAGGGGTGGCTGTACGGCGGTATGCATAGTTGAAACCTTGATAATACACCATCAATAATTTTTCACGTAAGAACACTCGGATAGGAAATAGAAGGTACCTTGGCTCTTCAATTCTGCGCTCACTCGTCCTTCCTTGATATCAAGGACGAGTGAACCATACGCGGCATCACAGAGGTTCCAATTCCAGCAGTTCTTCCAAGCTGGTTCCTCGGTAGATGCTGTTGCATTGGCGCCAGCCTGTCCAGGGGCAGGGGGTAGACGCTCGAGGACAGAGAGCGCTTTGTCCAGAAGAACTCGCTGATTATCATCGATGACTGCATCAACTTGGGTTTTTACGTTCTCCCAGACTTTGTCGAAGCCATCTTTACCGACCGTAAGTTTGTGCCTGAATCCCTCAAAGTCACCTTGAACACTGAATTCGTTGTATGAGCTTGCGTATCGGAAGTGGAGGCCGGCGGAGATGGTAAGGTCTGCTTTCAACAGAAGGGCGAGTTGCGCGATTATGCCCTCACGTCCAGGGCTGGCGTGCGTGACGAGTAAGCGAGTTTCTGATGGGTCATACACCCGCTGAGCGGTGTCGACGAGTTCACCGATTTGAAGCGCCGTCGTCCACATTGTGCCTTGTCCACCAGCGATAGTGGCAGCTCCATCACCATTGTCGAACATCTTATGGGGCACCAAAGCGCCCCCTAACCCAAGTAGACGTAATTTGACGCCACCAACGTCGAGGCAGCGAGTAGTAGCCTCGTCCAGTACGTGAAGATTGTCGACGGCGTAGGTACCGGCACGGAATTTCTCGAGAATGGAAACATCCTCGCAAGCTCCCCAGACAGTATATACGGGGACCTGAAGCTTGATTTGACCGGAGAGAAGTAGGGGGAATTCTGATAGGAGAGAAACGTTGACGGTGGTACGAATAGAGGCGGGTGTGTTATCTGCGGCCAATAAGTGTGTACGCTGTGCGGTTGGAATGAGGGGCGAGTACATTGTGAGGTGTCGAAGGGTGCGGTCGTTAATTCTGTCTAGACTGTGACTTTCTATTGAACAAAAGCGGGGGAGAAAAAAGAGTAAGAAATGACGAAATGAAAAGTGGAAAAGAGGAAAAGAACATACCAAAAAAGCCAAAGTCTCCGGTGTGAATTACAGCCTTTGCGTTGGCCTCTCTTGCGAGTTCATTGAGTGCTGAGAGACGGCCACGGATGTCGGCAATACAAAGAATACGACCATGGACGGTATCGAGGACCTTTGTCTGGGTATTTACATATTGGATTGGTGGTCTGGGAGAGGCTACAGGACGCGTTGAGGTGGAGGCAGGACGCGAGGTTGGCTGCATTTTTGTGAATAAATGATTTTACCGCAAAGGTGAGGAGAACACGCTGGGCAAAACGCTCAACGACTTGCAACACAAATGTGGCGTCGCAAAAACTACTCTCTATTATGTAATATGCTAACCCGCGGCTTCTCGGCACACACCTTTATTCTCTGCTTTTCAGCGCAATGGTGCAATCGGACTGCAACCTGGCCTGTGTGTTGGATGGCAGTGGTCCTAGCGTCCGTTGTATATGCGTGCACGACAATGGCGTATTGATATGTAATTTGTATAGTTTTTGCAAGTGGAGTGTGACTTGAGAAAGGCTCGGACAGTGAACGGACAGCGATCGGCAATCGAGGTCTTGTTTTACCTCCGCATCCACCAGCTCATACGAGCCCTTCCCGCCCCAGTGGCTACTCTGCGTCCTTAGCCTTAGGCCTGTATGGCCTCTAAATCTGCCCATGCCTCCTCTTCCCACTCTTCCTCTCCATCCACCACCATGTCCCATCTCCCACCCCATGTATCTCTTTCAGAACAGGTTCTCTCCTCAGTCGTCTCCCTCCCTGACAATCCAGTCATAGCCTATACCACTTTCACAACACAAAGCACCACCATTCGACCTTACGAAGCCTTGGAACTCGCTCGCAGGCTGCTTGTCAATCGAAATAAAGGCCTACCGCTCTTAGATTCCCTCTTGCCGTGCGTAAATGTCTCTCAGGACTTATCTGCACTCCAGGTCTTCGCCATCACCTCGCGGGACCACGTATCCGCCAAACTCGCTGCCATTAAGGACATCTCCTTTGACGGGCTGACTGGTGAGTTTTTTTTCCCACTATCACAACCTGATTGTCCGCGGAATCATCACCAAACGTGGAGGTTCTGCACATATCGTGGATTCCAGTCCTCGCTACACTGCGATTACAAGCAGGGAACAACGCGTGTACCGGACTACTGGAACCCTCTACATATCACACCATTCTATGTCAAATTCCACTGCTATGATTTACTATTTAGTTCCTCATCTGACCCGCTTGCTGATAAAATGTAATTCCAGTTTCAGGAGAATCCTCATTTACACCCCACGACCTGTATCCGTGTTCGCTCGCCTGCTCAGATGACCAATCACCTTGCCCATCCTGTCTGAAACGTGACCCCTCTTCACTCTCGCAGTCAACTTTGTCATCTCCCGCTTGTCTCCTTCCCCGCAAGCCATTAAGAAGCGCCTACTATCACTTCCTGGATGCCGTACGTAAGCGTCTTATTGATGATATCTCCGAGGCGTCCAGGAAAACCCCGCACGGCCGTTGTGCAAGAGGATTTCAAGATGGTTTTCTGCTGAGTCCACCACGCTCGTACTTCGACTGGGGCGTGGATTGGCAACATCATGTTAACACCAGGTTTTATTTTGTTTTTTGCTACTTTGCATGCGCATATATGCTAATGTTTTTTTTAGACCTTTCATACACTGCCATCTTGAGATTCACCTCGCAACATCTCGCCTCGAGATCCACCCTATTATCCGACCCACTCACTTCTCACCCCTTTCCGTCCACCTACCACTTGCTCCGGGAACTCCCATCGCATTAATGCCATATTCTACTCCAGCTTTTTTTCTCGCGACCTACACTGGGCCTACATCAGCTCTATCTGCACAGTTTGAACAATCCTTAGCAGGTCTTGGTGCCGGAGATTGGAAAACCATGACATCCCCTTACTCACATTCTGTAAGTAATGGTAAGCATCGAAGTGCCGACCCTTCTGCACGTAAGTATCCGATGTATATCATCGCTTGGCTAGCGGTGGAGAACAAACAAGGCGAAGACAAAGGCATGAATATCATCTGGCCTACAGAATTGTGCCTTTCTTATTTGCCATCATCCAAATCTGCTCATGCACGACAGACGCTCGCGTACATCCCGGACTTACCTCCCCCACTTCAACCTTCCCCTCCGCCCCCACCGCCACCCGCTATTTCGATCAGTTCGCCTGTGTCTGCAGGAGGGGATGGTGGCCCAACTTCACCTATCGAACTGAACAGCCATCGCATTTCTCGGCCGGTTATCAGCCGAATATGTACTTCTCCCACAGGCGAATATCTCCGAGCTTTTCGTTCGCTCACGGTCTCGAAGTCGAAGGGTTTGGATGAGATAGCGACAGAAGTAGGAGGTTATGTTGAGGTAGTGGCGAAAGAACGAGAGAAGGAACGGGAGCGAATACGGCGAGAACGAGAAAACGCACACTTTTCTGCTTCACCTAGAGCAGTTGTTACTCCACCAACTGCTCTGCCTTCGAGTATCACACCTGGAGTATCTATGCTGGCCACAACATCCGTTGATATAGTCGCAACGCCTCAGCATTCACAACCTCCTGCATCTGCCCAAACTTCACCCACTACAGTTGCTTCGAATCAAGACTCGCAGCCCGTATCCATTCCTCACCAGCAATTTTATCCTTCGCCCCCTCAAACAAACCTACCAAGTGGTGCTCATTCTACAGGTCAAGACTCTCTCATGTCCTCCGTGGAGCCGACATCTGCACTTCCCACCACCGCAGCGAGTGAACCAGAACCAGTCGTTAATGACCCAATCCCTCAGCCCGAAAACATATCGTCTTCTTCCTCGTACGATCCTTTCAACATGGAGCCTTCTTGGGCACAATCCAACGATGACTTTATGAGCATAGGCATGGATTATAACATGTCGTTTGGTATCAGTATGGACCCTATAGGTGGCGGCGGAGCCGGTGGTGGAGGTGCTGCTGATCGTCTGGATATGGATTTTGAAGATGGATTCACTTTTACAGATGACGATTTCAGTTTCTTTGATCGCCCATCGGCAAGTACTCGGCTGCCTGCCGTCGCTGACTCTACATTGGAAAACACGACCATAAATACGGGCTTGACCCCTGCCGCGGGCCCTGCTCCATTAGGTCTCTCCCCGCCAACCTACGGGGATGGGATACATTTCTCAGGCTCAGGCTCAGGCCCTGGACCACCACCCACCCCTGGGCAGCTTCATTTTCCACCATGGAATCCCGGTGCTTTGGCCGAAGGCTATTCCCCTCGATTCATTGACCATCCTCATGCGCATGATGTGATACCCCCAGCACCAGATTTGCTGCCTCCCTCTCCTGGGAAGACCCCCTCGTCTCATTCGGCGCCTGTGACCCCAAATGTGCATGTCTATGGTTCTGATGCCTACAGACCAACTTCGTCGAATTCGAATATTTTCGATCCCATTCCGTTTGCGAATAGTCACAGGATAGCTGATGGGAAATATACGTTTGGTAAATTTGCGTTACCTAGTCCGCCTGATGAAGAAGATAGAACGGAACCTATACCACTATCATCTTCCCCGCTACATCTTCAGGGTTGGAAGCTCAGGTATAACGCAGTCACAGACCCCCGAATTGGTGTTGTGCGCAAGTTGATCGGCGTCAAGAGGAAAAGTTTTGATCAGGGTTCTCGAGATCACAAGTCGTTTTCGTCTTGGAAGCGCGAACACGAAGATTGGGTCAGTAGCAACGTTGTTGACGACGTTGAAGAGAACAAGTCTGATGCAGAATCGGAAGACGATGATGTTGAAATTGACGACCTGCCAGTGGCTTCCAGAACCTCCACCCCACCTCCAGCCTATCTACCTATGGGTCCTACTTTATTGCATACATATTTTCATCACTCTCTCTTGTTACCACTGAGCAATCCCCTCAGACCCCCAGGTGCAGCAGTCGCTCCGACCAATATCCCCACTGTAGCTCCAACGTCTGTTCCCACACCTGTCTCTCCCGCTGCAGCGTTGGGGACGGCTTCTGAAAAGTCTAAATTTCTGGAGGCGGCTGGATATATGGTGGCTAGTGAGATGGTGGAGAATAGTGTATGGGCCGATGCTTGGCGGTCAAACTTTCTTTCTGCCTCTGTTAGACCGACATCAGAAATATGGAAATCAGACGTTAGTACCTTGGTTCAACTGGTGAAAGACGTTCCGGACATGGAGGGCCCTCTTGATCTACAGACCCTGTTTCAACTTAGTATGTGTGCTCAATCCTCTGGCTCTTTTTTCGTGACTGAGACAATGAACAGAAACAGAACATACTTCCCAATTGGAAGAGACAGTGCTCCAGAAATTGGAACCGCCCATGTTTTCGATTTGTAAATCCGATTCAGTGATCCAAGTTCTTCCATCTGCAATACGTTTCTGGGAGAAATTAGGATTAGGACCACTTGGAGGGAAGAAGGACATAATTGCTTTTGTGTTGTTCGACGAGGAAGGGCCAGAGAAACAGAACCAAGCAGAGGGGTGGCTCAATAGCATATCTGTCATGTATACGGTAAGTTCGACATCGTCTTAACATTTGTGATGTGGAAAAACTAAAGTGGTGATGGTAACGTCTCTTTTGCAGGCGAAACAACTAGGCACTCACGTACCTGGAAGCTGCACTGGCTGCCCAAAAGATGGGATTATGCCTTTACGGTTCGACTCGTTTCGCAAGTCTCTTGGTATGTACCGTTCCTTTATAAACGCAGAACCTATCTCATATTTCACTCTATATAGCCTCTTTCGTCGCTAGTTTACCGACCTCTCAGTCAAGTCTGGTGTTCTACATCGTCACTCCAGATACAGCCATGTCGCTGGCCTCGCCACTCCTTCGACAAGTTTTTTCCGCTGTAAAGCGAGCACAGAAAACATACTCGGAAGCTCAGATTCTTTTTCAATTCGTACCCGAGCGGCTCATAAGGTCTGTGGGTAGTTCTACCAATCAAGACATGGATATCGAAGCGCTGTGCTACTCCGTCTACCGCCGCGTTCCACAACCCGTCGATAGGTACATGTCACGACGATTTTCTGAGAACGGAGAGAGAATTCGAAATTATTTCCAAGAGCAGCCTTTCACTCTCGCCCGACCGTTATGTAATCGAGTCAGCTTCACTTTACAGAGCCCGGCACGCACGCTCGACGTAGTGGACCGTCATACTCTTCTGCATATCGGTTATCAGACGTCGGCGTGTGGGAAATGGCTGATTGCTGCTTGTGTCGATCAAAGGGGTGAAGCGCACGATCTTGGAGTCTGGTTAATCCAGGGCGATTGGGAAGCATTTGTGGTGGAGCAAGTGTGGAAATTCGCGGTGCAATTTGCTCGGAAGGCAAATATTGAATGGCGTCTGATTTTTACTAAATTAGGCTCCATGAGTGAGAACGAGTTAAATGGTATGTCATTTCTTTGCCTACTGAAAGTTGGACATATGAAACTTATATTTATATACTAGCTTGGTCAAGTCATTTAGCTACAGTGGTCCCAGCATGTAGCGAATTACCTCCTTTCTATGTCTCCCTATTTTCCGTCGACCAAGGCATGCCATGGACCTTCATATCGCCCAAGAGTAGCGTGAACCCCAGTACGCCGAAGCGATCACCCGGAAAGGATTGTACGAAACACATATATCTGGACGTCTCTGCGACTACCTACGCGCTATTTAGTCCGTCACCGATGCCTTTGATGTCACCCCTCTCTTCTGCTACACGAGATGGTGCCGATGTGTCGACTATCCCAGATAACGAGGAGATGCCTCCACGCGACACGTTAGGTGTAATGCCACTATCGACCACCATGCTCATACGCGCACCAGCGGCCTCGGGGCACACGGCGATTACTATGATCCATATACATCTGCTTCACTCCATGAAATCACCCAACTCATCGCTGAGTACATCGGACCATGAAACACATAAGGACGTCACTCGTAACTTTCATGAGCTGGCTGTACTCTCAGAGTCCACTCACAGGCTTCGTGCAAACCCTATTTTACCGTTTCATCTTGCTGCTCTGGAAACCATGCATGGTGCACTGACGCAAGGAGACGTGGAGTAAATTGCTATCTTGTTTTCTTATTTCTTGCTAATTTTTTGTTGTTGTCATGGTCGACTAGTTTACCGCATTGTCCATTCATACTTTCATACTGTATCCATAAGTATCAATCGCATTATTTGTTGTATGTACACCTTCTTATTTCAACGGGATATCCGGGTAATACATAACGTAGTATTATTATTGAACCTTCTTCTCCTGAGCATTATAGCCCTTTGGTGCTTCCAAGCGCAAAGGCGATTGTATACTCGACAATGTTGAAACGCCTAGCATCACTATGGGCACGAGGACGAAGAATGTGATCAAAAGCGTAGTGATCAAGGCAGGTGTGAGGAGCTGATATCGTTTGAGTATGCCACCAGCGGGTGCTTTGAAGTCGGCGTGGCTCTGTAGGGCCGAACCATTCAACTCCGGAGCAGGAGAGTCGTACCCAGAAGCCTGTCTACTGAAGAGTCCAACGGGCGAACCAGTGAGCACAACGAGGTGTTTTGGGAAAGCTGCACCGATGTTGGCGAGTTCGCTAGAAATCCGGGATTCTATGGAATAGCGATACATCAGAACCGGCCCCTTGAGGGGTGAAAAGTGAAGCCTACCGTGATCAAGCATGGACGCCTTTCTGAATTCGACGCTCTCTTCCAAGTGTGGCATGTTCATACAGACAACGTGCTTTGGACCCTCCTCTAGATTGGCTGCTCCTTGCCCGGGGACCATGTCGATACGCCGAGACCCACATCGACTGGATATCATTTCAGCGACATCCGCCAAAGAGGAGCTGGGCCCATGCTTCATGTATTGGAATTGACGAGAAGAAGGGGCTGAGCTCAGCGACCTCGCCAGAATGGAGGATGCTGGGAGTGTTCGCAGGTCAGAGCTGCGCAGCTAGGATGCAAATGAGGATACAGCACAGTCGACGAGCAGCGGAACGTGACGCACCCCAGGCTGGTCAATGACTACAATGGCATCGTAGTCACAGATGTCGTTGTGCGAGAAAATGCTACCAAGCAAAGCGTCCGAACTGAGTGCAGACTTTACGGGTAGAAGTTCGAGCACGTCTGATCTGCAACGAAGGTTCATTCAGTGTGGAGCTGTTGCATGCAATAAAAGGGAATGTACTTGTGAGATGACCATGCTACGAACGGTGATGTATCAGAAAATGCAGAGACTCCGGCCGCGCAAAAGAGAGATGCGAGGATTATAGCACGAGAGGCCATTTTCTGTGAATTAGCAGCTTGTAACATTCAAGTTGGACCCGAGCGAGCAGAAATGGAGAGGTCCCTCCTTATGTAATCAAGAGGTCCACCGTCGACCTCGCATCTTTCAGCCACACCGTAACTCTACACTTTACTGCTATTCACTCATGGCCTCTATACCATCCCAGGCAAAGTCAAAGCAGCTCCGTGCTTGTTTGCTATGTTCAATTGTTCAGCATCCAATGGATTTCAGAAAAAATGGCTGTCCAAATTGTGAAGAACTGATGCAGGTAAGTTACTTGTACAGCATGTCCGTCTGAACCCCTGCTTTCCATAATCTGGCACCCTTATAGATGAAAGGCTCCCCCGACCGAATAGGTGTCTGCACAACTACATACTTCGACGGAATCATTGCTGTCATTGATCCAGAGTCGAGTTGGGTGGCGCGGTGGCAGAGAACATGTAAGCAGGCTTGCTTGAGCCTGTTAACTTCATCTGCTCATCTCGCTTTGCTCTCCAGCAAAATATGTCCGAGGTATGTACGCTGCCCGCGTCAAGGGACGCATTCCAGAAGATGTCGAGGCAGAGCTCGAGAGTCGCGGTATAAAGTACCGTCCACGAGACCAGACGGACCAAGATTGAGCCAAACCATCCCAGTGTTCTTTACCCCTGTTATACTACCATCTCTCTCCAGTTCTTTACGGTGAAAATAAAGCATTATTAAATATATCTGTATGTGATATACATGATGGTATACTATTAGCACAATGGCTGATTGTTATCCATTCCATCCAGTTCCTCGTTGTATGGGGTATCCAAATACCATTAGAACCCCCTTGCACAGCAAACATAAATCACAGTAACTCATGCAAAACTCGATCGTACAGGTGCGGGAGATGTGCACTAAAACCAGATATAAGCATATTTGAACAAGAGGGAAAAGATTGTGATGAGATGCCATACCTAAGCATATTTCGAGAAAAAACGATTTGAGAATAGATTTTCTCGACATCCAGCACTTCAAAAAGTCTTGGTTTATCGGGCTCTTTCTTCGATCCCTTAGGTGATAGTCTATGAGAAGGATGTAAGTCTATGTCTCTTATAGCCCATAACACTCGGCCAGGAGGGAACAGGTCGGCCATATGCATGTTGGCTTCGAGTGTCTTCCGTACAGCGAGAAACTAATGACTGTCAGCGATACTTGTCGAAGGAGATAGGGATATATGAGACCAACCCATTTCGGATCGTCTGGTGACCCAAGACCTGCTTTCCACCTTCGTGCAGCCCTTGTCACGACCGTATAGCCCTCAGTACCACCCGTTCGCTCATTCGCATCGCATAACGATAGTGCAGCGTTTCGGATGTCTCGAACTGATCCAAGAGATAGTCGAGATACAACATCATCAGAGTACACAAATGAAGTGACAAGCTTTTTCGCTAGCCGACTCAATGCTGCATCAGTAAAACATCTAATTGCCCAGAGCATGAGCTTTCATTAAACAGGAGAATAAAAAGAGAAAGAGCTTTGACGTACGGAGGTGCAAAGGCATAAACAGCCACGGGACGGTCAACTGGAAGACCACTCGAGTACACCGTACGACACGTCGTTGGGTCTGCCCACATCTACAAGTGCATAATGAGACTGTATACTCATTATCTCTGTCATATTGTGGTGTCTTACCAGACCCAGGAGAGTAGCTACCCCAGCACCCAAACTATGACCACACAGAATAAGTTCTGTAATGAAGACGCACAACATCAGGTAAGAGTCACGCGGGTAGTAATTCGATGTTGAAAGATGACTAACCGTAATCAGGATATCGGATCAGGGCATCCATAACAGCTAGGTGAACAGGTTTTCCAACCTCGCCCATCACTCGTGCCATTCTAAGCATGCCGCTGTGTACTTGGTAGTGTGGAGGTGAGTTGGATGATAGTGACTGCTGAGAGGCACGCCTGCGACTTGTCTTGGCTGGTGTCCCCGGAAGGCGCTCGTCATGATCGTGGTGTAAGGTAGTAGCAGGCTCAAAAGTAGTAGGTTCGCAAGTGAGATCCACTGCAAGCTCGTTGAGCGACATTGTTCCTGAGTATCCACACGCAAAGCAAAAAGTAAGCTAGGGAAGTATCTTACAAGTATATTCTTTAGCACGAACCTCGAAGAACTAGGACGACTTGTTGCCTTCCGTGATCAGTGAGGACCCAGAATCTTGGCATATGAGGTTCAATGCCAACCACAGCTGTAGCACGAATCTTGGCCTGTACGCCTGCCTGGCTGTCGTGGATAGATCTTTCAAATATCTCTTTATCATGCTTCCCCATGAGGATGTCCCACCACGAGTAGTTTGAGTTTTCCAGATATGACGACGTTGATGGTGCTGCACCACCACCAACCGCTTCGGCCTCCGACGCATTGATGGCACTTTCTAGTTGAGCCTCTTCGACATCTTTCTCACTGAGATTCGAGGGCCTCGCGGCCGCCTTGAAGGGTGATGTAAAATCTGATGATATGCCAAAGAATAGAAGACTAGCACCACCATATCCTGCTAGGACCATCTTGGAGAAACGGCGTAAATCTGATTTAACTTCTGATATCGTTTTCTGTGGGACGTCGAAACATGTGTCTTTCCATGCATCCTTTCCTTGAGACGAACATATTGAAGATATTGAGAACCGAGCTCTAGAGAGCGTACTCGAGGAACGAGCTCGGCCATATGGGGATGCTGGGGCTTCTCCGATATCAGCAGAAATAAGTTGACCTATATGACCAGGAAATATGACGTCTGATGTTACACGAACGCGGGATGGTACACGCTTCAAACGAGATTCGGCCGATGAGCCTTTGACTTCGATTTCCCGGAGATGGCTAAACCATTGTTTCTCCTGCCACTCCTGAGTGACACCTTGGAGAGAAATCCAGGCAACCAAAGCTTTTGCAACTTCGGTCACACCATACCTTTTATCCGGTAGATTGGTACCAAACGCAGGGTAATCCCATTCCCTCTTAACGAGTGTGATGAACGAGGCAAGTGAGAAGGAGGCCTCACTGCTACCGGGAAATATTATAGACAGGATATCAATTGAGCTGTGTGCTGCTGAAAAGGAGGCAGATGTTATGTATTCGCCAAGAAATATAGGAGCAAGGGTAAGATTCTCTGCGAAATTGATGGCAGTAGACATGGCTCCCTCCAACACGGGGCTTGTGACCATGCTACCACCGAATAAGGTATGGTCAACGGTTGTAGCGGTCAGACCAACTATGCTTGAAGCTATCGTCCGGGCGACAGAAAACTAGAGTGATCTAGATAAAGAGATGTTGCGTGTATGAAATATCAATGTGGACTCACGCCTAGTCTTGTGCTTGATTTAGCTGCAGTAAATCCTATAGAAGAGAATGCTGAGGCAACGTCGAGACCACGTCTGCCAAATGTCTCCCAGTCGCAGCCCATGGTATATGAGGTATAAAGACTGAGGATGGCCAATATGTAGTACTAGGATAGCACGAGTCCATGCATAAGGTCAGAGCCAGCTGTCCTGACATAAATCCACATTGCTACTTGTTCTTTCTCCAGCCATGTGATACCGACCCATTTATATTCCCACGGCCTCTTTCATATTTTATCAGACCCTAACCCTAGCGTATGAGATGCTATGTCTCTCCGCTCTGCTCTGGCAAATACCACTGCGAGGGTAATACATTCCTCTGCTTCTATCCCGCCCATTCGTTTGTGCACTCAAGCCCGTAAATATGCAACAGAGGCATCTATAGACTCTATATCAAAGCCTTCAAGCTATGGCCAACCTCTCTTTCAGTCCCACCCCCACCTTCGTAAGCCCTTTCGGATGGTATACACTTTCGGTAGTTAACGGCAGACACCCAATTGCAGTGAAAAGGGATGAATTGACTCCTGGAATACCAGCAGAAGAGTACGAGAGACGTCGCAAGGCCCTAATAGATAGTTTGCCTCCCAACAGCGTCGTAGTATCTGTCTCCGCACCGATAAAATACATGAGTGGTAGTAAGTGCCGGTGCCTACACTACCTGAACGGATAACCTTGACACCACTCATATAGGCATATTGTTCGTCCATGGTACATAATATATGTTCGTTCACTCATTGTTTTTCTTTTTCAAGTTACAAGTATCGACAAGCGTCTGATTTCTGGTATCTTACTGGATTCGAAGAGCCAGATTCGGCCGTAATTCTCGGTACATGATTACCTTTTACCCTCGGGGATTCTTCTCATGTTCCATATTATGCAGAAAAGAACTCAACGTCGAGAGGATATAGAATGACTATATTCTCTGTAGGCAAAGATCCCGCGAAAGAGCAGTGGGATGGTGCCAGGTATAATATATTTATATTTAACTCTTCTAGCTCCAAATTCACTGTTATTATTCTTAGGACAAACTTCCAGGATGTTGCTACTCTGTTCAAAGCTGATCATGCACAGTCAATCAATGACTTTCCAGCCCAACTTAGATCACTCATCAACTTGTACTCTAACGTATTTGTTGATGTACAACCTCGGAGAGGTGTGCGATCGCCCAAATCGTTGCTTAAATATTTATCACCAGCAGTGGCCCCGCGTTCAGAGTACGACTCCATACTAGAGTCTCTCTCAAACTCCCGGCGCAAGCCATTGGCCCCCCTCCTTGCAAGAATGAGAGCGACCAAGAGTGAGCACGAACAAAGGATAATGAGGGCAGCTGCTGATATCAGTGGAAGTGCGCTTGCAAAGGTAGGCTTCCAAGAAAACTACGAGGCACAGTGCTAAATCTCCGATTACTAACAATACAAGACCATGCGCTTCACACGACCTGGCATTCCAGAATCTGCGCTTGCGGCCCATTTTGAATATCTGTGCTGTCTCTCTGGATCACAACGCTTGGCATACGTGCCCGTAGTCGCGTCCGGGTAAGTAGCAGTACTTGATCGAGTGTGTCTGTTAATCACGGATCTGATAGGCCCAATGCTTTAATAATTCACTACACATCTAACAATCACGTTGTCAAAGAGGATGAGATGATCCTTGTTGATGCTGGTTGTGAATATAAGTTCGTATTCCGATCTTATCACTTTCATTACTGTACTAATCTGGTTATGCCAGTGGTTATGCGTCAGATCTCAGTGAGCACTACACTTCTCAATACTATCTCTTGCTATTCTCAACGTAATTTCAGCCCGTACATACCCTGCATCTGGAACATTCACAGCTCCACAAAAGGAGCTTTACTCCGTCGTTCTCTCCGTCCAAAAAGCCCTGATTCAAATGTGCACCGAATCTCACCGTTTGAATCTCTACGAACTCCATCGCAAATCTTGCGATCTTCTCAAACAAGGGCTTGGCCAGATTGGCTTTCAGCTTCGCACAGGAGATCTCGAAAGAATTCTCTATCCTCATTTCCTCGGCCATCCAATCGGAATCGGCAAGTCCCCACCCATTCAATTGATAGATTACTTGGCAAGCTAATCACTATGTGAATTTGGCAGACTTGCACGAATCGAGTAACTTTGATCGAGGTGAATAGTAAGTGGAACATTCCTCGCACGATAAACTATTTGGTGATCGTAACTTGCCGCTGGATGTAGCTTGAAAGCAGGTATGATCATCACTGTGGAGCCAGGTGAGGAACATGTCCAACAAGGATTTATCAGGCCTGTTTGATTAGCTTACATTGCTATCAGGTATTTACGTCCCGCCTTTGCCTCAATTTCCAAAACACTTCCACAACATTGGCATACGGATTGAGGTTAGAAACATGGTATCATCGTTTGGGCATATCATAATCTCATATATATTCCATAGGACGAGGTATTAGTAGGCAAAGATTACCCAACAGTAATCAGCGTAAATGCCCCAAAAGAGGTACGATCATTAAAACATTTCTAGAGCAAGTCTAAGTGATTTATTTTAGATTGTGGACGTTGAAGGAGCATGTCAAGGACTCCTGGGATTGGAAGCTATCTAAAGAGCTGCATGACTTTGAAAGGTATACAAGATATAGCAACTTTCTTAATTAGCACAACATTTTGTTGCTTCTTGTTTTCAATTGTCTTCCGCAACATGCTCCTCTTCTATACCATCGGCTGCATTCAGCGCCCGCATCAACTGTTCTTTCCTCAGCCACTTGTGCTCTGGCATGAAATACCAACTCAGAACGGCGAAGATGGATACAGCACCGAATATGACAACGGCCTAGAGAAAATGCTGGCATTAATTCTGCATACCAGTATTAGTAAATATTCAAAGCTTACGAAGTTAAATGATTCAGCTGTAACAGGGAAATAGAAAGGGGATATATCAACCTGAAAACGACAACATTCAGGACCCCTAAAGCTGACTGCATTCGAGATTTAAGAGACTCACCGCGAAAACCAGGATATTGAAAGCTGCTGCTGATGCGTAGAAAGGTTTCGCATATCTGCCTAAATTATAATGCGATGACTTGAAGTGGTCGGGTGTCAGAGTCAGGCGAAGCATAGCAATTAGCGCATAGGCAGCTATTGTGGGAACACCGCCAGCAGAGACGAGAGAGGTGAAAGCAACCTGGCTGGGAAGGATGGTACAGAGTAAAGCTGCAGCAAATATGTAAATGACAGTGACAGCATTCCGTGGCTGTCCCTTCGAATCGACGCTCCCAATCCAGGGGGATAATGGTAAAACGCCATCTCGGGCTACTGCGAATATAAGTCGCGACGCGGCCACAATAGACACAGTCGTATTCTACGGATTCAAAGGACTGGGGTTAAACAGATTTCTTTTTGAAAATGTTTATGCACGCACCATGATAAGACCTAGTGAGGCGATGAGTGTCATAAAGATACTAGCTTTCTTGCCGAGAGCTAGTGCGTAGATTTGGACAAATGGTTGTGGAGCATCGAGAGCAAATACCGTATTCAAATCAGGTGTGCAGAAGAGGAAGAGTATAGTAGTAATGAAACCTAGAACGCCGGTGGCTATGGCGCTCCATAGAATACCTTTGGCTGCAACCACGCTGTACGCAGAGATTATTCAAGAATTGTACAAATGATGTCTCCATAAGGAAAGGCTTACCTGGCGTTCATCGTCTCTTCAGCAATATGTCCAGAAGCATCAAAGCCGGTTAAAGTGCCGGCCGTGAAAAGACTGTATATTTTTTTTCAATAGCTTGAGAGGATAATTAACCATGATTCACGCACAGAGATAATATCCAATTCCATCCTGCTGGTGCTCCCGTGCCATTGTCTATGTATCACGGTCAGATGAAGCGGTGGCATGAATTTTTTCGACAAACTTACAGGTAACGGTGAATACTTCTTTAGCACTGCGAAATCCATAAGTTTGAGATACACCAATAGGTAGCCAGATCAGGCACAAGAAAAAATCCAGCATCATCAAGCCAACAGAAAATTTGAAAATGGCAGAATACATCCTCGGGGGAAGATAATTGATGGCCACCGATAGGAGAAGCATTCCTTCCGATATTGCCCAGATCAAAGCGCGCCATTGAATATTATCGTTTCCTACACCTCCAGGATAATCTACCTCCCAGACAGCAAGTAAAGAAACAATATAATTGGCGGTTGTCTGGGAAGCAGAAGTCAAGATATAGGACGTGGAAAAATAGAAGATTCCGTACCTGGCAGTTGCTGGCAGTAAAGGTCATCCACGCCGTGCACGACCACCACGCCACAAGGAATCCAAAAAACCTGGCATATTTTGGTCCAGCACTTTCAGCGGCCCAGATATAGATAGAGCCGCTCAAAGGTAACGCAGAACATATCTCGGCAAGAACGGCCGCAGTTATGAACATGAATACGAGAGTAATTAGGTATGACGACCTAGCAATTTTTAGATGCGTCCGGAACACTACAAAAAGCACAAGTCACCATATGGCAGCAGGACCACCGGCAAGAAGTCCTATGAAAAGAACAGATCTGAGGGGACAAGGTTACATATGGGTATAATGCGCGAAGGGATGGTGTATTTACCTTACACCGCCGATAAAATTCAAGGCGACGAAACTTGCGGCAAAACTCTCAATGAAATGCCAACTGCGATGTAATTGCTAGCACACGATTGGTAAACAGGGCGATATCATATTCAACGATGGTGCTATCTTACCTGTTTGTAACCGAGCTGTTGCTGTAAGATCGTAACCAAAAGAACGGAAAGTCAGCATGACATGTATGGCTCCCCCGTAAGGAGCTGAGAGAAAGAAAGCGACACTGGGGGCTTCCCTACGCAGGTATGAGCGCTGATCAGGTTCAAGCGGTATAATCTCAATCCATGTTGCTTTTCTAACGCCATGATTGATGAGCGAGTGTTCTACTGAACCTGCATCGTTTCAAGGACGTTAAATCCACGAACATGGATACCCGCAGCCATTCCAGTTCACCATTATAAATTGACGTTACCGATTTTCACAGTAATGCCAAAGCGCGTCACGGCCTACAAGGTGGGTGCCTCCCAGCTGGCCCTGATTTTTATTACCAGCTGCAGTGCATCCTGGTCAATGATTGAGGTACTTTCGTTATCTACGGTGTCGAGGTTGTCGACCTTGACGGTGTCGGATTTCGAAGACATTGCGTAAACTCTGGCGGGCAGATAACAAAAATTGCCAAATTCATGGTATAAATACACGTGGATTATGTAAAACAAACTCCGAAGCAAAATGCAAAGATCATTATCGGCCCGCCCTGTACCTCATGAAGCTCACTGAATATTTAGACGCTACATACCTTGTGGTCAGTTGTGTCCCTGGATGACAGCGTGGAGGAAAACATACCGGCTTCAGGGCTTTGATGAGCAGCCATTCATCATTCGACACATCCGCTTTGAACGAAGCCTAGAGAATGTTTTTAGTATCGACAGGGAAGGGCAAATTACATCAAATTCACCTTCAAAACATCGATACTCTGTCGAGTAACATGACTCAGGAGATCATCTTTCTCGTCAAAGTGGCGACCAAACATCTTCGCAGATTGATACACGGCATGCTCGATCTTGACGGCAACACCACCACCTGCTTGCGACTTTTTCACAATCTGTCAAAAAAAATGAGTTAGGTAAATAAGTAATTGCATGCTTGAATTAGGACTTGCGTCGTGTGACTTGTGATTTATCTCAAGTGAAGCGCTATTGGAAAAAAATCATCAGAATCAGACCCGTCAATTGCTTCTTTGAAGACGACCTACATTTTTCCCAGGTCAATAATTTCCTTCTTCTGTGTGGTAGGGTCGATCTTGACTACACAGATTGGGGTCCCTACACGCAATGTCCCATCCAGAATGTCAACACCCAAAATAATAGGGTCCCGTTTACAAAACGCGGCGATAGTCTTCAGCCTACAAGGCCAAACAGCTTGAGGGGCAGCATCTTTACGTTTTGCCTCCATTATCTCATTGTTGTAAGCCGTAAACGCGTCGAATAAGTGATAGATGATGTCGGCTATGGTTATCAAGATCAGTTCATATCACTGAGGGCCAGGAACTTGAAATCTATACCTTTGAATATTCGGATACCCATTTCTTCGGCCATTCTGTCAGCATCCCTGTCTACTGGAACGTCGAAGCAAAGGATGACAGCGAGCTCCTTGGCTTTCTCCAGCATAGTCGCACAACGCATGACATCTTTCTTGTGCACAGGTCCGATGTTGATCCCTGAAACAGGGATTTTGCTGACCTTCAAGAAATCCAAAAGCGCTTCCAGTGAACCCAAAGTACTAGCTTGCACACAAACACCTCGACCAGATTTATCGATCGAATTCAATAGAGACGTTAGGTCCGACATAATTTCATCCAACATTTCTTCTTCATCGTCATCCGGCCCAACGACCATTAGTCGTGAACCAGCGATCGCCTTTTCAAGGTCTGGAGCAACAAGCTTGACACCCAAAGCAGCTTTGACCTCTTTGTGATGCACGTAAGCCGACTAGAAAATATTTCAGTAACGAGTTTTAAAAGTAGTGCGCTTCAATCACCTTTATACGAAGCTCACGAAGGGGCTGAGGAGTAAGTAGAGCGCGAACTTGAGTCACAATTGGCCCATTGAGACCACATATAACAATCCTGTCCCCTTCCCGCAGGATTCCATTTGACAAAACAACATCGATCGTAGTGCCCAGACCCTCAACGACCTTCACCTCGAGTACCGTGCACTCAAGTTCAGACAGATACATCAGTCTGTCACTCATACGTTGTTGAGTAAGGTTAACGAGGAGCAAGATCATATCAGGGACACCCTCCCCTGTGACAGCGGAAGTTGGCACAAGGGAAACATTTCGAGCGAAGCTCTTGTTATCGTAATACAAGACGGCGTTCAGACCTTGCTCGGCAAAGGCAAGAATCGTCTTTTCGACACGGTCCTCAAATTCACGCTGAACAGAGCGCTTCTGCTTAGCGAGGGAATCTCTGAAAGCCCCATCGGGGGTTGCTTCCCATCCATACATACGATCGATCTAGTGGTTGTATGTTGTATGTGAAAACAGCGGAACTTACGACAAATAAGAACATACCTTGTTCAAAGCTACGATGAATGGGGTTTTCCGGTCTCTCAGGAGCCGAAGCGATTCCAAAGTCTGGGGCTCCAAGCCATGCTGCAAGGAAAGGTTGACATAATAACTTATGATCGAAGCATGTGGCGCGTACCATGATATCCACGACAAGAATAGCAATGTTACAGAGAGAGCTGCCGCGACTACGCAAGTTTGTGAAAGATTCGTGTCCAGGAGTATCGATTACCAGCAGACCGGGAATCTTGTACTCTTGCAGTCCGTCCTGATGGATTTTGATATATCAATAATTTTTTGAGAAACTTCAGCAATTCTTGACATACTGTGTTCAAAACAGCGGTTTTTGTCTTGATGGCATCCACAGGGAAGTATGTGGCACCAATTTGTTGAGTGATACCACCGGCTTCACCTTCTTGAACGTTTGTTTGTCGAATCTAAGACGCAATTCTATCGTATCAGCTCCTGCTATGCATGTTGAGATAGAAACAAACCTTATCCAGGAGCTTCGTCTTTCCGGTATCGACATGACCCAAGATACAACAAATAGGGCTACGAAGATCATCCTTGTTCCGGGCAGCAAGGGCGACTTCGTGGGCCTTGGCTCTTCTCTCCGCTGCATCTGCTTTCTTTTGAGCCAACGCACGCTGTGTGGCTGTCTTTCCTTCAGACTCGGAAGATGAGCTCTCGTCAGAGTCCGAGCCAGACTCAGAGTCAGAGTCCTCTTCTGACGACGATTCTTCGGATTCAGACTCAGAGGCTGCAGGGTCTTCTTCCTTAGTCTTCTTCGCTGGGGCAGTTTTGGAAGCAGGTTGGCTGGCCTTTGCAGGCTCGGGAGCGGGCGTTTTCTTCGCCTCTGGTTGGCCATTAGCTTTCTTTTCAGGTTTCGATGACGCAGCTGGAGGAGGTTTGATAGGCTCAGCAGCATCTCCTTCGTCACTTGAAGCATCCCAGGAATCTTTCACCTCATTCGCTGCAGTAGCCTTGCTCTCTTCATCGGAACTGGCATCCCAATCATCTTTAACGCTACTAGCCTTACTTGGCTGGACTGGCGAGGGCTTTCGAGGCGGTGGGGTTGGTTCCCTAACAACAGCGGCAGGTTCTGGTGTCCTTGGCCTTGATTCGGGGGCGGGTGAAGCATCTTTCGCCACTGGACCTTTTTTCTTGCGATTGCCATATACGACCTTTTTAGGGACAGGAGCAGCGCTTTGGGCCTGTTGCAAACCTTCGATCTGAACCCCAGACGCCAAGAGTGCTTGCTTCCTTATTTCGGCCGCTGCCTTTTCTTCTTTCTGTTTCTTGGTAAGTAGGCGGCCCTCTTTCTTTGCTAATTCGCGTTTCGCCTGTGTAGCATCAAGACATAAGAGAATGAAGATAATAATAAAACACCATTTCAATACCTTTTCTTTCTCTTTCTTCCGTTGCTTCTCTTCTTCTTTCTTCCTTTCCTCTTCCTCCGCTAGCCTTTCTTCTTCCTCGATCCGCTTCCGCTCCTCCTCCTCTCGGCGCCGGGCCTCTTCTTCCAACCGTTTCTTCTCCTCCATCATCGCTTTCAGAGCGCTTATACCTCCCTTCTTCTTTCCGGCGGCAGGGGCAGGGGCAGGAGCGGGAGCAGGTTCATCATCCTTCTTCCCCTTTTTCTTCTTTTTCTTCTTAGAATCGGCTTTTCCAGCTTCTACCGCCTCCCCATCTTCGTTATCATCTTCTTGCTGAGCATCAGTCGTTGGTGGAGGAGCAGGAGCCTCAGTTTGAGGGGTATCACCCCCTGTCTTTTTTGCCGCGGCTTGAGCTTTCTTCTTAGCCTATATGCATGTAAGCCAACTCATAAAGTGCTAATAAATATGATTCACCCGCCTTTTCTCGTTCTTTCTTCAGCTTTTCCTTTTCCTTCTTCGATAGAATTTTAGGCGCGCCATCGCCATCGCCATCTTCTGCTGGGCCGTCCTCTGCCTCATCGACTGGAGCAGGAGGAGCACTCTCAACTTTGGTCTCTGCAGGCTTCTCAACTTCTGGCGTAGCTACGCTATCCATCAGCCATATTTCTTTGACAGATGACAGCAAAAACTCACCAGTACTTTCCGCATCAGGGGTCTCATCTTGAGACCCACCTTTCTTTCCTTTACCCTTTTTGGCCTTCTTGCCTTTTTCCTTGACGGGGCCCCATTCTTCGTCAGCCAGATCTTCAGCTGTAACCTCTAATGGTTTTTTGGCAACTTCTGGTGCTTCAGCGTCGACCCCACCATCGTCAAATGACTCGGCCTGTGCTTTCTTTGGTTTCTTCTTGTCTTTTTTGCCCTTACTCGTAGCTTTGATCGCAGACTAGGATTGAGATAAGTTGATATATAGATCGCGAGATAGATAGGCCGATGAGCATACCATTAACCCTCCGAAATCCTCATCCTCATCCTGTGCAGCTCCAGCATCTTCACTCTGAAGCATAGAAAAGGCCGAGAAGCCCCCTCCGGACTTTGCGGGTCGCGCATTCTCGTCATCAGAGACATTGGCTGTCCCCGTAGCGCTTGCATTGTTATTTTCTACCGATACGCCTGCTTTATCCCTACCGTGCCAAATATAAGATATTGGATGGCAAGATGACTCATATGTAGCCTACCAGTAATCGTCGTCGTTTCCCGCCTTTCCCTTTTTACCTTTGTTTTTTGGTGCCATGTCAGATGCTGATTACTGTTGTGGCTATATGATCGTATGCGAACGAGTGAGAGTGTGCTCGAGCACGGCAAAGGCTATACTTACTTGGATGAGATATTGTGGGCTAGGGTCCCGTAAGAGTCTCCGCGGGACGTCCATGGACCAATGGACCTTAGATCTCACACGTGCCCAAGCCCTGTGCCCGGGGTCCTTGTGCCAGTTCAGCTTTATGTCGTGCAGTGATTTACTTCGCAGAAGACCTCCATCGGTCACTCGAGTCGATCTAACATTTTTGTGAATTACGTTCGCCATCGTTGAAGACATGGGGCTTTTGACAATTATTAGAAAGAATCGGCAGAAAGAAAGGGAAATGCGGATTCTCTTTCTGTATGATTCACCGTATCAACTTATCGGTCATCCGGAATGCTGAAGGAAGCCTTAGAGGTCTTGATAATGCTGGGAAAACAACAATACTGAAGAAATTAAACGGCGAAGACATTATGACTGTGAGTCCGACATTAGGCTTCAATATCAAAACATTTCTTCATGGAAAGTAAGCGGGGAACTTTGTCTGAGGAGTTCACCGTAATTTGAACTAATATGTCCCCATCGATCTTTCTTATTGTTTACCAAAAGATACACATTAAACATCTGTACGTGCTTCTAACTTTCAATTGTTCCAAGGGCACACATGACTTGCTTTTCAGGGGATGTCGGAGGTCAACGAACCTTGAGGCCCTACTGGCGGAACTACTTTGAGCAGACAGACGCTATCGTCTGGGTAGTGGATTCAGGTGACAGGATGCGCATGCAAGACTGTAAAGAAGAACTCCATGCCCTCCTCCTCGAAGACGTAAGTACTATTGTTTCTTCCTATCACCTGATTCGATGTGGCTGATAACCCAAGTAGAGATTAGCAGGAGCTTCCCTCCTCGTGTTTGCTAACAAACAAGATATTCAGGGCTCTATGAACGATGTGGAGATCCGTGACGTACGTCCCATTATCTCAGTTCCGTGGTTCATTAACAAAGACTATTGTCTCCAGTCCCTGGATTTACTTTCGATCAAATCGCATCACTGGAAGATTATGTCTTGCAGCGCGGTCACAGGCCAGAATTTGGTTTCAGGCCTCGACTGGGTTGTTGAAGATGTCGCAAATAGGCTCTATTATAGCTCCACGACAATCACAAGTTGATATGACTAGTACCACTTCCCACATGCACACCTTGCTGCGCATCTCCCTTTCTGAGGTTCTTCACTATTAACCAGCATGCCATGCTGCTGCTAAGGTTTCACTCGGCAACTAAGTATCTTGTATTTCGCCATGGTACGTTCATACACCTTCAAAAGTATGATTCAGTGCTTGAACTGGATGACACAGACAAAGATAATGTGCACGTGGTAATAAGTATCAACGACATAGCTTCAGCGTCTATTTCCATCTTAATACTTACAAGGCGCTCCACACTTTGCCTGAGTAGTCTGTGTAATCCTATCCAGATAGAAGACAAGTGCTACTCGTAGCGCTTAGTCGGTCTGTGAAACCCGGTATCAGGTAGCTTCGTTTTTGTATTGCCCCCCTGACCGCGACGGCCGATAAGCAGAAGCTGGGCAAAACAATAAGAATCTGTAAGTCTGGACTAGGAAGTAAAAACCTGTATATGTATTGATAACTTGCCTACCATGTAAAAGAACACTTCTTCGTTATGATATTTTCAAAGGAGCATCAAAATGTATGTAAATGATGAGAAAATGCGATACTACTATGAGTTCATCTTGGGCTTGCTTTCACCCCCTGAACGCTGTCTGCTTCGCGATTGCCCCCCGGAATTCGTTAAGAACCTTCGATCACCATGTCTGAGCTAGCAGCCCAAGTAGGTGGATCATCGATTTTTCACGATTTGCCCATTTTAAATTTTCACAATCTGCCCTTAAATGAGAATTAGTGTGTGGTAGACAGATCCCAGTAGGCACCGAAGGCGCTCGGCATTGACACTAGGGGCCTTCTTTTTGATGCGTCTTCATTGAGAAGGTATACGTTCCATGTAGTACCATGCCTATCGCTTCAATAGGATAATTGTGACTGTTAGATCAACATTCGACAAGTCGCAAACCATGACTGATAAAGTACTCACTAGCACTAGTTCGTGAGGTTGCTTCCTGAAGGCCCGGTAATCAGATAAGAATCTGAAAGAGCCTAACAACAGACAGGCATTGAGCTTTGAGCGTAGTACAGTTGACTATCCAAGCTAGGAGGAAAAAAAAATTACTATCTCTTCACTCCAAAGTCGTCATCTTGCATGCACATGGTTTTGTGATCGCAGACCATAGTCGAACTTCTGAAGATCAGGTAAAGTTGATTGAGCTGAATCAACCGTTTTGCCGGTCATTGTTGTCTGAATCGGGGTAAAGTCTCTAAAAGGTTGAATCTATTGACAAAACAAAATCTGGTAGAAGAGTCGCTAGTGATCTATCTCGTAGATGATAAATTTCATGCTCCGCGATGGTAGTACAAGGCTGCAGTTCAAACTAATATATCATGGTCCGCCACCACTGACTGGAAGCAGTACAAAGTTTCAGAGCTTCTGAAGAACTTTGTAAGGACAAAGTAGGCTATCCATTTCCGTGGCCTTGTCTTATGTGTTGGGCGGCGAGAAAACAATAGTGCTGTGATAAATTGGTGTTTTGGTGGAATATCATCACACTGCGTCCGCGCCCAGCTGACTTGAAAACGGAATCTCAGGCGTTATTCATCGCCGTAAGGCATTGCCGTCACGATAATGAGGTTATGCCCCATGCACGTATCCAGATACGGCTCTTGTTCCGGTATTTCCAAAAAACATTGACTTCGAACTTGAAACAAAATAAAAAAGTTTAAGCGTACAGAGTTGACTCACGATTTCTATTGGAGGGAGAAATATACGGGAGTTGTCTGAACTTTAGTTACACAATGGAGGGACGGTGCGATGGATTCGCGCATTCGGATGTTTCTTACCGAACAGGCTGCGCGCAGGTGGCAGTATGGGGAGATTCGTTGACTGCATACGGCTACTATGACGAGCGTGCTATGGTAACAGAAAAAGACACGGAAATGTCGTGATTGGACTGGGAGTGCAAAGGTTCAGAGGGAACTGAGAAAAAGCAAAGAGCAACTCGCCGTATTCGCGTGCCCGTATAGGCACCTTGGAGAGAGATTCCGAGTGTGTAGCCGAAAAGCGTGGGAGCCACGTGTTACCAGGTTGGTAAAAAAGAGTACGAGAAAGCCTCCCAGGGATGTGGTGATTCATTTTCGCAGCTTTACAGCAGCACAAACAATGGCGGGATCACGCAGAATGATATATGCACAAGGGCTGTTTCACGAGTAAAGGCTATACAGGTTGGCAGCGCTTATCACCCAGGGACGCCCAACTCCGCGCTGTGGCAACGCTCGCAGGTCAGTGGCTCAAGACACGGACTGACAGTAATATCACTGACATTTCTTCCTCAAGGGCAGATTCTCAGATCCAACATTCGTATCGAATACAGTATCTTGGTTTCACTGAGATCGGTTCTCGCTTCTTCTTTCTTGTTGGCGTGGGGATCACCCATTTTCCAGCCAATTTCTCGTGTGTGTCTGCAGCGTGCAGGTGGGCATATGGATTCTGTCACCCTATTCGGTATCAATCTGATCCTGTTCTGCACGCCAAATCGAGATCCTATACAATCATATCGTTCCTGCAATGAATTCGGTGACCGATCAAATTTACATTTTGACTCCATTGTGGCATTCAGGTTCCCGCGAATCCTCTCGCCCATGAAACACAACCAACTTATCACCTCTATTTTTGCCGGTCTCAGCCCACGATGTATACCTATTTACCGTTTCAAATATTATACAACTCGTGGGTGCAAATATCCTGTCCGTCCGTATATAAAGCTCTACCAACTTCCGACAACTCATCCTCACTTTCGTTCTACCCTCCGCCCTCTTTTCTTATCTTCTTTGTAGCAATACCATCTACCATTACCATTTTATCCCATTGTCTTTCACAGCAATGTTGAACACCACATCCTCCTCTGCCCTCGCTTTCTCGCCATCGACGAGTTTCTATCGTTCGCCCTCTTCTCTCTCGCTAGTACTGCCTAGCCCCAAGTCACTATTATCGAGTTATGGTGGGTCCCCCTCTCTACCTCTTCTGTCGACACAAACACTTACTCGGATCTAGCTCGCGCTTCGGTCCTCGCCGTCCTCGATAAAGCAATAACCAGGGGTCACTTGACTGTCCAAGACTCCGAAGGGTCACATCACTTCGGGATCCGTGCAAAGGGCTGCAATGACGTTTACATAAAGGTCGTTAACAGCGATTTTTGGACCCGAATTCTCTTGTGAGTGCGCTTAACACTAGTCAGAGTAATAATTATTAATATGTAATGCAGTTCTCAGGACCTCGGTTGTAAGTGTTTTCCGAAATATTTCCTGGTTTTAGTTTCGTCTAAATGTGTGTCGACATCTCTAGTCAGCGAAGCTTACATGATAGGTGATGTTGAAGTTGATAACCTAAAGGCCGTCATGGACGTGAGTTATCAGTGTTTATGCTGTTGGCATCAGTATCATTGACTTTCTTCTCATGCATAGCTATGGCTTGACAATGAAACTGGCATGGACGGGTTGTCCTCCGCTGTCAGTCGTATATCATCGGCAATTTCCGGTGTATCCAACGCATTTCTTGGACAGACGCGATCCAAGGCGCGTCTGAATGCTATTGCGAGCTACGATCAGTCAAATGAGCTCTTCAAGGTATTTCCGTCCTTATTGTTTTTCAGCTTGTTGTCATGGCTTATTGTTCTGTGACAAAAGGCCTTTTTGAGTAAAGAAATGATGTATTCTTGCGCCCTCTGGAATGAAAACGAGGGTGGTGTGCGGGGTGATCTAACTGACGGTCCGACTCCTGGAGATCTGGAGGCTGCTCAGCTTCGCAAGATCCGACACGTTCTCACCAAGGCACGTGTTAAACGAGGTGACCGAGTTTTAGAATTTGGTTCCGGATGGGGAGGTCTAGCAATCGAGGTAAAATCTCACTGTTTATTGTTCAACTCTCCACTTTCTCATCAGTTTTCATTTTGGGCAGGCCGTTCGTACTTTTGGATGTGAAGTTGATACTCTGACCTTATCGGTCGAACAAAAAGCACTCGCCGAAGAACGGGTCAGAGAGGCAGGCCTCCAGGACTACATCCGAGTTCATCTTCTGGACTATCGTGAAATCCCAGCATCATTTGAAAAAGCCTTCGACGCTTTCGTCAGTATTGAAATGCTTGAAGTAAGTTACCAGATCATCAATTTAGGAATGATTGCTAATTTGAAATGTCCTATAGCATGTAGGATCAAAGGTATAACCCGTCCTATCAGTGTTTTCTACACAGATTACTGATGAGTCTCTTTTAGCACTACCAAACCTACTTCAAACTTGTCGATTTTGCTCTGAAGTCGGATCACGCGACAGCGGTCGTCAGTGCATCCACGTTCCCTGAGTCCCGATACTCCGGTTATCAGTTGAGTCACATATCTCAGCCCTTTGCCCCCTTTTAGCTGACTTTATTGTAGAGCGGAGGATTTCATGCGTCGCTATATGTGGCCGAATTCTTGTCTCCCTAGTGCCACCGCACTGATCAACGCCGCTCAGGCTGGGTCAGAAGGAAGGTTCACTCTAGAAGGAGTTGAGAACCATGCTGCTCGTGCGTGTCTCTCAGCCTATCCGTTTGGGTGCCCATCTCATTTTATTCTACTTCAGACTATCCCCGTACGCTTCGCGAATGGGGACGTCGCTTGGAAGCCAACATCAGCCAAGATTCCATCGTGAAGGACTACCCTGCGCTCCGTGACAGGGCAGAGTTTGAAGTCTTCAAAAGGAAGTGGCAATACCTGTTCGCATATGCTGGAGCAGGCTTTGCTAAAGGATACATCACTTGTCATATGCTAACATTCATCCGCGCAGTAAGTATATTACTCTTTTGTTCTTTGTCCTACGCTAATAAGTTATACAGAACGATGCTCCTGCCGCGTGCGATTAAGCATTACCGTGTTGGGCCCCCTGATTAGTCAGGCTATTATCTTTTTGTAGGATATAATATCTACGCGGCGACGTGTCTGAAGAAACGGAAAAATGTTGGAGATAGAAGACAGGTGGTATCATCATTCGTCTCAATAGAAGGCTGGGCCATAGTAGCGTACTACTCATATATTCTCACCATACACTGTATATAGGCAAGTAATAGCTATACAGCAGATATGATCCTTTTCATTTTTGCGGAACAACTTTGTAGCGGCGCACCAGGGTGCTTTGATCAATAAAATATTCGTTACTCCATGCTATTGTGTAGATTTTTACGTGCGTTTCCACTTGGCAACCTCTAAAGTTGCGGACAGCCGCCCCAAAGCTCTCACTGACTCTCAGGTACGTCCGGATGGGCCTTATAATTATCCTGAGAAAGCACTTACATGTGTCAGTAAAATTCCCGAGACAATAATAGGTATTGGATGACCGTCTGTGTGAAGCCTGTGGGACTGTACAAAAACGAACATAGCAAAACGAGGTTGACCCTAATCGATGAATCTGACAAGACATAAACAGCCCATCATGCAAACAAGCGCCGATTCGTATTATTATCAACGGAAACTCTGCTTGGAATGCCAGCATTACACAAAAACCTGCAGGCCGGTTTCATCGGTCCCTGTGCTGTATTAAGCAAGGCTTTTAGCACTCATCGGCAACAGGCGGTCAAATCAGCGCATAGAAATATCCACTCCAGCGGGGGCTGTTCTCATTATGAGAGGTTATGTGTCACAGTGTCCGACAAGGTTGATTTGCCTGGGTGCAGGGTAAAACAGGTGCATATGCCATGATCAACATTAGCCATAAGGTGCATTGATGTGGTTACTCACCACTGTACATGTTGCGCTCCGTAGATAGGCAAAGAAGCACTCGTGTAAGTGGTGTGTGTATCGGGACTTCTAAGTATTAAGCTTTTCTTCATTGCGGTAGAACACGTCGCGGTTCCACCCTGTCTTTTACCTCCATTAAAATGGCCGACGCGACTCCGTTGAAACTCGATATGGGCAAGAAGAAGCACCGAAACCTGCCATCGCGTCATAGTGTAAGGGGTGTTGATAGAATATCCCACCGTCGGGACCGCTCGGACAACCATCTATGTACAGGTTTCGCTGATAACGGACCGAAGTCGTATGTCATAAGTGTTCACAGAGGTTTGGCAGTGGGCGAGTATGCCCTGCTGCGTCAAGAACTAGCGAATGGAACGGGTGAATACTGAACAGTGCTCATACGTTATACCGAGATCCTTCGTACCCGAGCGAGTTTCACAGGTCGGGACAAGCGGCTCGAGAAAGATATGTGTAAAACTTGTGTAAAACAACCAAGTAAAAACATTCAATTACACAAATAGGAAACTCGTTTAGAGAATCTACCGCGATAACTCCGCGCGGCCCCTTGATTTCTTCTATCAGATTGGTATTGGCAGTTAGTTTCTTCTATGTATAACCATTGTTCGGAAAAAAGGCAATACCATTGGCAGCCTTGGCATCGTTAACTCGAGCGAACATGAGAAACACAACGGGGACCTCAGGCTCTTACATTCATCTTTCTGTCTGGAAAACATTGAGCGTGAGAGGACGGCTTCTTAAGCGAAGGTGGACTCTCAATGAACGGGAAGAGAGGGCCGGGGCCTGGAAGTGCTCACGGTTGAATAAGTATGTCGTCGAGTAAACGCCGCATCATGAGACATACCATGCAATCAGATTTCAAGCGAGCAGAAAATCTTAGCACGAGGAGGCAAAAGCTTACTTGAGCCGCATTTTATGTGGAGTTGTTGCTATGTGTGCGGAACAGGGATACACAACGGCACCTGGATGCTACTAGTAGTAAGTTTCTGGTTCGTCAAAATGACGAAAAAATGACGGTACCTCACGTTGTTCTCCTGCCTGTCTGTAATGTGCAAATGGACCTGTGCCATTGGTCGTGGCAATACTACCACAGTCCTCAGGCTGTCTGTCATTATATACGCCACGATAACTCACCTTTACATGGGCCCAGGCTCTAGAGACTAATTATAAACTGACTGTATAGTTTTTTAGGCGGCTACACTCACTAATGTTACCACTACCAAGGCAGCGCAAGCAGCGATCGGTGCGAATTGAAATTGCAACAGTTGCAAGTCTGTAAACGGGTAAATAATACTTACAGGTCTCAGCTACGGCTCACCATGAGACAGTCGCTGTGTCGAAAGGGATTTACGTGGCGAAGAATTTAGATAGTGGGATATTTCTGTCAGCACGAATACTGTCATGATAACGCGAACTCTTGGATTTTTAAGAGTCCCTTCTGGCCTCCCATGCATGGGAGACTTGTTTAGGATAACTTCAAGCTGAACGCTTTTACTCGGGAGTACTGCAGGAATATTGCTTATAAATTCTCTTGGCAGCGAGGAAAGCGCTTATCGCGACCACATCTGTTGTCAGATAAATTTTATATCGCCGTCACATTTGACATTATTGACCATGGGCCATACCATTTCTTCAGAACAAACTCCAGTCTGGATCCATATATACAAGTTTTGAGCTTGAAATGTATGGTCAAGATAAGTCACTTACAGATTTTCTCCGACTCAAGAGTTAATATATGGGTGTAAGTTGATATAGTACTATTAATAAGGAACACATACAAATCATGGTCTAATTGGCAAGATATCTAAAACAATATAAGGAGTGGGTATAGAAACAAATATATTTCCGGTAGAATGAATGCACATGCCATAAGTGCACGTAAAATCAGGAATGCATGTTAAGGGAGTGACCTAGTAGGATCGATCTTCAGAGTCCATGATTGGAGTTCCTTAAGGGAAGGAGCGGCCAGAGCATGCGAATTGGCGGACGTAAACAAAGTGAAGGAAAAGCGTTTCTATGACAGAAGTCAGTCGATGCCTAGAGTCAGACGTAAAGCAACTCACGCCTAACAACAATTCCTTATTAGGATCGTTTTCGACGTTAACACCGTGAAGGCTGACGATTCCGATCTCTTCCAATTCATTCGAGTGCGTGTAAATATGGATGTAGGGCCTTGATCTCTTAATAAGCTTCCCGTACGTCAACCACTAAATTGACTGACCTTCGAAGAACAAACCATCGCTTTTCCCATATGTTTTGGCCGGCATCGGTAAGAATTAGCAGATAGCCTTTCTTAGTGGGTCCGTCGCTGTGCAAGAAGATCGTATAAGTTCAGCCGAATGGGAATCTATGGTCGGCACTTGCCTTTGCGATACCAATTTAGTACTGGAGATAAGCTTCACACCTTCTTGAAGTTCAAGAGTAGAAGCTTTGCGTGCCGAATCAGAATTCTCGGGATCAGAAGGCTCCTGGCTCAGGGTGATCTGAAAACGATGCAAGTCAGGGGAACAGGGGTGATGGATGAGATGAATTCCCAGGACACTGACCTCTCCTGTGTGACCGAAACGTTTCTGCCACAATTCCAGGGCTTTCCGCACTAATACGTCGGAACCCCATACGGCGGCAGACTCCGAGTGGTCGAGGCGTGTCGGCGAAGAAGCAAGTATAACACGTATGGCTTGCACATCAGCAGCACGTCGCTCTGTTGAGACCAAACGGTTATAGTCTTCAACCACGGAAATGCCACGAGCTCTCCAAACGCCCAAGGACTCTTCGCCGCGAACATATTTTTCAGATGTATCCAGACGCCAAAGATCCTTTGGTGAGCGAGTAAGAGGAGGAGACAAACGGACTTTGAATATCGCGCTAGTCTTGAGTAAAATCTTGTTAGAACTTAACAGAGTCAGTAGACGAGAAGGGGGACGAGCATCCCGCGTTTGCATTGTTACGGCGACGTCCATGGTAAAATGCACAGGTTCGCTGCATGTCTCCACGGCGACATACCAACTGAGCTGAAGGAGGATACGGTGATTGCTGGCTGTGACACGATTGAGCAATAATGAATCGTGCACACTGGAATCCCAAAGTGCTTCCCCCGTTAATGTCCCCGTTCCATCTGGTTTGAAATCGACTGTCTGCTCTGCTAGCAAGGGAAGTGTAACCAATGCTTTGGATGTAGAATCGTGCACACGGCCTTTCGGATCAAGTAACCGCACATTCCCCAGCCGCACCTTCGTAAATTCCGACCATGGGAGCTGGTTTCCCGAGTCCGACGATAAGAACAAGTGAACCCGCCTCTGCAGACCCTGATGGAGTGAAAATGCACCCGGATCGAGACTACCTTGGGAAATGACGGAGACCGGATCATATTGTCCATCTGGACCCAATTCGCGTATCTGTACCCAAGCTACCACATCATGACTTTGTTCTACAACGAAATCGGTTTCAGAACGACGCATTGCAGGGAGAACGGTAGGCGGAGACTCGATTGGAGCGGTGGAAGTTGCATGAGAGGGATGGAGTTTGAGTTCACGCATTTCATCCCAACGTTCTAGGCGCTCCAAGTATGTGGGTTTTACGGCCGCGAAGAATTCAATTGGCGCGTAACCATGACGTAGGTGTGTGATGACCTTTGAAGGCGCCACGATGGAGAAGCTACGGCGGAACCTGAGCCCTGATAGTGAAGACGTGTCCATTTCAAGAGTGGAGGATGAGAAAATTTCTTCTGTGGTGAGTGACGGTCCTACGAAGGAAGACAGTCGCACTTGCAAGTGAATAGCAGAAAAATCGTGGGAGGACAGGCCCTTCACGGAGTCGATAGTCAGGAAAAAGGTAAGTTTGCTCCCTGGTGTGATAGAAGTTGGGGCAGGGGAGGTAGGTCGCGTCGAAGCATTCGATGCATTCCCATGCTTTGAGGGCAAGATAACATTTATGATCTTGATATCGACTCGACAAGATCCAATAGCTTCAGATGTATATCGGCAAAATATCGGCACTATAGATGACGACGATGACCGGCGGGAAAGGGGCGCGAGAGAAATTAGGGCATTGCCGATGAATGAGTACTGTGGTGGTGGGGAATCATAGAAAGGTTCGTCCGAAGAAAAATGCTGAGTGTATGATGGACGGTCGATATATGTGGTGAGATTGCGCATTCGCTGAAGCTGCTGCTGAAGACGATCCAAAGACCACGTATAAATCGCGTTATGACGTTTGTCTAGGACCTTGATGGCCACGGAAGGTTGAGTTAAGGATGCGAGCACAGGGTCAGCGACGTCGCCGAACTCGTCCAAACCAGCGATGGTGTCAACTCCTGACATTGGTGCTGCCAAGGAGCCTCCAGACGCAATTGTAAAGTTATAAGAGACTTCTTTTCCCAATTCCTTGCTGGTGGTAAATCAGTATCATTTTCAAGACAAACATTCCACCTGATTCATACCTAATCACATTAGCCTCCTTAACAACCACAGCATTAGATAGCACCGTTTCAGCCATTGAAAATGACCGATGTGCCCTCCACTTGTCCAGTACCTTACGTATTAGTCTCAACTGTTTTGCAGAGTAGATGATAGGTTCAAAGGGAATCATATCAACGTCAGTTTCTCCTCGGGCACGGGCATCCAGTAGGCGTCTCATCTGTCTTTGAACGAGCTTCAATTGGTGTTCCATGTGGTCTTTTTCTACCTTCAAATCGTCTGCTTCTGTCGATTCGGTGATGGCTTGCAAACGAGATTCCAATTGGTGCTGTACGTCCTTCAGAGGTCCATCCATTTCTGGGCTACCATGACTTGGGCCAGCATCTAGGCTTGTATCGTCCGTAGTCGCATCACTTGAAAACGGTCGGCCAGACTCACTCCATACATCGTCAGCCTGGCTAAGACTGCTTTCGGGCCGTGGTTTTGAATTGTGATCCCGCATTGTCTTCACTTTAGTAATTCTTTCGAATAACTTATTAATTTCTTCGTCTGGTAAATTGTCGAGAGTGGGGTCAAGACCGAGGCGAGCGAGAGCAGCTTCTCGTCGGGCAAAATTCCAGTCCACATCGGCTTCATCGGCGGACGAGGACGTTGGAGAGTCTGGACGAGTAGACGGTGGTGCAGGTTCGCCTCCTTCCAAATCTGCCGCGGTAACACTAAGATGCATATTGGACCTAGCCGTGGCACGATCTCGTAGTTTGCGAACCTCTTCTGGATTGTTGAACCTGAACACATGATGTTCACCTGTACTCCAATGTTGAGTGAGTCATTTCTACAGAGTCACTGTACTGACCTAGAATTATGCGGAAACCGGAACGAAGTTTGTATGCCTAGGTAAATTATAAGTATAATGACCACAGCAATATCATCGCAGCAACGACGCACTTGACCCGGTGATACTTGTTTCCCATTTAAAAACTGTCGATATTAAGCTACAGCAAGTTTCTGGGCCATTTAAAAATATACTCACCGTCACACTATTTGGCATAGAGTGCAAAGTTACTTTCCCATCATTGTTTTCAAAGTAGCAATGTTCCTCGAGAATGTTGTCCCCACTAAGGCGTATGGCTGCAGGTTTCTGACTGTCCAATCGCCCAATCTACGGACAATTATAACCATGGCCAGCTTATGACATTGAGCAGTCCACTGACCATCGTAGAACCAGGTTTGATCTGGTAGATTAGACATTCACTCATCAGCGGATCTGCATCATCACGTGAGTTACTATCTATGTTGCAAAGATAGACTATACTGACCTTCATTCTAGAGGTAAGGTAACGATCGTCTGACGTAAGTGCGGTTCCCCAGGAAATGAATGGAAACCTACTAAATTAACCAGATGCGGCATCTGAGTATTCAAGCATTTTAGTGTATGTTTCACAGCGGCGTCTAAAGTATTTACCTTCTTCGGTGTGTGTACACCAACAAGATTCTTCTCGACCGTGATCCCAAGCTCTTCTAATGCTTTCTCGCGCTCCTTCTGTACTTCTTGTGTTCTAGTCATCTTCTCCTCCCAGGTTTCGTTTAGACTCTCCATCAGCTTCTCGCTTGCCTCCATCTGCTCTTGTAGCTCTGCCTTCGTAACAGTCTTGATCTTTCCATCCTTTGTCTGGTAAGTTACTTTCTGCTTCTCAGGAGGAACCGTAGGGTCAAAGGTATCCTCGCCACTCGATCCAGCCACACGTGCTGTGAGATGTGGAGTCCTTAGCACAGGTCACTCCAGTATAAACGCAAGAATTTTACCTCGCAGCATCTCCAACTCCTCTTTCAACTCACGAACAAGTTTGGCATTAGGATCTTCGTTGACTACAGCCTTGTTCTTAATCTTCTTGGCTTGATCTGCGTAACGCAGTGTACTCAAAGTTTCTTCATAATCGGCGGGAGATATAGCAGCAATCATGGCGGTTTTTGAATTACCCCCCAAGCTATCTTTCAATAGCCAAGTTAGAACCTGTTAAAGTCAAGTCAAAGTTTCCGTAAGTTACTGGGTAGTGATATTTTTGTATCGGATAGACGCGTACGGAGTCACGGTACGGGACAAATTCCTCTGCTTTTCCTTTCTTCCCCTTCTTCCCGCTATCTTGACTGGCAACAGCCAATGATGATATGACTTTACCAAGAGTGGTGAGTGATTTGTTAATGTTAGCGCCCTCCTTGAGACGTTGGCCCGTAGCTCCGGTGGAATTTGCACGTTCCGAACCAGCTAGATCGACCAAACTGAAATGCGCTTGAGACAAAAAGGCGATGACACACAACAGCAGGGGACGAACCTAATTCGGGAGACCTTCTCTGTGTCCAAGTTGGTACCGACGTCATGTTTCTTCATAGAAAGGAGAAGGGTGAATACTGCATGGGAACGAGATGACCTAGAATCATGTCCTTAGAAAGTAGTTTGGCGCATATATGTTGAAGAAATGGGACGCACGTCTCATTCATATTCGTCGCAGCAACCGTTCGAGCTTTGTTTCCTTCGTCCATGAGCGTCATCATCTCGTCGTAACTGTTTACAACGAGCTTTGACAGATCTTCGACGTATGGCCCTAGACTAGGATGCTCGCGAACACGCAAATTCCCAGAGTTCTTGGGATTTAGAAGGTCTCGGACTTTCTCGTTGTAAATCTAGGGGAATATATCATTTGGGCGCCATGCAAGGCGAAGGATGGCATTCACGAACCTCGATATATGACACCTCCACAGTAAAGCTCACGTTTGGATCGACCAATTTTTTATCTTCTACTCGTACAAATAACTCCGAACAAGTTAGTGGAATAATGCCTTTGTCGGGTCCATCTGCAAAGACACGATAAGCAGCAAAGACGTCGGAATATAGGAACGAAACGTACACCCCATCATACTAGCGAGTTTATCAGAAGGTCAGAAGTCACTCTCTCTAGGATTTCATCATGCTTACCTATATGACTTCCCCGATCCTGTATGCAACGAAACGAGTAAGCGACGAATTTCTAGCGAATGAGTTGACAGGTTACGATACCAGTTTGACCATCTTTTCTTCAAGAAGTAAGTCATATCATCTGGGTAGTCAGCCATGTAAAAACTCACATGCTAATATACACGCGTTAAACCCTGCGAACCCATGGTCCAGCAACTCTTTCCCTAAATCATCGTATAGTGTCTGTTGTGAACAATACCCCGGCTCATCTCTCGGGCCCGCCGACCAGTAACTCTTGTCAAAGCTGAAGGGCATCGTTTTCCGCTCGGTGGCACGCTTCGAGTCTTGCGACGATCCTGACTCTGGGGGATCGAGGAAAGTCTGGTTTCCTTGCATGCGGATGAGGGGCTTGGCACCCCGCGCAAGTTCTTCATGTTTGAATTAATTGTGAAAGGAAACGGGGTATCAGCACAATATACAATAAGAATATGAGTTTGTGGTATTGATTGGAGAGAAACATAGCACACGAACCGCGACTGTTGAGCGGCCTACATCGCACGACGACCTTGATGTTTCCGTCACCATGCTCGGCCATGTCCTATGGTGACAGTGCGGTGGACCAGCAGCAGGATTAGAAATTGAGAATTAAGCAGATATAGAAAAAAAAATGTAAAGATGGAGTAGTTGTGTATTGCGGTCCTGGTCAACCTAGTAATTTCACGCGTGTTTCCGTCAGAGCCTCATCACAACAGCTCGCGTGGCACAGCTCCCCTCAGTTACACCGCTTACGCCACATTTCCATACACACCGGAAAAATAAAGTCTCAATCTGTAGTCTGAAAAGTAATGCCAGTCTGTACTCTGGGGAGGCGACAAATTTAAAATTCATCGCAAATCATATCTGATATGCGAATCTCCCTAAAACCACACCTTTATTGCATTCGTGAAAGCAAGACTACAGACATTAGTTTCCCTCACGTGCAACTTGACAATACTATATGCCACTGAAATACTTTTGAAGTGAAGTGTAAAGTACCACACAAGGTCTCTTAGTATGCCTCGCGTACTCTCTTCGTTCTTTGTGCCAGTTGGTCGGGCAGATTATCGATGTTGGCCACCAAGGCTCTCACGAACAGGTTATGAAGGGGCATTTCGCTCTCCTATACGCAGACCACAGAAGGCGCTCACAGCAAATCAAAATCGTCGAGCTGCAAATGCTTGGTGAGTAGACGATCTAGTATCAGCCGACTCAATACGTACCTCGTCATTGTATGCCATGATAGTTCTCTTCAGTTTGGACGTGTCGACCCATGTGACAAAGTCTTCCATGTGTCTGAAAGCTGAATGAGCTGACTGTTGAAGAGAAAAGTATACGAGTTACGAACCTTGTGACAAGATATGCAGGATCTGTGATGGTATCTGGACCAACACGGACATGACCTTGTTCGATGAATTTTGCAGCCTGCGTGGTGAAGTTTAGCGTTAGAGTTCCTGATTGCTCAGCCCATGGTACCCACCGCACTGACTGACTCGGCCATTTTGGACATGCACATGAAGACAGCCAGACGGCGTCGACAGAAAGCGGCGACGGTGAGTTTATTTTCTACGTCGCTCAGTTTTGCAGCCGAGTTAAGGATGCCGATATCATAGAGCTTGGAGAGGAGATGGCCTTCCATTCGGGAGCGAAAGGGGTCCTGAGGGGGGAGCATGGAGACTCTGTGAGCGAAAGCCCTCAGAGATCCACATAGTTTGTTGTACCTGTGGGAGTGGTGAGAGGAGATTGGGGGAGGGGAAGGATGATATTACTTGTGGTAGTCTTCTCGATCTTGGAGGTGGTACCGGCGCATGACTTTAATCTCTCGTATGTTGGCATCTTGTTTCCACTGTTTTTGGTGAGTGTGTGTTGTGTTTTATAACGAAAGACATACGTTGAGAAAGTCGACTTTCTTGAGGAGTTTCTTTTCGTGGAACTTGAACTGGCGGACCATTTGTGGAGGAGAAGAGAGATTTTTGAGTTATGTAAACGGGTACCGCCTAGCCACGTGGGTTTGGAAGCCTGCGTGTGAGCGCGCTGCAGGCTGTTAGATTGAACAACCTTGGGTCCGTTTAACACCTTGTTCCCGACGTCGTCCCCGTCCTCCTCCCGTCAACAAACATCCTTCATCGTCGTCGCAAACGTCCTGCTCGCATCTTTCCCTCTTTTTTCACCGCTTCACACCACACACCCTCCTCCGCCGCACCTTTCGATTCCTCGATCTCTTCCTCTCCCGCGACAGCAAACGTCCTTCTCCCATCTTAACCCCCATCTTACTCTTTTCTTGCACCTCAAACATCCTCCCTGTCTTGGCCTTCGTCCCTTCCTGGCCTCGTTTTCTCTTTTTCTCGCCACCTTGATCGGCAAGGGCGACCGACAGAGATGAACCGTACTCAGAGTGACAACATGATTCGACAACAGCAGGGCATGCCTCCTCTTGGCCAAATGCCACTAAATACTTCCCACTTTCTTCAAAACCAACAACAGCCAGGTCAGCAGCAGCAGCCTTCCGCTCGCATGAACCTCGTCCCGAACTCAAACTCCAATCCTGCAGCCATGCTCGGAAATCCTCAGCCAAACAGCGCAAACAACTCCCAAATCTCTGCTGCTCAGTATCAGCTCAGTCTACAACGGCGGCAACAGCTCTATTTTCAACAGTCCCAGAATGCTCAGATGAACGGTTCCCCAAACACATCAGCTGCCCCCCACATGGGCGCATCTCCTCATAATGCTATGGGTTTTCCGGGTACCATGATTCAGCAAGGAAATGGCGGTCAACTACGTCGTGTAGCCTCGCATCCTCAGTCCCTCAACCAGACCGCTGGCCATGTAGGCGGTATGCATCCCGGTCAACAGGGCGTAGCTACTCTGAGCATGGGCATGAACCCGCAGACAAGTTTACCCGCGCACTTGCGCCAGGCACAGCAGCAACAACAACAACACCAGCAGATGGGCGTGCGGATGCCGCAGATGCAGGGCCCAATATCACCAGATATCCCCATGGCTATTGGCCGACAGCCGAATCCTGGTATGCCTCAAAATCCTACACGAACCTCCACTTCTTCAGCCCAGTTGATGGCGAGCTTGGTTCAGCCATCCGGTCTTGTACAAGCTCAATCAGGAGGTGGACAGCCGCCCTTATCCTTACCGCAGAGTGGGTTCCAACATCCTATTCCTCATCAAACATCTTCCCTATCATCTTCGTCACCTCGTCCCGGAAATCACCCTCAAAATCTCAATCCCGCAGGAATGTCGATGGCTACATCGGGATCTTCACAAGGATCTGGGCCGAGAGCTCCATTAAATTCGGACAACGTCATGTTCATGAACTTTCACAATCCACCATACTCTCAAACACATGGGCGGATGCAACAAGGGGGTCCACAGTTCGCTTTCAATCCTTCCTCGGGTTCTCCTAGTCAACAGATCGATATTCCGCAATCGATAAACGGGCCGCCATTAAATTCATCTAATCCACCCAACCGCTCAAACTTCCAACCGACGCCGGCCCAGCAGTACGAGCACATGCAGCAGACGGAGAGTTTTAACTCTCATTATAATATGCCTCCGCCCCCTCCAACGAATGTCCCCCCACGCCCTCCCTCACATCCCAACCCCCACCCCAACCCTCATCATAGCAATCCACCACCTCGCCAGCAACAACCACACCAGCACTCTCCACACCAGTCCGATCATATGGTCAATCATATCCCACAACCTCCTCGGCCACAGTCTCAGCCTCAGGCCCCAGGACGACCCTCTTCACAAGCAGGGCCGTCGCATACGCCACGAAGCACTCAAGCCCAATTAACGCCCGGTTCTGGGCATCTCTCCCAAGCACGGATACCTCCCGCCCCTCAGCCCCATCAGTCTCCTCACCAGCCTCCGCATCCAGCGCAGCAATTATCCATAGCGCCTCGACCAGCACCTCCCCCAGTACCCGCTGCAACCCCTTCTTCTAGTGCTCCATCAACTATGGCATCCTCAGACGGCGGCCCATCGACCGCGTCTCGTCAACAACAACAAAACTTGTAAATTGCGCTTCATATATACTGATATAAGTAAAGCTCATTTCGTATTCGAGTAGATTGACTTTGCCGATTGGGCTCGGCCAAGGGTTGATACGCCTTCTCCAGTTTAGCGGCGTGCTTTCTGGTGAAAATCCCAATGTAAATATTCATTTCCCCTTTTTATTCTCCAATCTAATCCAAAAATTTCAAAGAAACTTCAACTATCTTACTGGGAAAACCTAGTTAGAGAGTATTTCATGCCGAAAGCAGCCATGAAGCTGACACTGTGGAAGGATAACCAAAAGACGGAGGCCAGACCATTTGGTTTGTGGACAGTTATTACTTGATGCGGCAGACCTAATCAAATCGGCAGATATTGGAGTCCCAATTCTTCCTCGGTTTTTTCTGGTTACCACCCAATCGGGTGTCAAATCCATGACACTGTCATTGGATGGTGCGAGAGAGAGACTGGTTAATCATCACCATGCTGTTGTTGAATGTGTGTGTGTGTGGACCTATAGATATATCAACGGGTACACCGTCACTTTGCGAGGCCCGCTGACAGCTCATGTTTTGCTGGTACCCACCACAAACCTCGCAGCTGGAGCAGCGCAACAATCATCGCAGCAGCTTCCATACGTGCTGAAGTTTGACAATCTCGAATTTCACGCCAATCTACATGACAAATACATTGCGCTGGAATCATTACTAGGGCAACGCGTCATCGGGTCTCCAAAAACACCTCGTACTCGCAACGAATCAACGCCAATTTTAAATGGCAATGCGACGTCAGAAGAAGACAAGAAGTGGGAGGAACCCCGAGTCATGATCGAGCACGCATCAATACCTGGAGAACCAGTAAATGCTTTTGGAATTCCTCAAGCAACGATGCGCTGTTTAGAGGTCAGTTCTGATGACTTTTTTTGAATCGCTAGCGCTGAGTTTGTCTTCGATAGCTGGCGGAAAGTGTTGGTCAGATGACAGATCTGATTGCGTTTTCGAATGAGACCAAATTAGGACCAATGGGTATGTTTTTGGAGGCGTCTAGTCCTTCAGTTAAGATGTTAAAATCGGTAATCATAGATGCGCTAAAGAAATTCGCGGTGGGTATAAAAGAGAATCAAGCACAAAATTTAGGGCCGCCTGGAACGTTGGCCATGTCTAATGGCGCTGGACCAGTCAATTTTCAGAGCTTTCAGGGTCTCAACGGTGTACACTCGGCCCCAGTAACACTCTATTCTGGTGTGCCGTCGGCAAATCCGTCATCCATCCCACAACCAAGACCTTCAACTGATTCCCCACAAAATAATCATCTGTCTATCGACACTCCACAGAAGAATAAAGGCCAACCGCAATTGCAGGGGTCGAATCCTGCTCCTCCGCCACTAAGCTCGACGTCATCTGCACCCACCACCTCCCAGACCTCGGCCAACACTACGCCATCGATAGGCAACGCTACACTCAAACGGAAGCCTAATGATACCAACTCACCCACCACGAGTAATGCCGAACAACCTCCTAATAAAAGAGTGACCCGAAAGCGCGGGCGAACAGCCGGTGGATAGAAGCCTCTTTGCTGTGTTTTGATTTATTATCGTCGGATTTGCTTGTCTTTTTGTTAGCGATTATCTCAGCTGTTTCGCAGTACAAAGTGTACCATACTCATTGTTTTCTGCGTTGGATCTAAAACTAGGAGGGCGGTCCATGAACGTGTTATTTATAATTACCTGTACTATTATGACACCGAATTCCACGTTTTTATCTTATCGGTGGGAATTGAACTCCGATCGTATGGTGTGGGTATGTCTTGGAGAACATACCCTTGTCCCTCGTAGTCCCTCGTCCTAGTGTACCCACTTAAAGGCTAGAAAACGATCTCAAAACTGTTTTTCATGTCAAGGAATACTCTGCTTATGCTACAATGGTCCAGATAATCAATATATAGGTTCGTGACTGAAGTCGCACTGATCGCCAAATTTGCATCTGTCATTACGAAATATTCATCAGTTTCTTGTCTCACGTTCAACATTGTTGTAATTAATGCTCGCCTTCCTGCTGCAAAGAAACTGCAAGGTTTTCTTTTATTATTTCTAAAACCAACGTCTTCACCTCGACCGCGGCCGCGGCCACGGCCACGCCCTCGTCCCCTGCTATCAGCTCCCCAACGTCGATCTCGTGAGCCGTCGTCGGCGTAATCCTGTCCATAATCGGCATATTGATTCGCATTCCAGTTTTGTTCGGCGCCGCCGTAAGGGGGCTGTACGCTGTTGGATTGGCCCTGGCCAAACATGGTCTGAGCTTGTTGCATCAACTGCTGCATCTGTTCGGGAGGAATGGTTTGCATAGCAGCAAGTGAAGAAAGCAGTTTTGAATCAAATCCCAATGTATGGAAGCTCTGCCCATCATACGGCGCACTCGCCATTGTCTGATCAACATCGCCAGCTGTAAGCTGACCTACGAGATCGGCAACCGAAACTTGCTGAGTGTCCATCGAAGAGGAACTAGCCTCACTCCAAAATGTACTGTCACCGTCCTGCCCCACCGTCATCAATTTGACCTCTTTATCAACTTCTTCATCTGCAATGGTGATCGTAGGTTCACCAGGGCTATCGGGTATGTGCGCTGCAGACATATACAATGCACCTAAAGCAGTTTGCTCTCGCTCTTCCTGAGTTACTCTCTCCGCACTCTGCAAGCCTCTCGGAGGCAATTCGATGTCCTCGGGGATTTCAATAGCTGGTAGACATTTCGTCAATAACACATTTGATTTTATATGCTTTATTTGCTTACACATGGGATCAAACCAGTCGATGAGTTCTTCGAACAAGGGAACATGCAATGCTGCTCCTTCACCTCGATCCAAGTCACGGAGACTATGAGACGTATGAATACCCTGTGTAACAATAGTCGGAAACACGGCATTAATTTACAATACAAGATCATGTCAAGCAGGAATAGGTAGCTGACATCTACTGGGTCATCGTCGTAGATAGCCCTCTCTATAAGTCGAATTGACTCCAGTTGACCCTCGGGAGCCCAGGTGACAGATTTCCTCTTAACTTTAATAAGAGAACTTGTCGCATTAGCTGCTGAAACTTGAGATGTCGGCGGTGGCGTAGAGGTAGCTGGCGACTCCTTTCGACCTTTTGCCATCGACTTCAAAACCTCCTGGAACGGATCAATAGACGATGGCTGTGCAACATTAAGATCTAGTTCCTTCTTGGTTGGCAGAGCAGCTTTCTTGAAGTTGGGCAACTTCGGTTTTGGCTTTGGCGCCGAGAAGAAAGACGAGTCTGACTTGGCGTCCTTAACCGCAGATTTCGCCTCCTTCTTGACCACCGTCACCTTCGAAACAGGATAAGAAACAGCTACCTTTTTCGTTGGTGGTGGGATTTTCGTAGGAGGGTCTATCGGTTTTCTCTTCTTGTTTTTGGCCTCTGAATAAACATTATTATTTCTCGATTTTGGACGAATTTAAAATGACATGACTCACCCTCTGCCACTTTAGGATCGCCTTGTTTCGAGGCATTATCCTGCGCCTGAAGCAACTGGCGCCATCTTCGTTCCAGGTTAGATGCCATGTCCTTTATTGCTACATGGACATCGATAGATAGAATAGGATACATAATATTTAATACGCAAATCAGCGGGCAATTCATTAAACTACGGACAATAATAGAAAATGATTCAAGAACAGACTTCTCATCGTGTGAAGCCGACTCGATATGCGCAAAGGACGAAACTTGAATATCATGGAACGTATACTCACCCGGAGCTGGAGGTTCCTTAACCAATTTCACAATTATCTTGCCTAACTTAGATGATTTCAATGATTCGATCGTGAGAGGCAGCCGGTCTATAATCTAATGAACGATTCCCTTAGCAAAGGTGCAATACTAGATAAAACTGTGCGCTTACGTGCAACAGGGGCATAACAGTCTCGACTAAAGTACTGTCACTTTTGGCGGTGAAACCTGCCTTGAGCCATTCTCGCGTCACATCCATTGCGGTGGGGTTTTCAGACCATGCTCGAAAGTAATGATTACCTGCATTATCTCTAATTTTTGTCAAGATCTCCAATCGCAGCTGCGGATCGACATCTTGCGAACCAAAATCGTCAATGAAGTTGACAAGAGAACTAACAGCCCCTGCACCAGTAAAAGAATTGGGAAGTAACAGGGGCCTGACGTTAGCTTGGAGTAGTTCCTTCCGAGCCTGAGGAGTAAGGGTCTGTGAGGTAGACGTTGAAGTAGATGCCGTAGAAGGAGAATAAAGTGAAGACATAAGACTAAGGGAACCCATGATCGTGGCAGAAGGAGAATGTAATGCATGGGGAGAAAGAGTACCCTGGGGTTGAGATGATGGTTGGTGTTGTGATGGATGGGGTTGATAAAAATGAGAAGGATGAACATAAGAAGGATTTATTGATAAAGTAGAGGGTTGGATATGCGACTGATACTGATATTGGGAACGTTGGGGATGTTGCTGCGAAGATGAAGAATAATTAGACTGCTGTGTATACTGTGACTGGACATCGGAGCCATTGATGGTAGTCAGGGCAGGACTGTGACGGACAATTAGCACGTGGAAAGTGAAGAAGAAATAGACACATACTCTATCATCATTTGCGAAGGGGACGCTGACTGCTGGGTAGGCTGAGAATGGGTGGGCTGAGAAGAGCTTGTGGTTGCCCCATTCAAAGAGGAGTAGCTTGACAAAGGAACCGGTTGGGTCTGGCTTGGCCACGAGGGTGCGCCGTACGCGATGGCATTGTAAGGACCTGGGACAGCGGGCATGTAATAGCTGTGGGGAAAAGCATGGCTATAAAAGGACTGAGGCTGTGAGGACATGGAGGACGATGAGGACGAAGGACCTGGAGAAGGAGGGGATGAGGATTGACATGGAATATGGGCGCTTAAGGATGAATGCTCACCGGGTAGGTCCAAACCAAACTCGCTCAGATCCAAGGTGGGTTGTGTGGATGGGGTCGCGCCGGCGCCTGTTGGCTGAGTGGAGGGTGATGGATGGTCTTTCCAGTCATCGTTTCTGGGCTCTAGGTGGACATGCTGGGGATCGGGGACGTGCTGGCCCTGCTGGCTCTGATGCTGCTGCAGCCAAGTAGGCGCATTCGTGTACAAATCCATATGCGACGAGCGGTTCTTTTTTTCTCCCTCGCGCTCTCAAGCGTTATTGGCAACACTATGGCTTATTTCTGTGCAAACGAGACCCGGAAAAAAGGCAGGAGAAACACAGACGGTCAACACGCCTTTATCACCTTTGCTATGAGTTTTTACAGGTCGCTGGCTCAACCGACAGTGAGTCTGACTCCGTGATGTGTGCAGGGTCAAAGCGCATTGGCCAGTCGGAGATATAAGTATCACACTCAGCTTCCCAGTCCGCTTGCAGCTCCTCTCGGATAACCGCACTCGGCTCCTCGGCGCCACCCATAACGCCCCAGCTTATCTCTTCCTATAGTCTCCGTCGTCTCACGCCTGTAACACTGGTTCTCTACTGTCATCAGATACGAAACCAGCGCTGGACATGCAATGCAATGGCTTTAATTTACGCCTACTGTGTGTAATCCTTGCCCTTCCATCACTACAAATCACAGTGCAATAAGCACCCGTCTAATTGCTTCCTAGTCGCAGTCTCAGTTGGGTTTCAAATGTGTTTATCTTAGTACATATTAGTAGCAAACCTAATAAAGTTTGTAGTGCTCCCTATATAATATAAACAAACCCTTATACTTGCTGACACGCGTCAACAAATTTTCACTTTCCAAGCAAGCTTTCGAACTTAGTTTTTTCACGACCTTCGTTCCCCTTCGACCTCATCCCTTATTCTCCATCACCACACCATGGCTCCCAAGGAAGCGAAACCCGTCTTGAGCGATGTCGACACCTCAAAAAAACAGGTTGGTTATTTTTACCAACTTTAATTTTACTGCCTCCAAGTATCCGACTCCTAATGCATAATACCCTTTGCAGTTGGCCAGTAGGCTTTCGGTGGCTGCCCAGTCTATGCGCCAGTGTGCCACCTTTGTGGAATCTGTTGCGCAAACCGTAGCAAAGTTGCCCCTCGACGCTGACTCCATAGAAGCTCTACAGGAGCTCCTGGGCGACGCTCCAATCAAAATCGGAAAGCGAAAGGCTAGGGACGATGATGGTGACGGCACAAAGAGAAAACGCGTTACCAAGCCCAAAGACCCCAATGCTCCAAAGCGACCCGCTTCTGCGTACATTCTATTCCAAAATGAAGTTCGGGCTAAATTGAAGGAGCAGAACCCCGAATTACCCCAATCAGAATTATTGAGTCTTATCGGGAGACGATGGACGTCCATGTCTCAACAAGAGAAAGAAGTAAGTATGCCATTGTTTCATATAGACAACGTCTTACTTTGTCATGTTTCGTTAGAGATATACATCTGAGAACATCAAGGCTAAAGAGAAGTATCAGTCAGCAAAAGCTGCTTATGATGCACAGGGAGTCCCTAGCGACATACCTGTGGTTGCAGATATTCCAGCTCCCACTAAAAAAGCTGCTGTTATTGTAAGCTTTATCACTGCCGTCACTCTTCATCGTCTTACTTTCAGCAACAGAAAAAGAAAGCCAAATCTCCTCCCAAGTCGGCTCCGATTATCGAGACATCGAGCGATGCATCTGAGGAATCAGGAAGCGAGTCGTCGTCAGTTGAAGACGAAATTAAGGCAGCTGTAAAGAATGGCGATGATGATGATGACGACGACGACGAAGACGACGATGTTTCGTCAGAGGAGGATTTGCCGCCGCCGCCGATTAAGAAAACGAAGACGACCAATGCAAAGAAGGTCAAAGCGTAGCGTACCGCCCCACAGAAGTGCCTTTCTGTGAACCATTTTGCAGTGTTCCGTTTCCTCTTGGACCTGCCAGCCTGTCGTTATAGGTTTAGAAAATAGGTTTCCCTTCCACTAGTTGACTGTTATTCAAGAACGTTCTGTTTACTTGGTTTCGAGTGTATCGTGTTTCGTTGGATACAAGAATTCTGTTCATGGTTCTGCCAGATGGTAGTTAGCCATTGCTGTACCATTTTCGTCCCGGCCCGTTGATGTTAGTAAGGCTGCGTAAACCACAGCAAACCAGTGTACATGTCCGCAAAGCTTAGGCGTGATCATGTGCTGGCACAACGTATTGCTGTATAAAAGCCATATCTAAGCCATCTTCCCAACTTGTTCTCTGCCAACGAAATCTTCTACATGGCTTCACCTCCTCCTTACAGTGGCTCTGGTCCTAATCCGAGAGAGCTTCCTCCGGGCTGGACGTCCCAGTGGGATTCCAAGTACGTATACGTTATCGCCTTCACTTGTTACTGACGGATACTGATCTTACTGATTTTCCTGCTGATCCCCGCACAACGTAGTTACAATGCATGGTAGGTTTTCAGTGATAATCGTCAGTTCTGGGTGCTTACTTGCCTCCGATCCTCAAGGTTCTATGTGAACACGCGTGAAAATCCTCCCCGATCGTCATGGGTCCACCCCTACGCTACCGCTCCCAGCAGGTCTCCCCCGCCTCAACAATTCGCACCTGCCATGGGTGCCCCTCCTAACCGTGAATTCAATCGCTCGCCTTATGGCGAGTACAACCAAGGCGGTTGGCAGAACCAGCCTCCACAGCAGTATGGCGGTGGTCCCCCTGGAGGCTACGGTACTGGTTATCAGCCTTCCTACGGAGGGCCTCCCGGTGGTGGATATGGAGGACCTCAAGGTGAATATCGTGGAAACCCCGGTGGGTATGGTGGGCCTATGGGTGGTTATCCGCAGGAGCAAGAAAGAGGTGACGCCATCGTTTCTTGCGTTCATATTGATCAGATTATATTGATTCGAGTTTATTTATAAAACAGGGTTCTTTGGAGGTGGTCAGTCCCGTCCAACTTATCAGCAGCAGCCTCCAGCACCCCCCAAGAAGTCTGGTCCCGGTATGGGGACTGCTCTATTAGCAGGTCCGTTGAGCTGAGTGCTTACAGCACACGTACCTTGGCTCTAATTACTGTTTCCTAGGTGGCGCTGGACTCGTTGGAGGCGCTCTCCTTATGGATGCATTCGAAGATCATAATGAAGATGAGCGGGAAGAAGGCTACGATCAAGGTATGCCCAATCGTCTTTGACATTTTATTGGCGCATGTCTGATTTTCTGTATCAGGCTTCCAAGATGGCGCAGACGATTATGGAGGAGGAGGCTATGACGATAATGGCGGTGACAACTGGTAAAGCCGCCAAACATAACTTGACGTGATTTTTATGCATCCCTATATCTTGACGCGTTCTATTGTTGAACTATTATCTCCCATCATCAGTCTCTTGTAGATTTGTACACCAAACGTGTTTACTTGGTAAATATCTTTATGTCTGTTACGTTTCTCCCTCTTTATGTTTCTGTTGCATGGTCGTATCGAACAAGTCCTGTATGAACGCAATCGCAAGATAACACTTCTGAGTGGTTTATATAGCTGGCGGTGCATCCAATCCTGTAAATTACCGATCGGAAGAACTTCATGGTGGCCCACCGCTGCCATTTGGCTGTACTGCCGTTTATGGTTGTCGTATTTGAGTGACGGAGTGTGCGGTCGCCCTGGTCATTATACCCATGACCAGTAGCTTATAGTTTTTACCACCTAAAGAAACGCCTACGAAGTGTCTTTAGCTTAACATTGTAAGGATTTGGCGAAGTTAGATTTTCAGCATGACCTACAAGTCACGGTTGGAAATCAGATAATGTGACTTTTGTGACGTCCTCAACCCCCTGATAAACAACATTATCACCTGAGGCGCCCAACAAATAGGCCTAACTATAGGGAACGCTCACATGCGTCGTCCACTATAGTTAGGCTCATTTGTTGGGCGCCTCAGGTGCAGTATATGGCCAGTCTCAAGATTCTCGGGTGCTAGAGACGTGAACCGGTATCATAGGTTGCTTCGGTAGGCTTGTTTCCCGATTACCTTTGACCCGAACCAAAGCGGTACAGGAAATGTCCCATGTCCGCGAAGAGAATCCCAAGAGTGCAGTAAGTTCTGTTTCTGTTTCTGTTGTGCACAGGCCTGCCAGTGGGAACGCAAAACTACTGCCCCGAATGTAATGCTGCAAGTCCAACCTGTACCTGTTAGCGCACGGTCGGTGACAATAGCACCACTTATGGCTCGTTTGCGCAGTCGGTGCTGTACCACTACGCTCATTTATTGGCTCATGGCGGAAGGTGGTTGATATCGATATTTTTTTCGGTTCGTTACTCTGGCGAGCCTCCCCCTCTTCTGTGGTAAGTAGAGTTGTAGTCTGACAGTGCTACTTCCATTGAACTATGGTTCCAGACGCCAGTTCGCGGCTTCGAAGCTATCCAACGTACGGTATGAACGACATGTCCTCCAAGCGGCTGAAATACAGGTGATATCAAATCACAGAGCATTTTTCATTTGTAGATATTAACTCTTATTTTTGTGTTTTGAATAGTGCTGAAAAATCACATATGCAAGTCTCATGCGTTATACAAGCATACGCTCGGACATGATTATTGACTTGAATTTAATCACAGTTTTCGCGATGCTTCAACGGTGACTCAATGCAATGGTGCATCGAACCGACCCCAGCCTAAGAGGATTTCTCAAACGCAGCAGACAAGGAATCTCCCTTACAAGATCGAGCGTCGAAATATAACGAGTTCAGCGTCGCAGTCCACGCCTTCGTCACCATATTCAACTCTCGTATCTCGAGCTTCACAATCTTCGTACGCTCGCCAGCTTTATGCGAATTCGACAAAGGGCATGCGTTCCAGCGTCCCGCAGTCTCCGGAGAATAATGAAACGGCTGATACACCACAACCCCAGAGAGACCAAGATGTGGACTCTCGTAGATATTCTACGCCTGTCGGCAACAGCAGATCAGTCTTATCGGGAGGTAGACCTGAGCGACTACTGTTAGGTGGCGCTTTTGATGTCCCTCATCCTGATCACCTGGCGATGTCGCTATACAGAAGTAGCATTATGCAACAACACCCTATCGACACACTCGTTCAACAGTCTGATTTAGATCTGCTCGATCCGCCTGCCAGTACTTTACCTACGCGACCATGGTCAATGCATGCCGATATGGCTAGGAGCGCCTCACGGCCAATGTCTCATAGCTACGCAGGTCGCATCCAGGCTTCATCGGCCAGTCCTCCGCCATATATCTCAGAAACTACGCCGACCTCTGCTATGATCGATGATCCTGCTTCCAATGAACAACTCTCAACAAATGCTTTATCTTCTCCGAGTCCACCTTACGACATGGCTGATTTTCCACCTGATCACGCATTTTTCTCGTCGTTGATTGTCACGGATGAAGAGTATGAGGAAGAGATTCCACCATATGTGATGGCTGAAGAAACGCCCTGCTACACCACATCAGATGCCAGCACACTGTATGCTTATCAAGGATCAGTGCCTGCCTCACCAGAGTCAAATCAAATCCGACCGTCGGATACGTTCGAATGAACACATTGTCAACCCGTCCCCCATAATTAAAGCGCTTTCGGGCCTCGGCTTACATTATAGACCCCAATCTTGCATAAGATTGTTTTCTACCTCCGCTCCCTGCGGCCGATTCACAAATTTGACTTGACTATAGATTATCATATCTACCCCAATAGACAGCCCTTCCGCCTACCCTTTGTTACTAGCACGACGTGCAGTTGGCGTTGCTTGGCATTTAGTCAGATTCAGCGCAATATGTCGACAATTTGTCTGTGTAATGTACAATCAATCGAAACCTCTTTTTCTTTTTTACTTTCAGTCTAGACTCGCGGACCTAGCTCGCTCAGAGACGGTCTAGCAGAGTTCGCGAAACAGGTGCAGCGTGATCAGCGAAACTCAAGGCAGAGGTATACTGACGATACTCACTGACGTTCCCAAGATCTGTGCAAGCCTCCTTGACACGCTCTACAAGGGTCTTCTCTCCCTCTCGTACCCAGACACGAGGATCGTAATACTGATGTTGTATTGCTTGTCAGGTTGGTATTGTCGAGAACAAAGGCTGCTGACCTTTTTATTGGGCTTATCAGGGCCTTCCGGATTACCAACTTGGGCCTGGATATAGTCCTTCTTTTTCTCTACGAAATCCTAGTTGTGTACAGTTATTGTGATGGCCACCAGAAGATACCTGAAACACGTACTCTTATACCAGTAAGATATGCGTATTGCGTGTCTACACGGGTTTATCTGATCAGCCATATAAGCAACAAGTAGGAACGCGCGGGGCCTTACCAGTATCAACGTTCATTTTCACCACGCCGTTGACGACTGCGGTTTTGATCTCCTCCTTCGTTGATCCAGACCCGCCATGGAAAACAAGGTACCTACATGAGGATAAAATTATTACTTCACAGAACGTGTCTTATATAATGTTGCTCACAATGGTTTCTCCGGCTTTCCACCTAGCTGTTCACGTGCATACATTTGATGCTTTCCCAACAAGTCTGGGCGTAGTCTCACGTTTCCGGGTTTATACACCCCATGGACATTTCCAAACCCTGCTGCAATACTGAAGTTCGGTCCGATTTTGCTAAGGGCATTGTATATGTCGAAGACATCCTCTGGTTGAGTGTAAAGATTGGCGTTGTCAACGCCAGTGTTATCAACACCATCCTCCTCTCCTCCAGTAATTCCAATCTCCATTTCAAGCCACAAGCCGATTGCAGCCATGCGCTTGTAGTATTTTACACAGGTTGCGATATTCTGGTCCTTGGGCTCCTCGGAGAGATCAAGCATGTGGGAGGAAAATAGGGGTTCGCGATGTTCTTTGTAGTATTTCTCATCAGCTTCAAGCATACCATCGAACCAAGGTAAAAGTTTGTGAGCACAGTGATCGCTATGCAGGACAACAGGACTACAGGAGGAAGGCATTGTTGGAAAGTGAGGTCATCGATTGAAGGGGAAAGCTTACACGCCATATGATTTCGAGACAGTTCGTATATGCAGTGCGGCGGCAACTGCGCCAGTGACAGAGGCCTGTTGCTTGTCATTTGCAAGACCCTTCCCCGCGAAGTATGCACTTCCTCCTTGAGATACTTGAATGATGATGGGTGACTTAATGTCCCTATGGCGAACAACAGATTAGGATATAGTATAAGACAGAACACGGGCATATTTACCTAGCGGCCTCTAAGACAGCATTTGCTGTTGACGACGACGTTACATTCTTCACATATGACGGTTAAGAAACAAACTCAATAGAAAATGGTGTAAGCTAAACACTTACGATGGCCTATGAAACAGTGTATCGATAATGAAGCCTTTGTCCGCTAGGAGCATTTGTGGAACTCACCGGAATAGCAAACTATTACAATAGATTAGTGCACGCACAGAGGCAGTGATGTAGAGTAACTCACCTTATTGTCTTTTGCATAATCAAATAGCTTTCGGACGTTGTCACCAGTTAATACACCGGTCTGAAATGTGTATGGTCAGCGATAGGGGCTTTTGAGGGCGAACGAGCCCGTAGACTTCTTACAGGTACGATATTGAGAACACCCATGGTTGATATTAAATTCAATGGGATGTAGTGGAATCTTTGAGAGCTCGAAAGACCTGTGAGGACACCAGTACCGATACTTATAGTGATGCCGACCTATCCATGACTTCGGTGACGCCAATTGTGTACTGTTGTATGCCATAGCATTGGGGTGTTTCCAAAACAGTTCCACTAAGTTAGTCGAGTAATTAACCAGTTGCAGTGACTGTGGTACACTGCGAGCTGAAATTAGTTCTCTGAGCCCCCATGAATTCTCATAATATGGAGTCACCTTCCCCATTCCACTGACATTACCGTTTTCGACTCGATAAACCTGTACCCATTGCAAAAATCCCACGTCCGAGCTCGAGCATATATCAGACTGGAACTTGAATAGATGTACTGTTGAACTGGAAGTCCGGTGCGCCTATAAGTATCTGTTATCTAAACCGCGAAGCTGCTGGGTGATACGTGCGAACTCATTATCTTTCTGATTCAGGGCAGTCTCCGAGCCGAGCACATAAGCAATGTACAAGTGAAAATTCTACTCGTGAGCTTCGCTAGGACGCACAAGTAGATACTCTCAAAGCCTTGCGATACTTTTGCAATGAACTGAAGCTTAGTGGGTTGCCATCGCGTCTGTGGCGATAACAGGTGTTACCACGTGACTATGGCAAGCGCCGCCTCAAATAAAGTTAAGGTTCAAGCGCGTTAATTACGCGTCAGTCAAATTTCGCGTCTCTGTTCCCTCGCCTTTGTCTGAGACTTTGTCTTGATTGTGTGTGTCCATCCGCGATGGTGCAGACCAGAAAAAGTGCTGCTAGTGTGCAAGCCTCAAGCACCTCATCAGAAACACCGTTCAGCGTGGTGTCCCCTTTCCTCAGCAACGAGAATTCTGTCCAACCAGAAACCCCTGATACCTCTGACGATGGTCAAACCAAAGACAAGCTCCCTCTTCCACCCAGGAAGACTACTCAAACTGCATCTGTAACTAGAAGTTCAAGGAAGCGTGCGGCCAGCAATGCCGACGATTTTGAAGATAGGGATTCAAAGAAGACAACAACAAAGCGAAGATATGTCTCCAAGGAATTTTACGTAGAAATACCCGTTTCGAGTAGCTCCGTTCAGAAGAAAAAAGAGGCAAGATAAAAGAAATTTGTCATCTCGTTATGCCACTGACGCACCTTGGTAGGCTCCGAGACTTGCCGCAAAGGACAAAGGCAAGGGAAAATCTTCAAAAAAACCTCGAGCTGCAGATATAGAAGAGGGCAATTTAATCTCTGAAGACAATCTTGAGTATGATGAGCAGCTATCTCCTGAACAGTCTGATGCCTTTGAAGAGTCTGACGACAGTGGCTCCGAATTCGAACTATCTGAGGATTCCTTCCCTTTGAAAAAATTAAGGGCCTCGTCCACCGTAATCCCTGACTCAGAAGAAGAAGAAGCAGACGAAGATATCATGATGGAGGCTGCAATCGAAATGTCCATTCAAACCGCTCGCCTTGACAACCAACAAAATGAGGGAGTTGGCACATCATCGTCCAAGAATGAAATCTTGCCAAACACTACTGCTACAATTCGTGCAGCCGCAGCTGAGCGTCGCCTTGCGAAGAATAAGGCCAGAGGATCAGCGAAAGCCAAAATTGTCGTCGATGATGACTTTGAAGACCTCTCGGATTTGACTGAGCCTGAAGAGTCCGAGGACGATGTCCCACTTGCAAAAGCGAAGGGAAAGTCGAAAGCAAAAGCCAAGGCAAAAGCACAGCCAAAGAACATGTCCTACCCAGAGTTGCTACGTCACAACAGAGAACAACGTAGGCATGCTGCCGCGGAAAGAAGAGAAAATAAAAGAGAAGAACGTGCTTTGATGGAAGAATTGGGCAGGAAATTGACATGGGTATGCGGTGCAATCTTTTTCTATATGATTTACCTGATGGCGTCGCATCAAAGGCTGAAAAGTCAACTATCGCTCTGAGGAAACATCACCCAGAACTAAAAGATGTTTGGGGCGACCTGGAGGCTAGTATACCCATTATTGTTCCGCAAAAAGCAGAACAACCGGCGACGTTGAAAGTCACGCTACTGCCCTTTCAAAAGGAGAGTTTATTCTGGATGAGGAAGCAAGAGAAAGGTATATGGAAAGGTGGCATGTTGGCGGTCTGTATATATCTATGTCGCCTGTTTGAACACTGACTAAAATATGACATTGGTTTTATAGGATGAGATGGGGTAAGCTCCTTTTCAAAATAAATCGAACGCTTACTCATTTCGATCTTTTCATAGCATGGGTAAAACTATCCAAATAATATCGTTATTTGTTTCCGATATGAAGAAGCCGAATCTTGTCGTAGCGTGTGTTCACAATGCTCTCGTATTCGTAAATGAAGTCGCACTAATGATTTTTGTAGACCTACTGTTGCAGTAATGCAGTGGAGGAACGAAATCAACACACATACGGAAGGGATGAAGGTCCTCGTTTGGCACGGGGCATCGCGGGTCAACGATATCAAGGAACTGAAGAAATACGACGTGGTACGGGTGGATGCCGTTTTTCTGTCTGTCGGTACTTACATCGGTGTAGGTCCTAACAACCTTTGCCGTGCTAGAAAGCTGTTTCCGCAAGCAGCAGAGCGGTTTCAAGCGAAAGGGCTTGATTGTCAAGGAGAAATCTCCATTACATTTGATCAAGTGGAACAGGATCATCGTATGTATTTTCCGCCGCCTGTGTTGGTATTCTTCTTTCTAAATACATTACCCACAGCTTGATGAAGCACATAACATCAAAGAACGTTCCACTAACACCGCCAAAGCATGCTTTGAGCTTGACAGCAATTATAAGTGGTGTCTCTCTGGGACACCTTTACAAAACCGTGTCGGCGAGTTGTACAGTCTAGTGCGATTTTTGGGTGGTGACCCATTCTCGTACTACTTCTGTAAGTTCCACGGCAAGTAAATCGCATTTGTACACCTTCTGAATATTGGTCGCTAGGCAAGAAATGCGATTGCAAGTCCTTGCATTGGAAATTCACTGATAAGAGGAATTGCGATGGTATGTTACCCATAGCGAGAGATTATCAGACTCAAATGCTGACTGCTTCTCATAGATTGTGGTCATAGTCCGATGCAGCACGTATGTATAGGCACCATCCTGGCTTCGCTTAGCTAACACCTTTATCATTAGACGTGCTTCTGGAATAATGAAATCTTGACACCCATTCAGAAGAACGGGATGATCGGTCCCGGCAAGTGGGCATTCAAGAAACTGAAGATTCTTTTAGATAGGATGATGCTCCGCAGGACGAAGGTTGGTCTTCATGGTGCCTTACTATCTGATAGGCTATGTGACACCTATTTTGTTTAGATACAAAAAGCAGATGACCTGGGGCTCCCTCCAAGGACTGTGATCGTCAGAAGGGACTTTTTCAGTCCTGAAGAAAAGGAGTTATACCTATCGCTTTTCTCGGACGCAAAGCGTCAGTTTACTACTTATGTGGACTCTGGAACTGTCTTGAACAGTGAGTATCAATCATCTTGGACTCGTTATAAATCTTGACTGAGGGTTTATAGATTATTCAAATATTTTCAGTTTGTGAGAACCTCTTAAATTTCTTGATTTTTGACCCGCACTGAAGCCAGTCTAAACAGACTGACTCGTATGAGACAAATGGCTTGTCATCCTGATCTTGTTCTTAGAAGCAAAGCCAATGGTTCCACCTTTCTTGGTAGCAACGAACCAGGCGAAGCGACAGTTTGTAGGTTATGCAATGACGTCGCAGAGGATGCCATTCAGTCGAAATGCCGTCACATCTTCGATCGTGAATGCATCAAGCAGTATCTGGATACCGTTGGCGATATATCTGTAGGCCCCTATCTCATTCCCACAATTACAACGCATATGTTCTTACGCGACGTTCATAGCCTCAGTGTCCCGTGTGCCATCTACCACTGACTATCGATCTTGAAGCCCCTGCACTAGAATTGGAAGCGAATGTTCCTAATGCTCGTCAGGGTATCCTTGGACGTTTGGATCTCGATGCTTGGCGTTCCTCGTCTAAAATAGAAGCACTTGTAGAAGAGCTTTCCAATCTTAGGGCACATGATAACACGACCAAGAGTCTCGTCTTCAGTCAGTTCGTCAATTTCCTTGACCTTATCGCCTTTAGGCTTCAGAAAGCTGGCTTCCGAGTGAGTGCCTAAAATATCGATGGCCTACTTTGCATATTAAAATGTCTCCAGATCTGTCGGCTCGAAGGGACGATGAGTCCTCAAGCTAGAGATGCAACTATTCAACACTTCAGTTAGTCACTTTGATGGGTTTTGTTTTGTTTAGTGAACCCTTACTGACAGCTGTGTAGTGAACAATGTTGATGTTACGGTTTTCCTTGTCAGCCTGAAAGCTGGAGGTGTAGCTCTAAATTTGACAGAAGCCTCTCGGGTTTATCTGATGGACAGTTGGTGGAATCCTGCGGTATGTCAATATCAATCTTGCTATAGAAGAAGGCTCATCATTCTTGGTATAACTAGGTGGAGTATCGTACGTGGTATCTGATAATGTGGCACATTACACATGACTTACTGGAATACAGAGGCTATGGATCGTATTCATCGTTTGGGTCAACACCGACCTGTGCAGGCTATCAAACTCGTGATCGAGGACAGCATCGAGAGTCGTATTGTTCAGGCAAGTCGACGTCGCATTCCTAATACTTTTCATGAACTGAAACGGGTCACATAACAGCTACAGGAAAAGAAATCAGCAATGGTTGACGCAACATTATCGGCGGATGACTCGGTATGTTCGCAGAGTATTTGAGGAGCGCTCTGGACTAATTTGACGTATTTCGTTAGGCGATGGGTCGACTTACTCCGGACGATGTAAGTGTTTCCTTCATGCGTTCGAAATCACATTACTGATCTACTACTCCTTTGTCGCTCTCGGTTTCAGCTCGGATTCTTGTTCAGAGTGCGTACCCATCCCTTTCCTGCTTGGTTTAAAGTACTGATTCACTCGACTTGTGTAGCTCTGAGCTTTCGGTGGACAGTGCGAGAAACATCGGTGATATAATTACCACATAATTATCTTATTGTACATTATCTTGCTTTATGTATACGCGGATTCACGTCGTGAAAGACATGAACCTGCAACGCAAGACATTCAGGTTCCCCGCATTGCCCTTGGCTCGGTTGAGGTCCCAATATTATTTCGATCGTGCTTACATAAATACGGCAATAAACATGTGAAAACTAAGCTCGGGGACCGGTGTCTTGAGCTTTAACTTGAAAGTGGACATCCACCGTCAGCCTGAGTATTGTATCTGGCTTACAGTACCATTAGCACTGCAATCATAACATATGTCGACCAAAGCGATGAAAGAATACACGTTTGAGGAAGTGGCGAAAGTATGTGTTCTCTATCTGACCTCGTTCTGGATAGCTAGCTCATTTATGTCCCGGCAGCATGACAAGGAAGGAGACTTGGTGAGCATCACTCGACTGGAGCGAACGTTGTGCAGGGCTGAGTGTTTCCGAAGTGGATTGTCATAGACTCGAAAGTATACGATCTATCTCGGTTTGCAGACATGCATCCAGGAGGAGCCAACGTGCTCTATACCGATGTGGTGGGTAAGTGCATGCACGATTCTTTGGGACGACTCAAGCAGTTTTGAAACTGAACTACCTTGCTATTAATTAGCCGGAAAAGATGCCACACAAGTGTTCTTTGGTCTCCATCGGCACGAGGTGCTGCTGAAGCCTCAATATGCACGATTACAAATTGGCAAAATTCAGGGCGAGGAAGAATCTATAAAAGCACTTGCTCCAGGCGAACTCTCACAAGTACCTTATGCGGAGCCAACATGGCTCAGTGCCGGGTACTCCAGCCCATACTACACTGATAACCATAGGAAATTTCAAAAAGCCGTGAGGAAGTTCTTTGTAGAAGTCGTACACCCTGAAGCCGTTCGCTGCGAAGATAATGGGAAGAAAATATCCCAAGATGTCGTAGATAAACTGAGGTATGTCGGGTTTTCGACCACTGTAGTGCCCACAAGTAACGTTTTCTCAGCGAACTAAACTTTCTCGCAATGCGCCTTGGCCCTGGCAAGCATCTTAAAGGCCGAGTACTGATGGGTGGCTTAGTCAAGCCAGAAGAATACGACTACTTTCACGAGGTTAGATACAGCCTTTTACTGTCCTTGTTGAGTGCTACATACCGAGTGACAGCTTATCCTCAACACCGAGCTCGCTCGTTTTGGAACTCGCGGGTTTGTGGACGGGCTTCTGAATGGCGGTGTCATAGCCCTCCCTCCACTATTCAATTTTGGTACTCCCGAACAACAGGCTAAATTTGTGCCTGATGCCTTGGCTGGCAAAAAGTACCTTGCATTAGCAATCACTGAGGCTTTCGCTGGTAGTGATGTCGGTGGAGTGCATACCACTGCGGTTAGAGATGGAGATGACTGGATAGTTAACGGTACCAAAAAGTCGGGACACACATTTTCTGCGTTTATTTTTTTTTGGTTGGCTCACACACTTCTATTACAGGTGGATTACGAATGGTACATTTGCTGACTACTTTACTACACTATGCAAAACGGAGGTAATGATCTTCTTATCCCAACCAAATCCTCGCTTCTCATATTGCCCTGCTCTCTTAGCCTGGATTCACCGTCCTTCTTATTCCTCGCGTAGAAGGCGTTTCAACGAAACCAGTCAAGACTGCGTATTCTTCAACTGCGGGAACCGCATATGTCACATTTGACAAAGTTCGCGTCCCATTTGCGAATACCCTCGGAAAAGTAGGAAATGGCATGTCTGTCATTCTCAGTAATTTCAACCATGAGCGTTGGATGGTTACTTGCACCAGTCTTGGCGCCCAACGGGTTGTCGTTGAAGAGTGTTTGAAGTATGTAACTTCCTTCCATTCCGTTCAGTATATGACTTGCTCAACTGTTTTTAGATGGACTAACCAGAGGATCGCTTTCGGAAAGCCTCTGAATGCACAAGCAGTCATCCGCTCTAAATTGGCGAACATGATTGCCCGTGTGGAGGCTTCGCATAATTGGGTAGAGGCTATAACTTATCAAATGAACAATGTTCGTGGCATACATCTTGTAATCAAACCAATCCATGCTCACTACTAATTCACACAGATGTCATATAATGAGCAATCGGACAAACTGGCTGGACCAATAGCACTTATGAAGCAGTACGTCCCGCCTTGCTTTATCGCATAGTCCCTCACATAACATAATATATCTTAGGTTTGTCTCTCGGGCTGGTCGCGAGACTGCAGAAGATGCCACACAACTCTTTGGTGGAAGAGGTATAACAACAACTGGGATGGGTAAATTGATTGAAAATGTAAGCAGCTTTTCCTCTATTCTTGGGTTGTCACTGATTATGCCTCAGTATCATCGTACATCACCTTACGACGCTATCCTTGCTGGTGCGGAAGATGTTCTTGGTGACCTCGGAGTACGACAGGCTATGAAGAAAATGCCTCGTAATGCACGATTGTGACCGTATAAGCTATCGTCATTGTCATGCACTGCACAAAGCTTGGAATGTACATATATAACATATATATATATCGTTATAGCTCGTATCCATATCCAATATTTTATCACCTACACACTATTCACAAGAAAACATGTCTGTTTTTTTCACTCCCAAAAGTCCTCTGAATTTGTTCATTGCATCGTCAGCGTTATCCAGCCCAAAGTGATGGCCAATCCCGCCCATATTCCATTGGGCGAAAGTATCTTTGTTCCCGAGTTAGTCGTTGGAGATGGCGAGGATGAGGCGCTAGAAGTGGAGCCGGATGCCGAAGATGGGAAGACAGTGCTCTGAGACAGTGATGGTGCAACAGTCGACTGGGATGGCAGCGCGGTTATTGTGGTCTGAGAGACGCTGGAAGTGGGCGACGTATTCGTAAGCGTAGTCTGAGAGGCAGCTGAAAGAAACGAAGTCGTCAAGGTGCGATTGGGGTTCTGTCCTGGAAGTGTCATTTCTGGAAGAGAATAACCAGCGTTTGCACAAGTAAGGTAGTAATCTGCGGTGAATGAGTGAATAAGAACGCAAAGCACAAATTTGCCGCCTTACTATCTAACAACTGTTGAGCCGAGGCGTAATCCGCACTAGTAGCGTTATCAGCGGTTCCAACACACACGAAGCAATTGTAATAAGCAGTCTCGAAGGACTGTAGGCAGAGCGTTGAGAGAGACGGGTTTGACTGCAGGCATCAAAGTGAGATGATGCGGATGTGGCGGGGGCGAAAAAAAGGGGAGCTTACAGACGTTACGCTAGTTACAGAATCGCAAGTGCTCATGCATTGAGGCGGAACGGTGCTTGACTGCCTTTTTACCAGTGATCCTTTCGAGACGAGGTGGAAGCTGGCGAAACGTTCGCCATCGCTCGGGGTAGCCATACAGGTGAAAACCCAACACAGGGAAATGAGGCCCAGGAGGAGGAGTTGCATCGTACAGTGTCTCGAAATTGTGGACTCTGGGGGGAGACAACTGGGGAGGGCGTCAAACGTAAGTGAAGAACCAGCACCTTGGGCTTATAACACGCCCCATGGTCACTGCCTCGAGCCGCGGCAGTTCTTTAAAAAAGGAGAAGACACAAGGCCATCAATGGGATTGGAACGCTGGGAATGGTTAGCTCCCACCTTGGCAGATCGGGCGTCCATTAACACCAAGTATGAATACAGCTATGCCCCGCTACTCGGATAACAAGGCAGCGTGAACTCGAATTGAAAAGGAATGATCACAGCCGCCATATCATCATCATGATGTTCGAGTTTAAGTCTTGGTGAATGTGGTAGCACATGCCACAACGCCACATGTGCCAGAATATCTAAGTTAACAATCTTATCGTTCACCCGTCATACAACATCCATACTATTCGTGACTAATAATCGTAAGAAAATATATAAGGGATCCATTCGAGAGTTCCCAACTTCTCTTTTCAAGACTACTGTATCGTCAATGTGATCCAGCCCAATGTAATCGCTAATCCTGCCCAGAATATATTGGGAGAAAGTATCCTTGCGCCTGCAGTAGTTGTTGTTGCTGGCGTGGATGAGGTTTTGGATGCTGAAGCCGATGTGGAGCCTGAAGATGTGAGAGCTGTAGTTTGAGACGCCGGTGCCGTGAGCGATGTCTGAGGGGCAACAGAAGCAAATGAAGTCGTAAGGGTGCGATTGGGATTTTGTCCCGGTAACGTCAATTCTTCAAGTGGATAGCCACTGTATAAACAAGTAAGGTAAACATCTGGGGAGGAGGAATAAATACAGTTAATAAGTCCGGGGATAAATATCGGGCTTACTATCCAAATCTTTTTGTGCTACGCTGTAATCAGTAGCATTAACAGCTGTTCCAACGCAGAGAGTGCAGTTGTAATAGCCGTTCTCAAATGACTGTGAGCAGTACATGATAGGAGATGGGTCCTGTTGCCCGGGTGAGAGAAGTGTAGGATTGAAGAGTAATGCAAGCTCACCGAAGCAACCACACTGTTTATAGGATCGCAGATGTTCGTGCACTGCTCAGGGACAGAACCCGACTGTCGTTTGGTCAACGATCCCGCCGAGGCAAGTCGGACTCTAGAGGAGAGGTAAGGTTCGCCATTGCTGGGAGCAGCCCATGAACCCAAGACCAAGAATAGAGTAACAAGACTCAGGAGAATGAGTTGCATCATGAAAGGGTATCGAGATGCTAGCCCACGAACTGGGGGGACAGACAGTTAGAGAAAAGTGAACGTGAGGGAACCAGCACCTTTTGACCTTTCCCGCTGCCGCATGGGGCAGTGCTTGTTAAAAAGAAGATGATACGGTTCATAGAATCATAGAGGTTATTAAAAGGCACTAACCGATAACGATGCCCTGCCTGCACATCGGGCGTCCTAGTAAGTCTGTTCATCAGACACGTGTATGCGGAATATGGCTTATATAGGTAACGTATAATCCGATAGATCAGTGCTACGCGCGGAAGCTTTTGAAATGAGGGTGCTGAGCAGAGAGACACAAGTTCCACTTGCAGACGCTGGAAGCAGCGAAGCGAGACAGACAGCAGACGCTGAGAACGCAGGAACACGAGACCCATTTTTCTCAGTAGTCCATCATGCAGAAATACATTGCTGTCGGATCTCCCCATGTATCCACTGCAGTCTGCATGTTCATCAGACCCTTTCCAGTAGTATTCTCGTGCTGTTTTCTCCACGATTTTTAGATTAACCGGCCACGGCTTCTGTAGGGGACATCGTAGTGTTGCAAACATACACTCCAAGCAATGCCTGTAAAGAATAAAGCATGAATTGCCACCATCCTGCAGCCAGACTAGCCATGGTGCATTGTGTTCTGCATGTCGCGGTTATGAGATGCGAGCGTAATAAGTGACTCGGAGCACCGCTGGTGGCTGTGTGGCTGTGCTATCCATTTATGCCGATTCCTTTTCTGTGAGAAACGTCATTCCAAAGTTGCATGGCTCAGCATCCACCAAGTTTTTTTCCAAGCACAGCGCTGGTTCGTATCAGTTCTATTTTGCGTATATATCATCTCATATGATCCTATCTCCTAGGACCATGCAGCCGCAGGGCTTGGAGCTGGCGTGGTTGCCGTTCTCTGCATGCACCCATTGGATCTGCTGAAGGTCAAGTTGCAAGTGTCAACAGAGAAGCCTCAAGGAGGTGTCGGGAAACAGATATGGCTGGCTCTCAAAGACATCAAAGTAAAAGAAGGCTGGAAGGGCCTTTACCGGGGAGTCTCGCCCAACATTGCTGGCAATGCGTCCAGCTGGGGACTATACTTTCTCTTGTATGTTTCGACTGTGCTCGCCCTGCTTACTGCTCACCCAATTCATTCAGTTACAACATGCTCAAGAAACGAGCTGCTGGCGATAATCCCAACTTCCAAATGTCTGCAGGATCCTACCTTCTCTGTTCTGCCCAAGCAAGTTCGCATTTCTTATTCACCCAACATATTTCCATCAACCTATATCAATAAAACTTCACTAGGTGCTGTTACTGCTATCATGACCAACCCAATATGGGTGGTCAAAGTCCGTATGTTTACTACCAGGGCCGATTCGTCAACATCTTATAGAGGCCTATGGGGTGCGTCTGTTCATACTTTCTCTTTGGTTTTGCAACATTGATTAAACGGCAGTATAGATGGACTGTCTTCCATATTGCGAACGGAAGGAATGTCGGGCCTATGGCGCGGTACCTCTTTGGCATTGGTTGGCGTGAGCAACGGTGCTGCACAGTTCATGGCTTACGAGGAAATGAAAAGATGGGGTTTTGAACAAAAGGCCAAACGGTTTGCCAAGGCTGGCCGGACCATGACGCCAGAGGATGATAAACTAGTGCGTTTTTCGACTGTAGTTCTCTCTTGTGCCCTGTTGTTGACATCATTTTTCAAGTCAAACACATCGTATACAATTATGTCTGGTGCCAGTAAGTTATGGGCGTTGGCTTTGACTTACCCTTACCAAGTTATCCGATCTCGACTACAAGTACGTTATTTCTGCTGTTCATCGGCGAAACTCATGTGCACCATCATATAGAACAACGCGACGACACATATTTACCCTGATATTCCCACTACTGTCAGGCGCACCTGGCAGGGCGAGGGTTTCAAAGGCTTCTATCGAGGCTTGGGCACGAACTTTGTTCGTGTCCTTCCCGGCACCTGTGTAACGTTCGTCGTTTATGAAAATATCGCATGGCTACTGAGAACTTCAGCGGGAAGACGAGAGCAGCGGCGCAAGGATGCATAGGATACTTCAGGTATTTCAGTTGAAGAGCTTCGGTTGTTCGAGAACCACTTCCATCAGACGAATAACATATAATTAGATGGCATTAACTAGTCACGGATACAACATAGACTGATACTTTCATAGCAGATGTATAATAGTTTAGTACGCTAATAACACACACATCTCACAGCTTAAAGCATTCGAAATCGCGAAAACTTGAACAAATGTTCGTGATACCTAATTTTAAAAAAAAAGAGAAAACAAGGAATCAGTTCACAACTCATAAACCGATGAAATAAAAAAGAACGATGGTCAAATTAACTATAACAAAGTAAACTTCATCGCACAGTATCGCCCAACTTCTGCATCCGTCTGCAGATCCCCTCAAGACGAGGAGATATTGCTGGATGAAGAAGGGACTGGAGGATTAGATCCTCCCCATGCTCCAAGGCGTTATGCCGGTATGCTTTTATCCTTCCAGATACACAACAGAGTATGTAAGTAAAACTCACAGTGATATTTTGTTCGTCTTCATAGCGATTTCACAGAAGGTGGATTGAAAGGGATAAAGCAAATTCTAGCGTTGATCACCGGTTTTTTTGGTTTTTGAAGGGCTGTTGTTTATACTTATTATGCAGCAGCTTTGCTTCCTAATATATACAAATATACGCTACTGCCCAATACGGCTATCGTAGCCAGTGCAACAGTGGACCAATTGGTCAAAAGTCGGTTAAGGTAAGTATCTTTCAGTGTGTTGAGTAAGTCAAGTTTGGGGCTGAAACCATATCATTATAGGATAATGTCTCTGCTGATATCCCGCACCATTGCACCTCTCCGCGCCAATATACCAGCACCATGTCTGTGCAGATGCCATACATCACCATTTTTCATTCGGTCCCTATCGTCGTCTCTCTCTCGCAGGGCAGCTGGCGGCCCTGTCAAACGAACATTCGGAGACAAGATTCCATACGATACTGTGAGACTAGTCAACTCAGAAACAGGGAAGCTGGAGCCTCCTGCACCACTCACATCCGTGCTTGCTTCGATTGACGCGAAGGAATGGCTGGTCGAACTTGTGACCGAAAAACCGGAGCCCATAGTAAAGGTTGTGAACAGGAAGGAGTCGTTTAACAAATGGAAAGAAATAAAACGAAATTATCGACTGGGACAGAAGGCGTCGGAACGCAAGGAGATACAGATGACATGGGGGGTTGGACCTGCAGATTTGCAGCATAAAATCGCGAAGGCCAGATCGGAATTAGAGAGGGGATATAGAGTCGATGTAGTGATTGCCCCCAAGAAAAGTCAAACCCTTCCAAAACCTCAAGAAATGCAGGCCTTTGCTCGGGACATCGCAGAGGGGTTGTCGGACGTTGCGAAGGAATGGAAACAAAGGGACATTCAAAAGACAATAACAGTGATGTCATTTCAAAGACTAGCAGCAACAAGTTCATAACCACCCTATTTTTTATTGCATCATAATACTACAATAATATACTATATCTAAAATGAATCCCGGGTGAACGCTTCATTCGCGTGGTGTTTTCCGTCGCCTTTTCTTCCAGGTGTATCTATTTGTCCGTTTAATAGGTAATCCTCGAGTTTTCAACGTAGCAAGAGCATGAGGGCGGAAAGGCGGGCTCCGCATTCGGGGGAATGCAAATGGTTGTTTGTTGAGTTGAGGACGATTCGCAAATTGCATGAAACCAAGAGGTTGGTGCCCAACAAACAAATGGCGAAATCCTGCTGGTATCGGATAACCTGCCTTCACCATCTCTTCCACAACACGTGCCAAGAAAGGATTCCACCTACGGGGTCTCATGCCAAGTCTTGCATACCATGAGTTCGCTACTCTAAGTTTTTGCCTCCAGTGTGCACGTGAGCAGACAGACGACCTAGCGTTCTTGCCTGGCTGACGGCCATATAAGCTGAGAGCCGCATTGAAGAAACGTGCATCTGGACGTGGTATCTGAACGCTCTCGAAACCTTTCTGTTCAAGGTTCAAAAGTTCCCCGTATACGTCTTTTGCAGCGCTAAACATGGTGCGGAACAGATTGGAGCTTAGGGTCATTGCACGTCTACGTCGACTGGCTGGATTGACTCTTCTTCGCGTAGTTATAAATTGGGCCCACCCACGAACTTTCGCATTTAGCCTTGGAGCCCACTCTGTTTGCTCTCCATTTGCTAATTCAGGTCGGGCTGTGTCATCCAATTTGGCCCGGCGGATCCGCAGAGCTTGGTGGGCTTCGGCGCCATAGCGCTGCAACATTATGGTGTAGGCATGTACAGGCAGGCACCATGGCTTTACATCTGGAAGCAGTTGAGGGACCCAGCTCACACGTTCAGCTTCCTTCGCTAGCAACCAAACTCGTTCAGCAAGCCCTGTTTTTCCTGCCTTCCCCAGGGCATTCAAGACAGCCGTGAAAAAATGAGGTCCGAGAGACACGGCTCGTAAAAGACGTTGTTTGCGGGACTGGCGTCTCATCTCTTTTCTTTCTTCCTCTGTGGCAGAACCCCAAGAAGGGTGATCGATGATCGATAGTTCAGGTAGAACGTTAAAGAGAACATCTGCAACAATATGGGGTTGACCCGTGGACGTTAGGTGAAGAATATAGCTGGTTAAAGTGTGTGCATCGGCCAGGACTGCGCTGTTAGGGCGAGGTATATCAAGCCGTTGCATCGGAGACTGTTGATGGGGGGAAGGCCATCGCTCTACACTGACGGACGGAGATGCAGGTTCGTCACTACAACCAGGCGCTGTAAAGAGGGAAATCGGCGGAGAAGGCTGCACATTAATTGCATGCTGGGCGTTTTGCTTCAATTGGCGCAAAGCATCCAATGCTTGGTCGCTGATATCATTTCTTCTAAGGATGGTACCTGAACGAATGATGATGTTGTACGTTGTAATATCAGGCTGGAGAGGTGGGTCCCGCAGATGCATCATATGGTGCAGAATACTGCTTGCGAGGCCAGGGGAGAGTCGGTGACGTAGTGCATAGTGAATTAGAGTGTTATACGAATCTGATGTCAGTCGAGGTAACAAAGTCACTTTCTCATCTGACTTTGATCTGCGAGGTACTAGCGTTGTGGGAATCGTTCGAATGAGACGAAGCAGAACTCGGTGGAAGTAGGGGTGTGCGGCAACCCAGCGTTTTTTACCATCCTCATCAACCCAGACTCGATCCTGAACTTTAGGACACGTATAAAGAGTGCGTATCAGTGAGGATATCTCAGGAAACGGGATTTCTTGACGATCGAGTAACCCGGCAAAATTAGCAAGTGCTTGTAAAGACGCGCGGCGAAGAGGTTGACTTGACTCTTCGTAGGGATCTCGCAGCATGTCCACTTCGATATGTTGTAACATAGGAGCCACAAATTGATTGGGCGAGATCCCTACTTCGGACAAGGTAGAAGTCAAACGACTCCTAAGATCCTTCCGCTTCTCTTGAGATAATTCCACGTTCTGTGCATCCTCTTCCTCTTGAATTTGTCCTCTGAGACGCGCTGCCATATTTCGTCGGACCTCCCAATCCTTCACCAAGATAACAAAAAGCAGAGAGGCGACGATAATCTCCCCTTGTACAAGACAAGCGTTAATTATAGATTGGTAAGCTTGTTCTGAGCACCGTTGCCTGTGCTGACGAGCGAAGAAGAGCAGAGATATAGCGAAACGGATGCCCGGGTCTGAGACCATGGATGGTTTCAGAGAGAGCTTACCACGGCCAGAACGGTCGACGTACAGCGATTCGTAGCGCTCCGAGCTGCCGCTGTAAGACGGACTTGCAGATAGCTGAGATTGAATGGTGGCCTGTAGTGATGTTTCTCGAAGCCTAACGCCATCTGCCATCAACATCTTAGAAAACCGGTATGCTTTGGTTGTCATGCCAGAACGAATTAAGTGGTGAAGAAGACAATGGGCTGATAACGAGAGCGGGACTGCTTGACCGAAGTCAATAAACTTGAAGTTGTTTTTTGGCGTTCTTAATCCAGGAAGATGGAACCGTGGACCACCTTCAGGGCGAGATGAGCATCTGAGTGAGTTGACGATATAAAATGCATCTCTCAGCGCCCCGTTTTGACACGAGACACGAACAGCATGGGCAGCAGCACGGGATATCTGAGCGGGGGTCAAGGAATGAGGTAGTGATGGCTCTAGAGAACTTGCGATGGTGTCTGCTGGAGAATTAGAAACTGGGACTGGTTGCAGTAGAGTTTGTGCAGAGCTGGTAGAAGAAGAAGAGAGGTTTCGAGTGAGATATGGCGACAGGATATGGTTGAGGGGCTTGTCATTGATGCAGAACTGTCGTTTCGAATGAGAAGGAAGAGTGCCTTTGAATGAATTGGATGACGCTCTTTGGATCAAGTTAGCGAGTGTTCTTGACCAGGAGCATTGCATGTGTCTTGCATGCCTGTCGCATATCCGTTAGCCTCTGAGTACGAACATGACACGTTTGCTCACCAGCCTGCCTTTGAGCTGAATGGTTATTAAAGCCTGTGCTCTCAGCTTATTATTCAGGTTGGTGGTCTGAGCCAAGGCTGCTTTTACTTGCAAACTTGAACCGGTATATTCCAGCGTGGGAACTGTATCTTACCCACGTCACGTGGCCTGGGTGGTGGAAGCCAAACTGAGCTTCGAGTTCGAGCGAGCGAAGTCAAGCTTGGGTTCTGCTGGTTTCGTAGTTTCTGATCCGCGTACCACCCTAAACTTGCAATTGGTAACCTTTTCTTTGCTGTCCTTTCTCCACTTAAACAACAAATTATGAGCAACGAGCGCCCGCATCGTGGTGGTTATCGCAAACGATACAATAGAGGTAAGGACAAATACACCCTATGAAGTTGATGTTGCTATATACCTCTACGCAGAGGACCATGACCATGACAGGCGTCGTGAACCAGTCGAGACACCTGAGCAAAAAATTAGAACTTCTATAATCAAAATGGGAGAAGTAGTAAGCATATAGTGTTCTATTCCTGGTGCAAGTCCTCTGATAGTCAACTCTACAGGATCCATTACAGGAAATACCTCGCCTTGCACAACAAATTCGAGAGCAAGTCCCCGTTGTAGTGCCTGCCATATCTGAAGGATTTCGCATTGGGTATCGTCTGGATTCCTCGTTGAAAATGCCACTCATTCTTACTTTTGTTTCCAAGTGTCACCGAACAGCCGTACAAAATTCCGTACTACGCCGCGCTCCTTCGTTTGCTCCATGACCAGGTTGAAGGCGACACAAATGGCGCGCCTTCTTCGACTTCCTCTTCTCTCGGAAAGCAAATTCTGGAAGATTTCTGGAAAGGGTTTCAAGCATTCCTGGACAAGCTGGCATGGAGAGAAATACGACTATGCGTGAGTTTTCAGACACAATCCTTATATGCTTATGCTGTACTGATTTCATTGCCTAGATACAATTTTTTGCCCATTTGATGGCTGCCAAGGTCATATCTGTCCAGTCAATGGTATATTTGCTGCAGGCTTTCTCTACAGTTCTCGACGAGTTTGGCGTCTCCTATAGTCGAGGGAAGAGGGCGGCACTGTGCGCAGCCGAAGGTTTGATGATCGTATGTCCTGGTAGTACGCGACATTCTCAGCTTCTCAATACTAAAAACAATTGTACAGGCTGGAGCACCTTTGAAGACCGTATCTGCCTCGAGTGTAGCGGGCATTATAAATGCAATACAAATGTATAACGAATCCATCGTGACCTCAAAGTTTCTCATTCAACCTATGATGTCATTGTGCTCTGATGCGACTTCTCTTGACAATGCAGATGAGGTATTTGTCACACCTAACACACAGTAACGATACTAATCATTACCTAGCTGTTGGATACCGCTCTTATCCTGTTGAAGTCTCTGGAGGCCAGCAATTTCGCCGAATCATCTCCTGCCTTCCCGCGTCCTTACCTAGAGTATCCCGACCCTGAAAACACGACTTCTGGTCCATTCGAGCTGCCCTCCATACTCGTTCCTCCCGAAGTCATTGAACTAGATGGTTTAGCAACTGATGCTGGAGAAGATGCTCAAATAAAAAAGGAGGATTGGCCTGAGTATTATCTACATTTGTTTGACAACACGGTGAGCTCGAATATGGTGCAAATTCTGAGGCACAGGCTTATCGTTGTTTTTTTGATACAGATAACCCCTGATCCTACTACTCTTCCCGGGTTTATAGTCCGGTCTAATTTACTTGACATCATCGATATCTTTGAGGTTAATCGAAAAGAGTGTGCTCGTCTTCTACTGGAATATCCTAAATGGAACATTCCAGGAACTTTCAAGCCGCAACCCGGGGCACCCGCTGCAGAAGAAGGCCTTGGGGGAAAAGATTGGCAGCTGGAGAGTACTATCATAGAGGTCTGTCTATTCATGCAATCTCCCCTTCCTGTCGATTTAAGATTGTTTTTAGACAATTTTGGGGTCTCTTTTTATCCTACCTGATCCGTCCGCCAAGTCTGTATATCAAATTTCTCTCATCACTGAGCTCTGCAAGCTTTCGCCATCAACAGTCGGACCTGCGGTAGGAAAGTCAATCCGGAAACTTTATAATGCACTTTCCGATGGCTTGGATACCGAAATTGCTCGCAGGTTTGCAGAATGGTTCGCTGTGCACATGAGTAACTTTGGTTTCCAATGGGTTTGGAAAGAATGGTGAATACAAATATATGCTTACGATGGTTGATTTCCTTGGGACTCACATTTTGTTTTCAGGCTTCCAGACTTGGCTTTGACTGAACAGCATCCGAAGCGTGCCTTCATGCGTAGGGCTTTAGAGTTTGAGATGCGGCTGTCTTATCATGACCGAATACTCAAGACTCTTCCGGAACCTATGCAGCTTGATCCCACCGTCATATCGGACCAAGCCCCTGGACCGGATTTCGAGTACGATGAACCAAGTGAGTGGTATACTTCTTATCCCCATGCTGGGAATTAATTAACAATATCTTTCAGCTCACCCTCACCACGATGCTGCTCAGTCTGTTCTCAACCTGCTTCGCGGACGCTCAAAAGCCGATGAAGTCATGTCCCATCTAGACTCGTTAAGAGACACGCTTGAAATTTCAGACACACATATGAACATTGACACGCTCATCCGTTTCATCGCCGTTCAGTCGCTACTCAGCATCGGGTCCCGATCATTTTCTCACTTGTTGAATGCTATTGAACGTTATCTGCCGCTTCTCCGGGGACTCGCTAACGGTGGTATCGTGGGTGCTGGAAGTGGCAGCTCTGAAGCCAAACAGGACATTCTTTCGGCAGCGGCAGCTTTCTGGAAACGAAACAGGCAAATGGTGAACATCGTCTTTGACAAGCTTATGCAATATCAGATTGTCGATCCTACGGACGTGGTGGCGTGGACCTTCACTAACGTCGCTGGCGATAGTCATTTGAGTGGTATGCGACCGCTAAGCTTGAGCGCGTTCGAGTGGGACTTGTTGAAGGGTGCACTGGATAAGGCTAATGGTCGAGTCATGATATCTCGAAGGAAGGTTGCAGCCCTGAGGAAGGAAGAAGATGACACCATAGCAAGAGCCAAAGCCAGTGGAGGAGCAGACGTAGCATCAATGGAAGTGGACGCCGACGCCAAACCAGGTAATACATATTCAAGAAAAAAATTATTTCAATGTTTCAACTGATCTGGTATTTTCTAGATGAAACTCCTGCTGTAGAGAGTCCAGCGCTTGTTACGGCATTAAAAGCATTTACCAGTCTCACCCGAGAACAAAAAGCTGCTTTATCCCGTACTCTGGAAGGATTTGTATCATGTCTGGCCCCTTCAGTCTCTGATATGCACCAGAACCCTCATGCTGGCAAGGTAATCACGCAGGATGCGTGGGACGGTCGTGCGAACTGGAACGCTGATGAGTGGAATGCTTGGGAGACATGGGGATGGTATAGACATTATTGCAGAGTTGTATGTATTGTTTTTGCTCAAACGATAGCATATCTGACAATCTTTCATAACAGTATTCCCCTTATCTCCGGAATTACGCCACGACGTTGAGCACTGTGGCCTTCGCCAAAATCGAGGGGTCAACTGAACCACCTGCTGAGCTCATGAAAAAGATCTGGAATATCACCACGGGACAGGAAAGTTAAATACCGGTACAGCAGTTACGGGTCTCCGATTTTTAAATACAAAATTGTCTCCAACAGAGAACACACTGGTGGCCATTCGCGTTTGATATTATGTCTAGTGTTGTAATCCCGTTATTAATTTATTAAGAGTTCTACCGACTGAAAGGACTGCAGAGCATTGATGTCAGATTCCTAAATTTTCTTCACTTTTTTGCCCTGCTGTTTCTTTGGTTCCTCAACACTACCTCCCAAAGAATAGCCAACGGTTCCAAGTAGAACTAATACTGCACCCAACCACATGGTCGTGCTTCCTCGACCTCCGTATACCGCAACACTCAGTAGCATCGACGCAGCTTTTCTAACGACAAGAATCAAAGTAACGCTCAGCGAGGATACACGTCCCGTCATCCGGTTTACGCCTGAGACACAAAAGAATTGTGTGAAGGCGTTGAGGAGGATAAAGATATAGGCTAATGGGATCCTGACGACGGGGAACACGGGCAGGAATGGGCTGAACGTTGGGGAGAGAGGGGTGATAGATAGTTCAGCTTTGGGACCACTGCTTATCGCAATCACTTGGTCGGCTACGTTATGCCGAGAGAAATAAAACAAGGGCATGGCGAGAAAATGGAGATAGAACATTGATTCCTGCCAAGGACTCGATTGTTTGCTGTCCGTTACAACTGCCGAGGTATGTTGGGAGGTATTCTGAGCACGATGAATATATCGCTTGAACGTCCAGTCTTGGGCTAATCCCAGGATACCGGAAAGAAGAAGTGCGAGAGTGAGCATGAGAATGCCTCTGGTGTATGAGGCCACGTTGAAAGGGCGTGCTTCTCGAGCGCGAGAATCTGGCTGAGAAGCAGAGAAAGTCGTTAATGCTATCCCGATAGTTACCATACAGACTGATATGATTTGGGAATAGCTATATCTATACAGCGGGATGTCATGAGCGATGCTGCACTGGATGTGTACTGTACTCACTTCTTCTTTGCTACAAGCCACCCAAGAGCCAGGTTTACGATCAACCCACCGCTGCGAAATATGATGTGGACTGTCATGGGAATGTGATATGCAAAAGCCGCGTTGTTCAGGGTAGATATCGTATAAAATAGGACGACTTGTGCGACGTAGACTAGTAACGGAACTCTACGTGGCCTTAGACGAGGGAGCCTGTTCCACAGAGACATATTTTGTGAGTGGTCCCTCTTAGATGCTTTCCCGTTGACCGCTCTCCCTTGGATGGCTCGTGGATTGGAGAAAGTGATATGATTGGGTAGGCCATGGACGGAAATCAACAAGAACTGAAGAAATGTTATGAGTACTCCAGACCGGGGGTATTCAGAAGTGAGTTGTTCCAAGGTGATGGCATTGCTGAGCGAGTTTAAGATCAGTGATTGTGGCGAAAAGGTGCAAGGTGGTTACCTACCTGCAGCAACCGCCAAAAACGAAAGACAGGGTAGTGAACCAGTCTGAGGACGAAAGACCGGATTGCATGGGTTCGGGTGGGTGTATTGCGAGAGCTGCGTCGAGATATCTAAATCAGTTTTAGGGTAATTGTCTTGCTGGCACTGCGGAGGTGGTTGGGCACGAGGACATGGTGCTTGGATGCGACACCCGGGGCGGTGATGGCCCTATTTAGTATTGAGCTGTGCAACTCCGACTGGACTGGTTTGAGACTGAATTGTGAGGATATAAGAAGGTGTTTCTGTGGACGGGGAGCACAATACCTGCTTGCTGTTGCTGAACACGATAACACTGTTATCTCTACACTCTTAGGCTGAGCTTCCTTTCAGTTCATCTGCTGCTCTGTTGATTTTCAGTCCCGTGACCTCCGCGCGACGCGCTGTTTCAAAGTTTACTCTCAGTTAGATAAAAGGGCGGGTCCGCTAGAATCCACACTGGTTGTCTTTTCTTCCTCTGCTTCATTTTCTCTATTGCCGCCCTCGAACGGGTCCTTCCCTACAATCCCTATCAGCCCACTCTCTTATACCATGTCCATCGACCGTCGTCACCCCGCATCCCTCCTTCCTCGCTCCCACCACAATCCCGACTTTGTAGATCTCATGCGCAAACCCGTCTCCAGGGATATGGTCTCTTACATCGCACTGCAGGCTGCGCGAGTAATCCTGGTCGACGAACCAGACCTTTCTCCTAGCTCAGCTTTGCTTCCAACCCCGCCCCACACTCCTCACAAGGCTGCTTTCTCCGATAAGTATGGTCAAGATCTACAAGCGTCTTCCCCTCCAGTCCCACCCTTGGACGAGTTCATTATTCACTTAATTCACAAGTCTAACGTACAGGCCCCCACGCTGCTTACCACTCTCATCTATCTACACCGCTTGAGATCAAAGTTGCCTCCAATGGCAAAAGGTGGGTCGTTTTGGTTACTATACGCCTTTTCTCATACATAGCTTATAGGAATGCCCTGTACACGCCATCGTGTCTTTCTGGCGACCCTCATCGTTGCTGCCAAGTATCTCAACGATTCCTCGCCAAAGAACAAGCATTGGGCAGCTTACGGGGCTCTTTTTGATCTCGCCGAAATCAATCTTATGGAGAAACAATTACTATTCTTACTCGACTATGATCTCAGGTTCGACGAGGCCGAAGCATGCATACACTTAGCATCTTTCATGCCTTTCCACTGCACCCCCACAACTCAGCAGCAAGAAACGAGATCAGCAGCCGTCGAGAGAGTATCCAAGGCTGGAAAAGCAAGGGCTCAAGCACAACATCCGCCTACACCTCCATACGATTCGGCTCAGCAGCCTGCTGCGGTGTCATCCAGCCTTGTGTCAACAGTTCGTGGCATTGCAAAACGTCTGTCAAGTAATCGCCTCGCGACTTTAGCTCAAGGAGTCAGCAGCAGGCCCTCATCTGTCGCCTCCTCTCCTGTCTCGAGTAATCCAAGTTGCGATAGTACGAGTGCGACGGACTCCGAAATGGGTTCTTTGACAGAGGATACAGGCTCATCGTCCGACTCTGTCAGTGGTTCTGAGGACGAACAAGACGACATAACTTGCCATGAAGGACTCCGAAGGCGATTTGTATTGCGACCTGTTCCACCACATGTTTATCGGGAAGGACGAAAGGTCTCTGATACTTCTTCGATCAACTCGACGCTTACGGTCAAAGCTGATGGTCAAGCCGGTGGTCCATCTCCTCTGCCTGACCGGTGTGATCATACGATTCCTTCCGGAAGGTCTATCAGTCGTTCTAATCTGGCTGGCAAACGCTCAAGCTCTTATGTATATGGTAATCCCGCTGCTATATCAAGTACAACAGACAACACGAGTGTTCGCATCAAGGAGAGCGTTAGCATGTCCGCCAATGGTTTTCTGAGTCGAATGTGGAATGTCGCTACTAAGGGCCAAGAAAAGGAGAAACTATCAGATGCCCCCAATATCTGCAACCAAAAGCTACCGCACGTTCCATCGGCTGTAAGCATCGTCGAACCTACGGAGAGTCTTCATCCCAATCATGGAGGAAGTGCCTTCCGGCGGCTCGTTCACTCTCGATCTGCGGTGTTCCGAACTGGCCAGCCTAGCTTCGATGTCTAAGGATATATCCCGGAGCGAGGATTCACCGTCCAATGGATGCGACGACGACAAATGAGTCTCATTGGACATGCTCAAACCGACTCTATATACCACACCCTCTCTTTTACTGGACCATCTCCCCTTTTCATCTATTTTCGTGCTCACGGACACTGCCTTCTGACTCAACGGAACACCCGCTCTACAAAAGGTCCACCCACACCTATGTGCGCCTGGAAATCTACAATAGAAGCCGGGAGCGACTTTCTCTCGCTCTCATCCCTCGGTGTTGACGATTAAAAGACATCTGTGCACGTTTCTATCCTCACGCTCGTTGTGTATCGGACCATGTACTTCGTATCCCAACTGTCTCTACTTACTGTTCATCGAACATGTATCCATAACTCCATTGTACCGTCTATGAACACATCTCTAATGTATCTTGACGCACCTTCGTAATGATAATGATATTATAATGCGAAATTTTCTTTACGAACTATTGAACTGAGACGGCTGATCATAAATGCCAATTGTCGTATCTCGAAAGCAGCGAACTACTGATTGAAGGATGATATGCTTCTGCGCATCACAGTAATCTGACATAAGAGGCGGGGAACAACCCTTGCTTTCCATCAGCAGTACCCGTCCACCTTTTACGTGTAAAGTTAATGAAGTCAGTGAAGAGCGCTTCCGTTAATGGGAATTATTCTCACCAGTCCTCTGACGACTTCTCTGTCACTAATATGCGTTGATTGGCCTTGATTTGGATATCCGCAGGATCCTGTTAAATCATATACTAAGTGAAACCGGCTCTTTTTGATATTTTAGAAATTCGTCACCTCGCTGCTATAGTCATACAGAACTTCAGCCCATTCTCCCTGCACTTCTTCTTCCTCTTCTTCCTGCTGAGCAACTGGTGCTTGATATCGAGAAGGAGGAGGGACGGCAGGAGATGGCGAACGCGCTTCACTCGAATCCGAGGCCCCGCGCCGCACAGGAGGTGGTGCAAATCCACCCTTTCGCGCTGAAAAGGCCGAAGGTACGGGAGGAGCGGCAGCGGGGGCGGCGGGTGTCTTACGAATCATGGAACCAAACATGTTTTTCGTGGATGAGGTATCCACATTTCCGAATTTCTTTGATTTGGAGATTTGGAGAGTAGAATGAGAAGAGGTCATAAGGGAGGATGAAGGGGGGAAGAGGGACATACGCGAGCAGAGACCAGTTTATTGTGTTCTCCGTCCGCGGACGAAGCATCGTTACCAGACTCTCGACGAGGAGGAGCAGGAGGTGGTGGGCTTTTGGCATTGTTGGACGAAAATGCTAGCGAGGCGGCGGCGACTCGTCCTATCGAACTACTGACCTCTGGGTTAGAAGCCTAGTGACACCATAGACAGTTTCCTTTTAATCAAGGGCAGAACGAGCAGGAGATGGGTCGCAATAGCTCACCGCTGCCATATATGAGTTTGGCCTTGCTCCTCCACCGGCATGAGTGAGTCCTGCCGATACCAATCTTGATGTCGCTTCTGGATTAGATGCAAGTGCACGATGGACGGCAGATGCAGCAGCCCCCTGAGACAATCCTCCTCCCCCGCCTTCTGAACTCGCACCAGCGAATATCTCTGGACGAGCTTGAAAATACCTGGAAGATGGCCAAAGCTTGGTGAGTTTACTTCACTTGAATAAGACGCAACATGATGGATCTGACTCGTCTAGCAAACCAAAGAAAGCATCTTTCTCATGCGACGATAAATTGGCAAATACCATGTGGAATGTAAAATGAGCTGCAAATACACGATCTTGAAGTTGATTAGCGTAGATTATAGGAAGTTTACATGAAAGTTCTTACATACTGGTAAGTAGTACTGGTTTCTAATCTAGTCGCGGTGCCACTGGCGTACATATATAGACGCTGACATCGCGCAAGTCAAGACTAGCTCAAAGACACACACACTGGAAAACTGTGTTTACATTCACACTAAGTAAAGCATATATATCATCGTAATATTTCTCTACAAGGTACAAACAATCATAGCAGGATATAAGCGAAAAGAGCAGTTTCAGTTCCAATTCAGCGCTAAGCACCAAAAGAAATAATGACCAGAAGCACGATAAGACAGCGTGGCAACAGGGGAAAAAAAGATATGATAATAAGCGATTATTTCAATGATCATTTGAGCGCCGGAGACAATTATTGACCGCCCCAATTGAATAAATCGTAGTCATTGTTCCCAGGATTTTCACCTGAAGGACTCATGTTTTGAGGTGCAGGCGTGGTAGAGAGATGTCGAGGTGTGTGTATTTGATCCGAAGAAGCATGATGTCCCGGTGAAGATGCGAAATGATAAGGGCCATTGGTGCCTCCCTGCCAACCCTGACCAGATGGTGATGGTGCATTTCCACCCCCAAAGGATGTGGTTCCATGTCCTGCACTTCCTGGTGGACTCATGCCGTAATTATTTCCCTGGTTGTGGTTCGTCTGCAGTGAATTTTGCTGTTGGTGGTTACTCTGCTGCCAATTTGAGTTTGACTGCATTTGCTGATTGAACGCGGGGTTTTGCGACATAAGAGACGCCTGCGCGTGCTGCATTATGACTCTCTGGTAATCATCGGGCTGAATCGGCTGCTGTGAAAGCCTCGAAGGTGCTCTGGGCGTAATGGGCGAAGGCATGCTGTCAGATGGCGAACGTGTGCTCCGCGCAATACCTGGTATTGTGGAGTTTGATCGAAGCGCTGGGAAATTGTCTGCTCCAGGTGCAGACATTGGTGATCCAGTGTGATGAGGCGACCCTCCTTGAGTCATGCGCTGCGCCATAGCATAAGCTTGCTGCTGATTCACCATGTTCATCGGGTTCGAACTTGTGCTAGCATTGCGAATCTGCTGCTGCTGTTGTTGTTGCTGTTGCTGTTGCTGTTGCTGCTGCAAAAGAAGCAGCTGCTGTCGCTGCTGAGGAGTGAGATTATTCACATTCATGTTCATGTTGTTCTGCATCTGTGGCGTGAAATTTGAAGGAGCCATACGATGATCCATCCCAGGATTAGTCTGACTTTGACTACCAAGGGGGAACATTCCATTTTGGGGTGACTGAGAATGCGAATGCGCTGGCTGAGAAATGATGGGCGACTGATGTACAAGAGGAGAGGCCGGACTTTGACCCTGGCCGGCATGATGCCCCCCAACGAAATTGCCATTTGGTAGTGATGCCATCGAAGACCCTTGCGGTAACCCAGAAATCTGATTAACATTACGTTGCTGAGAGGCTTGACTCTGCTGCTGCTGTCGTACCTGCATGGCAGACTACAGAGCGGTTAAATATTGGGACACCATTTATCATACATTTATACTATGGCTTACCTGGACCATTTGCATCTTCTGCATTTGCTGCTGCATTGGAAGTGACGAGAATCCTGGTATCGCTTGATTCATATATTGCAAAAATGGATGTGATGGATTCTGCAGTATTTGAATATTCTGCGGTGCATTAGGTCCGAACGCCGCTAGTGCGTTGGCGCCATTCGTATTAGGGGGGATAGGCACATTAGATGGACCTGCCACTGTGCTGCTTCCCTGCATTGACTGTGGTTGCGCTGAAGACGTTGAAGGGGACATCTGTCGCACAGCCTGCATCTGCTGCATATGTCGCTGCTGACGTTGCTGGGCTTCCCTCGCCTGTTGTATCTGTAGCTGGCGTAAACGATCACGCTGCATGGCAGCATTCTGTGCCTCATTCATTGCAAAGGGAAGTGCTGGTTGGATAGACGGTGGTGCCATAGGTGGGCTTATTCCCCGAGGGCTACTGGTGATTCCGCCTCCGGGCACTGAAAGATTACCAGTGCTGTTTACTCCGAGAGAAATGGAATTGGGTGGGCTACTGCGCGCGGTGGCACTTGAAATTGATATAGAAGGAACGGCGGGTGGTTGCATAGGCATTGACTTGCTCTCGCCTGTATCACGCCTTTTGTTCATAGGATCGACCACATTGTCATCTGGTCGGTCACGCTTGAGATTACCGTTGGGGAGAGAGGCCGGAGGGACTGGAGACCCATGACTCGCTTGACCGGGGAGCTGTCGTCTGGCGATATCTTTCGCGAAAAGGGAAGGGAGGTCCGAGTATAATTGTTGTATCCGCTCTGCTGACGGAATGCTCATGGGCGGTGGCGGCTCCATAGCAGGAAGAGTCATGATATGGTTCTACATTAAATGTCAGCAATGTGATAGAGCCAATTCTATGGCTACTTACACCTTGCCGATGGTCGGCTGCTGCTGCTAGCCACGTGAGATTTGCCTGTAGGCGGTGGGCATAACTGTTAAGATGTGGAGTTAGATAGAACGAGGCTTATGAACATCACGATGGACCAACTTACTGTTGAAATCTTGGGTCTGTCATTGGCAATCCTCGTGCTTGAAATTCCATGCAGACTCTATATAAAGACGGATCAGCTGGCTGATAACACATCCCAGCGGAACTTTAATACTTTAACAGTTCAGAATTCAGTTCCAAGATTCTAACAACCTTTGGATTGCTGGGGCTCGCCACATTATCGGGTAAAGAAGAGCTTGGAATCGAAGATTGACTGGAAGGAGGAGCCGGTTCACCTGATGGCATGAGATCAACATTCGAGGATTGCGAGGGCGCCGCGGGATTAGAGTCGCTGTTATCTGGAACGGGCTTCGGATCCGGCTTTGACATCTGTTCCTGGGAGACTTCAGAGGTCGAGGGTTGTATATTTGGTAAAATACCGTTAGGAGATGAAGGAGACGGCCCTTTAGGACTGAGATTTTCCACCTTTGCATTCTCTGAATGTTGCTCTGCTCTCTCCGTTTCTGGAGGACTAGGTGCAGGGCCAACCGCTAGATCATTTCCGCCAGATTCCTCCTTGTTTTTATCACTATCCTCATCCTTCACGTCGAGATCTCCGATATCGTCTGGGGCGGGCGATAACTCGGTGAGTGGTGTTAGCTGTCGTGAAGACTTGTCTTCTTCAGGCTCTTTTTCGGCTTCGAGCGGTTGTGAATGCTGGGGATGTGGCGAGGGCAGAGGAGAGTCCCTGGTGTGAGCTTGGGGTGAGCCAGAATCATCGTCTGGAGCGGGGGACAAAGAAGAGCTTTTGTCCTCGTTGAGGGACTGCGCGTGAGCGTCGACAGGGCTGGAAGGGGATGAGGGAGCGGAGGCGTGCGAGAGAACGGGGTCTTCTGAGTTGACGGGAGTGATGGGGCCTGGGCGTGAAGGGAGTGAGGAGGAGGGGAGAACGGATGGGTGGAGGGAGTGGTCGAGGAGGGAGTGGTCGTTCAGGGGGTGGTCTGGGAAGAACTGGTCCTGGTGGTCCTGGTGGAAAGACTTGTCGTCATGGGGGAGGGAGGGCCAGGAAAGTATATCATGCTGATCATTGTGAGTGGTCGGCAAGATTAGATTTGACTTTGTATGAGGGGAGAGCGGGTGGTGATTCCGATCGAGATGGATCATATCCCCAAAACCGCAAGGAGTGAAGGATACGGAGACGGACGTTGCCAGCTAGGCTCCAGATCTAGTGCCGGGAAAAAGCAGCCGAAAAAAGGAGGAAGAGCGTGCAAGGGCTGGGTGTATGCAGTGGAAGACAGGGGGAATAACCGGGAGTGCTAATACGTTGCGTGTAAGCTTTGGCTGTCCCAACTTAAACCGGGTCTTGTGGATATCAAAAACGTTTTCTGGGACGGGATGGGAACGGTCGATGCAGCCAGGGGGACCGTGTGACTTTAGTTCCTGGCGGCGGAGTCTCAATCCACCCCATCCTCGCTCTGCGCTGGCGGGGCACGACATGGGAGGAGGGGAAAAGGAGGAATGCTCGCTGCCAACCAGACGTCACCTTTATATACCGTCCACAGGTGGGAGATCCATCTCTACCAAGTCTGCATAAATGCGCAATCGAAGCAAGATCAGATTCCAATTCCCTCTTGCCATATCCGTTTGCGTTAATTGAGCGACTTTCTCCAGCATCATTCTTTTTTGGGACTCCACTTTGTCGCAACCTCGACAACACGAGGGGTATTCCAGTTCACATCTATTTTATTTATCACCTCCCATCGTCACGCGCACAGCTGCATCTTTGGCGTCGTACCTCGCTTACATCTCCCCTGATCTCTCTTACTTATCTTCCATACATACCCGCTATTATCACACACTATTGTAATCCATGTCTCGCATTCTCGTCTCACATCCTTCTTCTCTTGCTATCTTATATTACCCTTACAGCATTACACTAACTACTGTGTCTTCGAACTTGCTTACCGTAACTTAATGTTAATTCTCAATCGTCGAAAATGGAAAGTCACCCTACCCTCGGCAATTCCCGAAAATTGTGGCGCCGCCTGCCAAACTTGCAAACCAAGTATACCCGCCCACGCCAACTCGAGTAATACTTCCTCAAGACGCAAAAATGTGAGTATACCCTGCATTTCGTTACTCAAAACAGCCCCAGGTCCATTTCCTTGCCATCTGCCATGCTGTTTTCTGAAAACGGCTCGCAAATCCGTACTTTCGAGGGCTGGATGTTCATATCTACCCATGGATGCAGCAGACTTGGCTTTATATATTCCTTCTTCCTAGGCTTTTGTTCTGCGCACTCTTTACTCACACATCCTTCCAGATAAACGATGGGTCGGGTCATTAGGGCACAAAGGCGTTCGCACGCAATCGTACGTCTTGCTCAAGGCCCAAATTAATCAAGATTTGCCAACTTACTTTCTTATGCGCATATAGTTCAAGGCGCACACTCATCTTAACAAGTCGCCTGCCAAACTTCGCCCTCTCGACTATGCTGAGCGTAACGGTTACGTTCGTGGCATTGTAAAAGATATCATCCATGACTCTGGCCGGTGGGTCCTTTATCTCAGATAAAAGTAGACTTCAATTCTTATTTTCATCTTCAGTGGTGCACCTCTCGCTCGTGTCGTTTTCCGTGATCCCTACCGCTACAAACTTCGTAAAGAGACGTTCATTGCCACTGAGGGTCTCCACACCGGTGCCTTCGTTTACTGTGGCAAGAAAGCCACCCTTGCCGTCGGAAACGTTCTTCCCGTGAGTCAATGCCCCGAAGGTACCATCGTCTGCAACGTGGAGGAGAAACTTGGTGACCGTGGTGCTCTTGCACGCACGTCTGGTAACTACGCCACTGTTATCGGCCACTCCCCCGAAGACAACAAGACCCGTATTCGATTACCCTCTGGTGCAAAGAAAACCGTATCGGGTGGTGCACGTGCTACTATTGGTATTGTTGCTGGTGGTGGACGTATCGACAAGCCTCTACTCAAGGCTGGTCGTGCCTACCACAAATACAAGGCCAAGCGTTACAAGTATGTGTCATCGTCTCTGTCTTACGGTGAATGTTTGCTGAATTGCCTCGCCCTTTACCCAGCTGGCCCCGTACTCGTGGTGTTGCTATGAACCCCGTCGACCATCCTCACGGTGGTGGTAACCATCAACACATTGGTAAAGCCTCGACAATTGCCCGTTCCGCCGTTCCTGGACAGAAAGTCGGTCTCATTGCCGCTCGCCGGGTACGTTGTCTTCTTCATGCTACCATTGCCGCGGTATCTGATTTTATGGTTGCAATCAGACCGGTCTGTTGCGCGGTACCGTCAAGGTCAAGGAAGTTTAAGTGGGATGAGCTATTTACTTTACATATCGCTATGCTTTACGTCCTCGTACCCTCAAAATCTGTATGCGTTTTGCATATGCTTCACGACCATGCACTGCCTATGACATGCACCCCATTTTGGTGTGAAGTGTGAGGATGCCGCTACGACTTACTAGCCTGTGCTCATGCAATGAAACCAAGAAAAAATTGTTGTTTGTGATCTTTCCGTCTAAGCATCATAATGTACAGTTCTATTGGTAAATTCTATAGTGCCCTGATGCGTTATTGACTATTTCGCAGCATCTTCCATCTGCTTTCTCCACCGCTTCTGGATGTCGATGGTTTCCCTGAATATCTTATACTTGGCGTCGAGGAGTTTCTTGACTTTGGGAGAGGCCGCAGGTGCAATCAATGTACCAGCAGGGGTCATCTCAACCTAGTGAAATGAATTTCAGTATTTAGGGGGCATTTATGAAAAATAATGAAAAAGAACAGACCATGATCTTCCACATCTCCTCACCCTGCTTATCCCTCGACACTTTCTCCGCATCCGCCGCAATTCGGCCAAGCATCGCAGCGCCGAGAACGACAGCAGCAGAGTGCGAGAACGGAAGGACGACGGGCATGCCGCACGTATCAGCGAACAGCTGCATCATCGGGATGTTCTTCGCTTGTCCGCCAGACATGTAGATCGAGCGGATCGTGTGACCCTTGGCGTTCATCTCGTCGACGATATGGCGGGTCTGCAGTGCGATGGCTTCTAGCGTCAGGTAGTATTTACGCGCGAGATCGGAAAGGCCGCTGTCCTGGAAAATGAAGTGATCAGTGACAGAACAGGAAGAGGAGTGAGCGATGTAACGTACGAGCTCCAAGCCCACGATGGAACCTCTCATGCGCGAATCGGCGATTGGCGACCGATTACCTGTTATCGTGTGTGGTCAGCAGGGAAAGACCTGTGAAGATGGAGATACGACCATGGAAATCCGGGTAGAAGTGAATGTCCTTTGTCAACTCTGTTAGAGTTTCTGCGTGGTTTTCTACTTTCAACCTCTCCAGGGTGTCAAGAAGCACTTGATGTAACTTCAGAACAAGTCACATCCGCAAATGAAAAACATACCCTGATGAATGTTGGTGTTCTCTTTCTCTGCGCGTTCCTTGAGCTCGGGATAAGCAACGTGGGTGGTGATAATGAAATCGATGAGCTTGAGATTACAAAATTAGCACCAAATGAGTAGGTACTGTTACAAAATTATCTTACCTGTCCAGTGGATGACTGTCCACCTTCATTCATCCACCATCCAGGGAACGTTGCATCCTGAATTGCTGCGCTGAGTAGGAACCTCGAACGTTCAATTGTCACTTACCCTATAAGGTCCCCACACACCGTTTACAAACACGCCTTCTGGACTCTAAACCCAAATGTCATTGTGGGTGTTCAGCATGAAGGTCCAGGACTGACTGACCTGTACTAGATGACAAGTGCTCGTACCAGCTACGGCGGCCAAACGGTGACGAGATTCATCTAACGAAGGCAGCACGCTAGAGAGCTGTCCGTTTTCCTTGTACCTAGCTGCTACTGTGCCCATCCAACCCGCATATCTGATCTCTACATCAGCGAACAGATATTCCTGCAATGCAAAGGAAAACTTTACGCATCAATCAAACCACTGCCTACCGCGGTACCTTCAACAAGACCAAGCTCTTCAGCGGCCTTCTTCGACAAGCCGTGTCCGACAGGTGATCCCGCCGTTTGGACTTTCCCCTTGGCAGCACCCATCTGGGAGTAGTTCCCTCCGTCGACTAGCTCAGCCAGTCCGATCTTGGTGAAGAAATCTTCCTGCCATCCCTTGTCTGGTACGAAGGAGCATTTGCATGTCGTGGAGCAGAACGAGCGGGTGTTGTCCCCGGTCGCTTTGTATGTAAAGAAATCAGGCAGATCGAAAAATTGGCAGCGAGAAAAGTGTTCGGGTTTCATATTTTTCTTGAGCCAGAGGATCTTCGGGACCTCCATTTCGAGCTGATATATTTGCGCATCAAGATTTATCCTGATAGCCATTAGGGAACGAACATACGCTCATCGTACCCCCAACATAATTTAAGACGATCGAACCGGTCGAGTTGATAAGCTCTGCCTCCTTCTCGGCGCGGTGATCAGCCCAGAGGATGATGTTTCGATCGCCAACGTCGCCCAGATCTTGACCTTTTGTCACGACAACGGGATTGCCCTGGAAGTCGGACACGGCCAGAGAGCAGGTGGCATCAAACCCAACTCCTTTGACTGCTGATGCAGGGACTTTGGATTCAGAAAGCACTTCTTTAATGGCGACACAGATCTTGGACCAGATATCGTTGGTCGATTGCTCAAAGATACGGTGATCCTCCTGATCGCGCCAAGTGATGGTATCTTGGGTTGAGGAGGCAACGACGGTGCCATCTCTCTGGACGAGGGAAGCTCGTGCTGAACCTGTGCCGATGTCGACACCAATGTAATATTTATCACCGCTCATAATGGGATCTGCAACGATGGTGGAGGTAAAGGGAGAAAAGCAAGTGCAGCTCTACGAGAAGACTGTGTACACTATTCTCCACAATGTACCAATATTACCGGACCGATTACGTACGGATTCTCATTGTAAATGATCTCCTCGTCATATCATCAGCAGACTTGGGAGAATTTGCTTAGCGACAAGGGGTAGTACTCTCAAAGTTATGTATTGAAATCTCATGATGGTCGATTTACTCAGAGCATACTCAAAGAAAAGTCGAGTAGGGCTGATAATAGCCAACGCCAACCTCTTATGAATATGCCCAAAGAGAGTGACATAGTTATTTGATAGAGAACATAGGAATTTAATGCCGGCCAGAAGCATAATTTTGGTGTGGGATGCAATACATGAAGCTTATGGACAGGCGTGAGATAAGTATACAACAAGACCTCTAATCAGAGGCAGTTGTTAGCCGGGCTAGAGAACAAGATATAATTAGCGATGTTCATCTTCGCAGTTAAACCGTAAAACGCACTGTAAACCAGCTGTCCAGAGTGGTGCACAATTCGCTTGATGAGACCCTCCTTCTCCAAATGTCTGATGGCTACCCGTGCCAGAGAGCCGTTGACTTTCAACCGCTCGATGAGGATGCTCTGGCTGATGAATCGGAAGGTGGGGACTTCCTTCATTACACGGTCAAAAGTGGGCTTGTCAATAGCGACGGCATGTTGGGCCTTGTCCTTGACCTTTCCCTTCGACCACTTCTTCTTCTTGGCGGCTTTGCCGCCCGATGACGGGGGAGGTGCTTTAGCTTTGGCCTAAAAATGATCGGAAAAGACACATCAGCCTCATATTCATCCACATGTCCTAAGCCGAATCCATATCAAGCAACATAAGCCAACGAAAAATGCTCCTGCACTTGTTCAAAGACCAAGCCACGTATCCTTCATCTGACAGAGAAACATACTCACCATTGTCTTGAGGGCCTTTCGTCGATGTCGGTCAAGCTCTGTGGATGGCAAATCTCATGGCACCGTTGACACGGCGGAGTCCGGGATTCTAGTCTCCGATCCATTTAGAATTACGTAATTGTGGCAGACGACCAGGCGCGTATGAGCAAGGACACGTCGTTCTCTAAGTAAAAGGTCTGTAATGGTGCTCTGGCTGCTGTTTGTGATTCCCCTTCCTGTCCTTGCTGCTCTCGACAAAACACACGGTGTTAGCCCCGCCCTTGTATCGAAATATGCTCCAGTGACCTCGGGCTCATCTCCAACATGGCAATGTCTGGACGGGTCGAAGGAGATAGCTTGGAGTGCTGTGAATGATGATTATTGCGACTGTCCGGACGGCAGTGACGAACCAGGTTCGGTATTGTGTTATAAGTAACAGTGAGCATTATTCTGAACAGATACAGGGACCAGCGCATGCCCAAACAGCGTGTTCTACTGCCGGAACGAAGGTCATATCGGCGCAACCATTCGAAGCTCCCGTGTAAATGATGGTATCTGTGGTATGTACTCTTGAAATATAGCTTGCGATTCTCAGAACTTATGTAGCATATAGAACCCGAGTGTTGCGACGGGTCAGACGAGTTGCTTGGTGTGTGTGAGAACCATTGTCGCGAGACGGGTGATGCATACAGACAGCAGCAAGATGCTGAGAGGAAATTGCACAAAACGGTACGGTCCAGTCATCTCGGTGTATGCTGACGTACTGATTTGGAACATGAAGGGTTCGAAAATACGCTCAACATATATCGCATTTGCACACAAGGAGAAAAAACGGATGGAAGCTCTCATTGCACTGAAGGAACAAGAAATCACCGCAAGAGAGAAAGAGGTCGCGCGATTGAGAGGTAACTATCTCGCAATGTACGTGTCGCCGGTTCTCACTTTGCACTTAGATATCGCAGAGCGTGCCGAATCTATATCTGCCGTTGAGCTTGAGCACAAAAAGGAATCTCGTAGGCATTGATCTGATTTCATATTGCTTCTAACCTAAGGCTTCTCCACAGAGCTGTATCAATCACTAACGACGCACCACACTGCGCTTAAGTCACTCCAAGCCGAACACAAGAGACACCTTGAACGCGAGAAAGCACTAGGGGAGATACTCGATTCGCTCCGTACAGGCTACAACCCGAACTACCAAGACATGGCTGTGCTGGAGGCTGTGCGTGGATGGGAAACACTCGCGGGATTGCCTCACATTAACGATGTCGCGAAAGATGGAGGCGAGGAGGGCGCCAATGATGGTTCGCAGACCAAGGAGGATGAACAACTTGAGGAGGGCATGTGGAATGCGGAGCAGATTGAGAAGGAAATGAAAGGCCTCCTCAGCACGGACCACATTTCACTACTCTTGGAGTATGAAAAACATATTAATGCGCCTGGTGTCCAGTCAGTTTGTAAGTCACTTTTTTGATTTTTCCACCGTCGACTACCGGGTGTACCATTGACGTTGGTGTTCATTCAGTGTTCGACGTGCCCTCGTATCTACCAGAGGCGCTCGTTCCGCAATACGAGGGCATCCGGGATACCGTAACCGGGTTCCTGCAATATCTTGGCATAGTACACGGAACAGCAGACGCGTCCGCAGGTTCGTCGTGACTCGCAGTAGTACTGGCCTTTTCACCACGCTTACCTACTCGCAGAATCTAATCAAGCACGCAAGAATCTCGACGATGCCGAGCATAGCTTACGCCTCACTCGTGAAGAAGAGAAGAATGCCCGCCTTGATCTCAGCGATCTTTTCGACCCCGATGGGTTTGGGCCTCAGGGCGAGTGGAAGAAGCTGGACGGTCTATGCCTGTCGAAAGATACCGGCGAGTAAGTCATTTTATCCCTTGATCTTTCAAAGTTCGCTACGATCTTACTCATGCTTGATTAGTTACACTTATGAAGTGTGTCTATTCGACGAAGCACGGCAAAAGCCTAATAAGGGCGGTTCGACCTTCAGTCTTGGGTGTGTGTTCTTTATGTTTCCTCGGCACTGTTGTCTGATCCTTGTATGTCATACGAATTTTTTGCATACAGCAAATTTACGGCTTGGAATTCCGGGGCCGCACAACCCGGTGAACTGGAATATTATACCAGACAGCGCTACACACAGGGTGCAAAATGCTGGAACGGACCGCAACGCAGCGTCGAGGTAAGCCCCCCCCCCCCCCATCCTTTCGTCACCCTCCTTTCTCCTGCCGTGCCTTGAGCCCTTACCTTGCCCTATCCATCCTCTCCAATAACCCCCTCTCACACCCACGGCCTTTCTGTTCACTCACCGCTCCACCCACACAGCTCGTGCTTACCTGCGGTCTCGAAAACGCTCTGCTCACGGTTGCCGAGCTCGAAAAATGCGAATACCAGATCACGGGGACGACGCCTGCTCTGTGTCTGCCTCCCCACGAGGACGGCCAGCCTGGGGGGAGGGAAGAGCTGTAACGGGGGTGGTGTGGGGAATGTTGCGTCGCGTAACAAAGGCGACCTTATTGTTCTTCCTGCTATAGACAATGTAATGTATTTATTGTCTCCAAGACAAAGCAGTGCTCTCTTTCGCTGGGACGTCCCAGGGGTATTGTTCACCGATCTGCATCTCTCAATGAACTCCTCTCCCTTCTATTGTCGTAACAGTCACGCCCATGAGAGAACTCATAGCTCACAATGAAAGGGCAATTAACGCAATATCCGGTTTTGTCAACTTACATATTGTCCTCGATGCCTTTCCACTCACGTAGCTTGGCCAACGTTCAAAAAGTATATAAATATGTTTTTTTTCTAAGCAGCACAAAACATACGTGAAAATCCAGAAAAAGACAAAAAGGACGTGTACAATATATGTTAAGCACCTATGTATATTAATCTAAGCACCTTATTGACTACCAATCACGGCGTGCTAGAGTATGATATATGTAATTGCTTGGGATCAGTTGTAGCGGGAGACGAGTGGGAAGGCAAAAAAAAGGAAAAGAGGAATGAACAAATGGCATCGATTGTATAAAACTGCTGTATCGCTTGTAACTTGTGACCATAATTGTAAGAAATGGAATGTATCACTTGAACCGGGAAGAATGAAAAACTGAAGACACGACTTGTTTGATATATGCGTTGCATACGGATGAGGTGGACGAGGACAGGTTGCGCTGGGTGGTTAGGCGGGTAAACTAGATGTTGCGAGGATATTAGAAAACGCGGCCAGTGGCGATGGTAGACTAGAGTAGGGCGGATTTTCTCTATTTCTATGGGCTGGCCATGCCAATATCCGAATCCTCGCTCAGTTCCCTCGTCCTCCGTGCTTTCAGCTCAGGCGTCAGGTCCCCTCTTTCTCGCCTTGCATCTCTATCAGCGCCACCCACATCTTCATCGCATTCTCTACCATCTCCATCTAACAATCTAGGCCCCGCTCTGTCTGGATCTACTGAATCATCACCTGAATCGCTAGCGACTGAGCAAGGGGCACGTATCGTAGGCTCGTCGTCGGTGGTGTCTCCTCCTTCCGTCTCGGTCTCGATCTCTCCTTCTGTTTCCACGCCACCTTCGCTCGCCCCATCATCTTCGTAGTCTGCTCGCGATTGGGCACGAAGACTGGGTGTTCTGTCACCACTTTCCGGTCTACTGGAAGAGGGCTCTGACTGTGGGTACGGAGCTGATTGGGCAGAGCTAGTGTCGTGAGTACGATCGGGAACCAACCGCCCGCCAA